TTGAGGTATTATCTGGTTGAACACGTGATTTTTGTTGTTGGTTTCCATTGTGAAAGTTTCGATTTAAAGGCCTTTTTTTTCCTCAATAGTGTATCTCTGGTGACTCGTGCCTCATATTGTTGGGTTGGTTCACTTATACAGACGCACATGGCATTCTTTTCTTTTTTTATACTTGTAAACCAACCCGCGGACACAGGAGACGAGGAAATTCGAAAATGTCTTACACCGGGGTGCTTCAAAAGGACACCGGTGTAGAATCGACAGACAGACTGGCCACCCTCATGGAAGACCGAATTACTTAGAAAAGCCATACTCGAGCCCGCCTGTGGGCGACCGAGTGAGTGGGTGGGTGTAGGCCTACTGTATGTGTAATTTATTTTTTTCATATTTTGTATGCATGGCATATTGAAACAATTTTTTAGTGTTTCCGGTGCATCTATAATGAAATAGATCGGTGCAAATTTCAATAAGTTCAAACTAATTTTAACAAATTTAGCCCAACGACGTGCTGGTCTGCTGGAACGAATATTTTAAAAGAAACATTACGGCCTGGAATGCACCCAATTGGGCTTCACCACTCAACCATCTTTTTCAACTCAACCACCCTTTAAAACGGGGCGTTTTGTGTTAGTCTTAAGAACCAAGCGACAACGAATTTCGGGGTCACAATTTTGTCTCCCGAATGGAACTCAGTGTTCAGTGCTAGTTGTGATTCCAGTCGCACAGTGTTCGCATTTTGCGGACGTGTAAGAAACAACATTGGTGGTGCTGTGTGTAATTTATGTGACACATTCACACCATACATTGAATGAAAACGACAAGAAATTCGTATGCGTACTATCCGTCGTGTCCGATGTAAACAACCGGGGTTTTTTCGTCTTTTCTCGGGAAAAAAAGTACATATTCATGGAATGTGAACGATGTAAATTTCAGTCTAAAATATGGACTTGCAGAGACACGATTTACAGAGTCTTCTCCTCCTCTTGACATAAAAATGCCTTTGTTACAAACGTTTGGCAAGAAAACAGATATTCCGGATAAATGCTAAGATGGACAGCACTTCTTTTCCAATTTCACCAGGGGTGAGATTGGGAGAAAATAAAATATCCACGAAATAATCCATAGAGGATTTGAGGGTCGCCGAAGGCCCAGAGCAACGAAGGGTCTATGGAATATGCTTGTACAACTTTGCCTAAAGGCACCCCTAAAACCAATTTCTTTTGTTCTATATACCTTGATAGGTAAAAACAGGCTTACAGAAAAACCTCTGCAATTCCAAAGGGATTCTTTTTAAAAATCCCGAAATCACGAAAACTCCCTTCAAAAAGTCTTGAAATCGGGAAAAATCCTGACAAAATATCCACAAATCTGGGAAAAAATCCTGACAAGAAAATCCTGAAATCAGGAAAAATCCTGACAAATCTCACCCCTGTTTCACAGATATCGCCTTTCCTGTATGACTTTTTCACTTAAACAACGACACTTTACTTGCAAACAAACTTCCACCTTTCGCGCGCTGATGTCCTAGGGGGGTTGGGGCCATGTTATGCATAAATCAGTTTTTCCTTGAATCATTGCAAGACACTAAGGGTCTCGTTCTCTTTTTTTCCTAAAATTAAAATTATATCAACGATAAAATTGGAGAAGAAAATAGCCGATGAAAATGAGCAGCGACGACGTGGATTTGAACAAGGGATCTTTGTATCCATAGCTCATCTCGCTATCCACTAGTCAATAAATGTGTAGTTGCATTCACATTTGTGCAACAATTCTCGTAGGAGTCACCAAACAAAAGTGAGTCATCAAGCTACTGACTTAAAACCACGAGCCCTCGGATAGGAATAAATAGGCTTCATCAGCTTTGTAAAAATACGGGGAGCACAAGCAAGACCATTTAGGAGACAAGTACATGTATACACAAACACCCAATATATTTGACCACTTTGACAAATATGTGATTGCCCTTTGATTTTACATATTATGTGGCTATAAGGCAATGTATACCTCTGTCGAGTTTTTCTTGGAAGGCTGAAAAAGAAAGATACTAGGTGATTTAAATCAATTTCGTGTTTAAAAGAAGGAAAGTCAGTTTTGCACATTTTTTTTTTTACCTTAGATCGCATACCAGTGTTCCGAAGACCATTGGTCGGCAGACCATTGGTCCGAAGTCCCATATTGTTCCAAAGTCCCATTGGTCCACGGGCCCATTGGTCCGAAGTCCCATTGGTCCGAAGGCCAATATGATTAGGGTTAGGGTACCTGAACAAGTGGAACTACACAGTATTATGTTTCGTCGGACCAATGGGACTTTGGGACTACGTTACATACCTAGTGGGGACATTCCTTTGTTTTCGTGTAGTTAAGAAAAACCTGCGGCAAAAAAATCATTTTACTCACACTGGGGAAATTCTTTCAACCTATATTTTGCTGTGATTTTCTAGAGTGTTTCTCTTCATTTTGCGACGAATAAACCTAACCACAAAATTCCTCTAAAGCTGTTGTCCAGAGAGGGGAAAACCTTGTGCGGACCCGCAAGTCCACACAACGTATCTGAAACTTTGGAAGTCAACACAGTGAATGCAATTCTTGTCCAGACCTACATGTACATGTACTTACTTTTAACATAAACTTAACACTTCGGAGAAGGAATCACGAATCAGGAGGCGAAACACTAGTGGTTGCTTCCAACACGATCAAAACCGCAGCACTGAACGCCCAACAGACCAGGCATTTTATATCACACACTGGTGTCCTTGAAAGCTCGTAATATGGAATGCAACTTAACCTACTGAGGTACAGCCGACAACGGCGCTATGCGGGTTCGGGTAAATACAAAAGGCGAAATCCAGTCAAGTTGATGAATACGTGTAAATCTGCCAGCGTTATTGTAAAGGGTCATTCGAAATTCGTTGCCAGTACTTTTTGTGCATTACTTTGTTCACACCACTGCATGTGGGAGTGAATACCTCTCTTCTCTATTTGAAAGCAGCAAATACAGACTAATACACAACCGTAGATCGGCACCTACAAAACGTAAAATCATAGTTGCAGTACATCTTTATTATTCATGTACAGGTATTATCTGGTTGAAACACGTGATTGTTGTTGTTATAGTTTCCTTTGCGATAGATTTAATTTAAAAAAAATTCTCAATAGTATATCTCTGGCGACTTGTGCCTCATTTTGTTGGGTTAGGTCACTTATACAGACGCATATGGAATGTTTTAACCCATGTAGGCCTACTTATGCCGGCGCACGTATGGAAGTTTCCTAAACGTACGAGACGCTCCCTAAATGAAACTAAATTAAATCGTACTTTTTTTGTAGAACATTGAAGGTTCGCTCACGTTTAGTTACCTTTTTGGAATATTATTTTCTGCCCGGCTATATAATGAATAATTTTCTGCAGGGCTGATCTTTTTTGTACATGCAGGGGCATGAGTAATTGAACACAGAATAGAACTTTCAGCAGTTTTGGGAACCCCCAAAATACTACCCAAAAAAAGAAGAATGAACGATAGCATAAAAATGCATGTACAATGTATCCCATTTGAAGCATGGACAGTAGTATTTAATACGTCTCACAAGATTATACTCAAGCAGTGGCGTAGCCAGGAATTTTTCAGTGGGGGGCGCTGGGGGGGGGGGGGGGCTGGAACATTTCATGGGGGGGAGTCATGTAGATCAATGATAATTTTTTTAGAAACTCAAAATCTCAGTGGGGGCGACTGGGTTTCATGGGGGGGGGGCTGTCGCCCCACCACGCCCCCCCCCTCCCCGTGGCTACACCACTGAACACAAGCTATTGATCGAAATACACACAAAAGCTGAGGCAGCAGTACCAATGTAGCTGCAAGGACAGTCAACGCAATGGTTATTTTGATCAAAGGTATAGGCTGTCAATAAAATGGCAAGTTGGTTATTTTTTTTCCAGCGACAGCAAAACAAATCCAGGCATGACCAGTGACCTGCGAGTTCTATTTTCCGTGACAGATTCGTCACGGCATGACCAATGACCTGCGAGTTTTATTTCACGACAGATTCGTCGAGCCATGGGGCTAGGATCTTGCTCCATGGTAGAGAGCGCACTGCGTGGGTGTATGGAACGATCTGTGTGCTTCATAGGGTTACAGACCAGTAAATAAACTTCCATAGACCCCAATGGTAAATGATCCCACTTCAGAAATTCGGGAAACATACTCACAACTCTCCAAGGTGTTCGAGACACACATCAAATATGGAGATCAATGTCTGCAACCATAGCTCGTGAACCGGTCCAATGTATAGAACAGCAGCGTATCCAGGTTTTGATGTCGGGGGGGGGGGGGGGCCGCACATCCGCGCCGAAATGTAGACATGTTGGTTTTTTTCAAATGGGAGCGCTTTTCAAAAGTTACTACTTTTATGCATACTACATATTATATGGACAATTTCACGGCGCATTGTAATGGTTGCTGAGCGGGTTTTCTTTGGTGGGATTGATGTCAGAAGAACTCTGTAAACATTATTTAAATCATTGCTGACAAAAAAAACATTGTCGAAAATATCCGCAGGCCCCCCCCCCCCCCCCCCCCTACTAGATACGCCACTGGTATAGAATTACGATAAATGCAAATGTGTGTATTACTAAACACGTATTTATACCACGTACTTCACCAATCTAATTGTCGAATTTCCGATGAGCAAGCTGTGGTTAGATAGAACGGTTGTTACTCAATGTTTTTGTTGAGACGACGATTTAGAGGTGGATTTCGTGAGGCGCATACGTCCACACGTCCAAAAAGCACATCATAACAAACACACCCAAACAGTCTCGTTATTAATACAAACTCGTTCGGACCTAGCCAAATTGTTTGTTATATCAGAATTTTGTATTAAGAGGAACATCAGTCCCATTAATTGTGCACATAAATGCACAGTCGGGACTAAGGCTTTATGTTTGTTATAACCAGAATTTTGTATTAACAGAGTGTGTACTAACGAGATTCGACTGTACTTACTTTTAACGTTTACACTTGGGAGAAGGTATCACGAATCAGGAGGCGAACAATTACTGGTTGCTTCCAACACGATCAAACCGCAGAACTGAACGCTGAACAACAGAGCAGGCCTTTTTTATAATCCTAGCGTCCTTAGCATTCTCCCGACCAAAGAGACTGTTACTATATCACGTGATTCGGGGCAAGCCTTATGCTAGCAACCCCCAGCTCCGGCATGGTCTGGCGTCTTTGTGCCATTCTCACCTATTGTGAACGATGTATTGGTGCTGAGCGTCTCTTACGTAACTATGCAAGAGCTTGCCCCGAATCATGTGATTAGCAACAGTGTCTTTGGTCTGGAGAATTCACAGTTAAAATGTGCCAAGCATTCTGAGCAAGTCATTGTACCAGACGTTTTTCAAATGTAAATCCCAAAGGGTATAGGTTACACGCAAATGGCTTATTTAATGGTTGGGGAGGGAGCAAAATGTCCCTGCTCCCCTCTAAAACTCATAAATCGAGGGTTACACCTCTATGTTCCGACACCCCTATGTTCCGACTGCACGTATTCCTATTCCTAACCCTAACCCTAACCGGGAGTAACACAATCTAGGTTGTCGGAACATAGGGGTGTCGGAACATAGAGCAGTCACCAAATCGAGAATATGTAAAGAAATACAAGATTTTTAGGGGGGGGGGGATATGTTTTGCCCCCCTCTAGAAAAATCCTGGCGACGCCCATGCATGGAGGTAGAATCGGGCAAATACAAAAGGTTAAATCCAGTGAAGTTGATGAATACGTGTAAACCTGCCAGCGTTTGGCGTACAAAGGGCCATTTGCAATCCATAGCCACCTTTTGTGCATGTGGAATAGTTGATCCACGCATCCTACACACAAGGATAAATGGCTCTTCTGAGCTCCAGGACAAAATGCACTGAGCGGCCTTGCCTTAATTGTTAATGTTAGACGCGTGATAACGGGCATTAATACCCGTTGGCTTGCAATCGCGAATTTTTGATTGTGTCGGTTTTTTCGCATGACATCTTAAAACGGAAATATTCATAAAACTGTATGCAAAACTATTCCTTCGACCAAAAAAAAAGGTTCCGCTTTCTGGTCTGCCATGCAGAGAGCCACTGACGAACAAAAACAAAAACCCAGGCATACAAACAACCTGAAGCGGACTTACTAATTGCCAACTAAACAGCGTTTACACCATTCCAAGAATTGTGCACTTTGTGATAAATGCATGAAACTTGGCATGTTGGTTCTCCATGCCATGAAGCAAATGTTCAGATATATCAGAACTTAAGCCTGAACGCTGAACAACAGAGCAGGCCTTTTATAAAATCCTAGCGTCCTTGAAATGTCTGGGTATGGAAAGCATTATTTGAGGTATGGCCGACGCAATGGCGCTATTTGGCGCAATGGCGCTAATCTGTTGTTGCAAACGCTAGTATACCAACCAGAACCATCTCCATGTTAGATTAGCATATTCATTAGCGTCACTCGGCGTGTTTTGGCGTGGGTCTAGTCTCGGTATCGACCAATGGAAGCCGAAAAAAGGGTGATATTTATCAATTAATAACTTGTGAAGGAGGCTTTTCTCCAAATTTATACTGTATACCATAATGTATAGGAAGCTTATTAATATTTGTGAGTCTTAAAAAGATTGACAGATATTGCAAACGCTAGTCTACCAACTTTCAGAAGTGCACGTAGCCACCCCTATTTTTCCAATTTGCACAACAAAAAAACATCACCACTCAGCACTGTCACTGGACACAGGAACACGACTGAAATGGTGGCACGATGTTAAAGGTCTATATTACAGTCATGGACAGGTACCCAGATACCACCTTTCATTAGGTGGTACACATCTGGTCTGGCCCATGGACTAAACTACTTCTCATACAAATTTCAAAATTAGAATTGGTGAATTTAAATGAAAAACGTTTTTAAATAGCGGAGAAAACCTACACCAGTATGTCCGTAGGCAAAATAACATGAATCACTTTAAATTCCATCGTGGCCACTCCTTGTCCACAAAAGTAGAAGAGTCCATGATGTCAATAAAGAGCTTGCCTCGCAGATGGTCCATCTCATGTTGGACGATACGAGCAGAGTAGCCAGTAGTAGACCAAGTGACTGGCTGGCCAAGTTCATTCAATCCTGACCAAAAACAAAAAGGAAAGTAAACCGGTAATGCAAACAAGTAAAGTAGAAACTAAGTTATACCTCTTAAAGGGAATATACAACATTTGCAAACATCGAAAAATAAAACTACCACGTTTTTACGAAATACCTTACCAGGATGTTGGTAAATAAAATGCCAGCCTAAAGCATTCTGTAAAATTATGGCACATGGTGTCAAGTCATTTTCAAGAAAATTGTATTTTTGTATACATTTCCAACCATCGTTGGCCGACCACCGTTGGAAAAACCTAACTATTTTTCAACTACTGCTCCAAATTTACAATTTTTTTCAGTCCAAATTTTGTTTGCTATTGGTTACGTGTTCATGAACGGGTGCAGGCCAGCTAGACTGGTCCCCGTTACCTTACAATTTTCTGACATCTATAAATTGATCCATTTTTATCTTTAGTGGAGTCAGGGAACCAGACTACTTAAACATTTTTGTTTTTCTTGGTTTCTCAAGCATTTTCGAACACAAAACTTCAAACATGTCAGTTAAACAATATTTAATCTATTATACTAACCCCTCAAATAGTTCATTTCTGAAAATTGCAGCAAAAGCCAATGATGTACATTCCCTTTAATTATAATTATGAGTTGAATGTAGTCCTAAATTTTAATTTTTCTAATGTATCGCTGTTATTATCTATTAGTTGTGTACTATTATTGCATTTGTTGACAGAACTCATGGCATTATTAAAATAACAGTTGATGATACATGTACATTGAATTGCATTCAACTGAATTAAGTGCTGGCGGTAATCTGCCACAATCAAGTCCACTATGATTCAGGTTATTTTATTTGATCATCAAACAATGCTCATTCAATCAACGGATTCTGGTTGCTCTAAAAGCATAATCTCTGAACTCTCTACAATAACGTTGTTTCTTCCTGTGGGGAATTCATTACTCCAGTGATATACATGTTAAATAAAATGGTGCCACAAGATTTTGCTAAATAAAAAACACTAAGAGCAACTAAACATGAGTAGCAGAAGTAGCAGATAAACAAGTGAATTGCGGTTGTGATTTCAACATTTTAAAGTAAAGTAGCTATTATAACTGTCTTTACAAAGAACACAGTTTACAAGATCATCTAAAAATAAAACAAGGCCTTTATATTTCTTGACTAGCAAGTTTTGCTCTCAAACTTATTTTTCCAAAAAAACCACACACACACAAAAACCACATCAAACCCCTGTTATCATGTCTTGTTAAAATGCGGCCAAATTGTTTATGATGATTGTGATGTTTGGAACGGAATATGGACACGGATTTGAGAGTAACTGTTTTATTGAGGATCGTATGTGATGCAGCTTATGTGTGTGCACTGCCTACTGATATTAAGTAATACAATTTTTAGTAAAAATTTGCCTCCATTTTGTCTTCCAGCAAGTTCCAAATAGATAATTGATCAAACTTTCATCAGTTATTTTTTGTGTAAAACTGGAGATGGAAAACAAAGGCAAATGTTCAAGTTAGTTAAACATACCCTCCTAGATAAATCTATTTAACAGACTTTGATTCAAAGTGCAAGATCTGATAAATCCTTACCTGAGAGTTCTACACCGTAAGCTCGTGGAACGCAGGCATCATAGCCCGATATACTCAGGCAGCCTTCCAGTAAGGTCACGATTCTAGGGTCAATGACCTTGAGCTCTGGATTGATGAAGACCTTCAGAGGAAAAACGGTAACTTCTCTTGCCTTCTGGACCTGTGGTAGTGTATCAAGAGATATGCATAATTTGTTAAGTCAAGTTTTCTTTTTGAAGGGTAAAAACACTCGGTGTGGTGTTGATAACTGCATGGTGTCCGAATTCGGGCGATTCACAATGCAGTGCGCCACCAAGAGTTTACCACCGAGAGTTCATTTCTCCCAGTGCATTGTGGGAGATGGTTGACAAATTCGCATTTGAAATGGTTCGTTTTTTCTGGTCAATTTTTATCAATATGGTGCTTTTTGTAAGGCGGCAGAACGCTATGCCCCAATCTATGACAAAGTAGCTCAAGTTGTCTACTGACACTCATTCAAATGGGCCATGTTTTGTCGACCGTAAACTTTAAAAATGGACTCTCCATGGCAAACTCTTGGTGGCGCACTGCATTGTGAATCGCCCAAATTGATGGTGTCACCCTGTAAGATCATTCACAGCACTAGCTTAAAGTCATCCCAATCCTTGGCTTCAGTTTCATCCCCTTTTTTCATCATGGGGAACAATGAATTATCAGACTAATTTGTCACTGTAGCAACTTGTAGGAGACTGAAACTGTTATAGCACCCTCTGTTGGTAGATCTTAGAAAACCCAGTAACTCTGTATATAAACATGCCCACCATCTGAGAGTCATGTTTAAAAATAAACAATGTTTCAACCCCAATGTGTGTTTTGGCTTGGTTAAATATGGTTAAAGTCATCATCCTCATCATCATAATCATCATAATCATCATAACCACCTTCACGGTTGACTCAGGGGGAGTCAGGCTGGCGTAGCGGTACTTTCCTCGCCTTCCACCGCTGTGACCCGGGTTCGAATCCCGCCTGGGCCAATATGTGGATTGGGTTTTCAGTCCCAGCCTGATTCCGTGGGTTTTCCCCAGAATATTCTTCTGGGGTTTTCCTCCCACCTCTAAAACTGTAACTTCTTCTCACTGTCTTCTCTCCACAGGTTTCTTCAGGCTTGCGAGCTACAGTGCCTAGGGCGCTTTTAAAGAATCCTTTTGGTTTCATTACTAGAAACATGAAGATGGCTTGATATATTTCAATACGTGTACCTTGTCTCACCTCTTTCTCCAAACTCTCCATGTGCTCCTTGGTGAATTCCATCACAACAATTTGTTTGGCCATGCCCACCTGAGGCGCCGCACAGCCGACAGCTCCTGCGCTGCGCATCACCTTTGTCATCATCTTGATAGCGTTCTGCACTTCGGCTGACTTGATCTGACGGGGATTGACAGGCGAGCTCTCTCCACGCAGGATGGGGTCCCCGACCTGGCAGACATGGTCATACGGGGGAGTTTTCATCTTTGCCTTGGAGAATCGGTGACGAAGTTCGCGTAAACATATCCTACCCAGGGACTCTCTGACGATCACTCTGCTCGCGTAGTGCCTTGCCTCGATGCCCTGGTGATATGCCATTGGGGAACACAGGCACCGTACTACTACACTGGACCTCTGTAGCATCCTCATGCAGGTTGCCATGGTGTTACAGAAGTTCTTGAGGACACCGTTTGTAGCAGCCATGACAGAACTATCAGCAGCAGGTCCAGTGTCACAAGATTAAAGTAGAAATGTTAAACATCTATCTTCGTGATTGCTGTGAAATCAAATAACACAAAGATTACTAAACAAACAAGTATTATTCATTCAGGGAGCATGCACCTTGATCCAACATGGAATTTGTGTGCAGTAAAAAAAAAAACCCTTCTGCTTCCGATTACATGGCATTCGAAAATAGGGTAGATAGGTAGGGAATTTTGTTGGGAGAAATTTTTTTGTGAAAAGGTAGAAATTGATGGTTTTGGGTGTTTCTTTCTCATTTTCCCATAAAAAAGTAGGGTAGGGACTGTCAGAATAGGGTGGGTAGGGAAACTGGAAGCAGAATTTTTTTTTTGGCCTTACCCATAAAGACATAGATATGCACAACACCAGGCGCGGTTCTAGAACCAATATTTTGGGGGGGCTAGCACGGTGGATCCAGAATTTTTTCAGGGAGGCGTGCTGAAATGTAGACCGGTTATTTTTTCCAGACACTTAGGCCTCCAAAAATCTATTAAGGGGGGGGGGGGGGGGGGGGGGGGGGGCTCATGCCATATTTTCAATGGGGAGCGGCAATAAAATCCTAGAATAATTCACACTATATTAACTAATGCACCCTTGTCACAGCTTTTTCTTCTTTAGGGGGAGACCGTTCGCATGTCCATCACAATCCTTCTTTTGGCTAATAGTAATGCAATTTTTTTTTTTACGGAATTTATTTTGGGGGGGCTAGGCAAAATTTTGGGGGGCTAAAGCCCCCCCCCCCCCCCCCCCCGTAGAACCGCGCCTGCACAACACCAGTCATGCCCGTACAATCTCGTGCATCAACATGGCTATATATCTCCCATTCCATGTAGCCACGTTCACTGGTCTAAGTTATCCAAAAGCATGGGCCATGACCTATTCGTACACACTACACTATTAAACTTGGCATAAATATGGCGCCGTCCAGCTGTGACGGTTTTTTACCTGTTTTTGTTTACATTAATGACGTCATTAGACATTACTATAGTACTTAGTAGTACAAACGAACTGACGAAATTGAACTGAACTGAAGTTGGCCCCAGACTCAGCAAAGGTTCCTGGGCTAGGTCTTGCTGTGGACCTCCATAGTTCCAGGGGTTCCAGGGGTAGTTCCAGGGTTTCAACCAATTTAATTACAAAAGTGACTTTAAGAAGACAAGATTGGTGTAACGAGAATTACGAACACACGTGTCGTATACTTACTGCGGATGGGCGCAGCCATTTTGGGAAAGTCATTAAGCTAACTCTAGAGGGCGCTCTTTTTCTTTTTAGCTTTTTTTGGGGGGGTTACCCCATTTTTTGTGTAGTCCTCACTCCGTTTGGGCCTTGAATAGAGCCTTGTGATGGTCGACTCTCACATGAGCATACTTTTCTTGGCACCGTTTGTCCAGATGGGAGGTAGATGATGGAGTGAAGAGATTGATTTGTGAGAGCAAATGCTGCTGGTTTGCACAGATGGCGTCAAATGAGCCGCGAAATCAAAACTGCCCTCCAGATCCACTTTCGTGATCAATCTATACCGCCAAGCGGGATGTGTGAAACTTATACTCACCAACTTCAACGTTTTTGGCAAATTTTTAATGGATTTCTTTTAAAGGTACGTCTAGAACCGCTTCTGCATTAGCTTTAATGTTGTGAGCAGTTACCGCCAGTGATTGCACCCTTTCTGTTATGGTTTATATTATACCTTGCGTCCGCACTTGGATCGTTTGCTGCGTGTATAATACCGTACTGTTCTCTTTCAGAATCTATGGGGGCGCCCTTCAATTGACCTTTAAATGGCTGAATCCGGCCAAAGCTTCCAGTGTGCACTGAACTCCATTCTAAATCTCTTGTTGACGAATTCGACCTCCAAAAATGAAAACAAATTGCACCTCCAATCTTCAAAATTGTGGTTTAAACGTTTCACAAAGCTAAAGTGATACTTGAATTCGAAAGATTTCAAACACAATTAGCCATTTTTAATCGACATGGTCTTCCCCAGAGAGAGAAAAAAAATGAGCCAAATTCATGGTACTCAAGGTGAGAGAATGCAACGCATTCCAGCATCTGCGAGGAAGTTTGCGTTCGGTGTTGTGAGCGAACGAGGTCCGGTCTCGTCTGTAACACGGTCTGTGTCACTCTCTCTCTCCCCCATGGGCGTCGCCAGGATTTTTATTAGAGGGGGGCAAAACATATTTTTTCCAAAAAATTCTTGTATTTCTCTCGATTTATCAGGGGAGCAGGGACATTTACCTCCCCCCCCCCCCCCACTCATTAAATTTACACCACTATGACTTCGCACCTCTTTTCTTTTCTTTTTTTTCTCTTTTTTTTTCTTCCTTTTTTTTTTTTTTTTTTTTTGCTTTTCCGTGGGGGGGGGGGGGGGGGCCCTCTCGCGACGCCCATGTCTCTCCCCACTTCTTATAGTATTGCCGTCCATTTCTATGGTCGTCAATCGGACGGGGAGACTTCCCCCCCCCCCCCCCATCTTTTTTTTAAGTAGGGTGGGAATGTCATATCGTTTGTAAAACCCCACCCCAACTTGTTTTCGTCCCCGAATAAAATAATTACCCTATATTTGATTCTATAGCTCCTATATTTGATTCTATAGGTTAGTGTGTTGGCCCAAGGCGTTCGTTCTTCCCCAATTGATTTGCATAACTGAAGCTGCGTGAGGTCGCTGTTTACTCATCGTACTAGAGACCTTTTCACCCGAAAAAATATATAATGATGATCATGTATGCCGTTAGCTGAGGCGGAAGCGTATTATAAACGGTCCATGGAAAATGTTCAGGGGTCCAAACATTCGGATCATTTTCTCTCCATTGTCCAGGATTTCTAGCTTTTTTTCTTGAGTCTTTGAGAGAAACTTAAGCCTAAAAAAAATGGTCATGAGTAATACTATCCAGCATAATTGTGTGTGTTTTATGCACAAAATTTTAAAAATGTTTTCGTCCCGTGCACGCGATATCACGAGTAATTATCAGGGCTCCTTTCCGCAAGAGTGAAACAAATAATAGCTGTAAGATTCGGGGTACCATCCATCAAATTTTGGGCCGAATCGCGGGCTGAATCATGGGCTAGCTGCGCCGACACAAGTGATGTCACGAAAACATGTGCTCATTGTATGAATTTGCTTGACCTGAACTTGAAATTGCATGACAAAAGACAAAATTCAACATTGGAAGCGCACTAAATCGATGTTGCTGGACGAATTTGAATATAGGCCCTAATAATCGGTGAATTCGAACGAAAAAATGATTTATTACAGCCAGGAACACCTACAGTCACACAAACTTGGTAGTCATTTTTTTCTTTCTATTTTCACTGGCTTTAACATCAGTGATGTGACTAGCCTACCAGTCGTTAATTTATTTGATAGCGCATTTAATCGGCAAGTGTTATCGGTCTGTATACACAATGCTGGTGGGAGGGGCACTATATCCACGGGTATATGGAGCCTGGTTCATCGTTTTATGCAATAGGTGTTCAGCCAGGAAACGGGCGGCCGGAACCCGACTTCCCGTTAGTCCTGTGTTCCATGGCAAGTTCCTCTTGTTTTCAGAGGGTGTTCCGAGTCACACATGCAGCCCATGCATTCCTGATTGGATTCTACATTGTATACCCAAGGCCGCCGGGAACAAACACCGTCAGTTGCAGAGTCATCGCTCGGCCAAATCGATTTGTTTTTTAAGTTTTGATTATTTTAAAAACCATGGAGGCCACCAAACCGTACACGCCAGAAGCGAAGGAGAAACTGTGTGATGCCTACCTAGACGTGCGGAGCGACAAATCCGACACAAGATGGTAAGATTTCTTAGGCCTATGCCTGAAGGGTTTGGTCCCTATTACTGGAAACGCGTAACACTAACAGGAAATAGACATTCTTTTTAACCCATTGTGATGTGGTGCACGGAGCATCCCATTCAATGTCACAGCGTGCTGCCCACGATAGGCTATAGTATAGATGAGACCAATGGATCGTGACAATTCCTGACAATTACGTTTCATGGATTCGTGGTAATCAATCGGTATGCAAAAGCCTAACTGAGATTGTACGTCACAGACAGAGTTGTTGGGGGAGGGGAACTGTAATCCTGCAGTTAAAAAAATTGAATTTCCCACATTTAATAACACAGCTGAATTGAATTTTGACCAGGGGTTGGGGCTTTGAGTTAGTCAGAACTCTCAATAGTGTGTACATGAGAATCCCAAAACTGGGGGCAATGGGGGCCATGCCCCCCCCCCCCAAAAAAAACCCCCAAAGTTTGTATAAGGGACGTTGCAAAAAAGGCATCCACGTCGTACACCACCATGAACCAATGCAATGAAGAGTCTTAGTGCCCCCCCCCCCCCTTGCTTTTCATATTAAATTTGTGGCGGAAAATTGTTGGACCCACTTTTTCGGGAAACAATTCTTTTTGTTCCCCCCCCCCCAAAAAGGGTTCTTGATCCGCCCTTCTACAAATGCTTGAGAGAGTAGAAACATACAACACAAGAAAATAGACTGGCACATAAAACAACCAGTCCAACACCCTTATACATTAATGAACTGTGTGAAAAACATCTGGTACTAGTTTCCATTTCTACACATTATCTCCATAGTCGTGCCACCAGACTACTGAAGGGTCATTGCTTTTTCAAAAGATTGAACATGTACCAGTCCGTATAAATCCACCCTACAAAAAAAATATGGGATGAGTATCTACAAACTTTGCTATTTTGTCTTTCGTTGTGTGCACTTTGGAACCGACAGGCCTTTAGCCGAGCGTTCAAATAGTAACTCCGATCACACGGTGTAAAGATAAGCACAATCGGCCCTTTAAAGGACTTCTTATCAATCGGCATCCTCGTAAAACTTGGGTACCTCTCTATTGTTTTTAGCACGATTATAATAGTGCTTGTTAATGTACTTCGATCAATGGAGCACTCTGAAGGAGTAGGCCTACTTATAACTGAGTACAGTATTGACTGGTACATTTTTAAATCTAAACCCAAAGGTGGAATAGGGAGGAAGTACTCGCTAACAGCTGTACCGAACAAGACTTCAAAAGTTATCACCTCGGTAATCTTGCTCAAAGACTGGGTATGGATCATTGTATACCCATTTAATACAGTCGGTCTCGAACAAGCGCTGTATTCAAGCTAATGCACGCGCATGAGGTATGCTCGGAATTTTCTGGGTAGCGCTGTCAAAGTTCCCCAGACTGGATTTGATTCATCTTGTTGATGACGACCTCTACCGCGGCGGCTTGGTCGCGCTTATTAGGACCCTGCTGCATCACTGAGGAGAATAAAATCCATATCCAATCATGGACCAATTGGTGATGTTTTTTTTTACATATTTTACGCGCGCCTGCACCGAGTACCACGTACGATTTCGCTGATTCTGAGCTCGACCAATGGGACTGCAAGACACAATTCACCAAGAAGACGCACAATAATGAGGCTTGTGTATTGGGTGCTTATGATCGGTGATTCAATGCCATCTGCTTAATACACTGACATGTGTTAGAAGCCTATGATATAATTATTACAAGCAAAATTCAGTTTGTATCCATAATTTCTTGGCAGGTGTCTTGCCACGTATCCAGACGATGGGAAACAAGTCGAGTTGGCAGCGTCTGGTGTAGACTATCAGGAATTTTTGGATCTATTACAAGGTAGAATAATTTGTATAGTTCACCTCAGAATGAATGTTTATTTCCGAACATTATTACTCCTAATACAACTAAAAAGGGGCCTTTTTTCGATTGAACGTTTATGACATCATGGAATACGTTGGTACACCTGGCTGATTCATGTAGCTTAAAAAAAGAAGCAGAATCGCAGCCATGGCGGTCATAACAGTGTTGTTTTGACGTATGGTCATATTTATTGTATTACGTTGCGTAGTCCTGTGTTGTGTCGAATTTACTTGGTTGTCCGTTTCCGTTCAGTTGAGTTGCAACTTGCATGTGCCTTTTTGCGATTGATTCACTACATCATGCTTGTCTTGCAGATGACCAGCGGTCGTACGGCTTTGTACGGTACGAAACGGGCGATGAGATGAGCAAACGAGCAAAGTTTGCCTTCGTAACGTGGATAGGACCATCCGTGTCGCCCCTCAAGAGGGCCCGAGTAAGCACTGACAAGGGCTTTGTCAAGGAAATATTTACCGTGAGTATCAATGTACTTCGTAGATTATTTGCTCGCATATCAATACAAGGAAACATTTCCTGGCACCATTGAACAATAATGAATGCAGCATATGGTGTCTTGAAAGGTCAATAAAGTGAAGATGGATTCATTGCTTCGTGATTTTACCAGAGACCGAATGAGCAATAAAATTAATTAGGTTATTAAATTGATTCACCCGTCCCAGTCACTTTAGATTTTTCCAAAAGATCAGTCAAGATCCTGACACTGAATTACTATTTTTTACTTGGTTTTCCCATTAACCGGTTGATTTTATAAGCTCTTTAGAACCGCTATCCGAGAGCTTGTCAGCTGGAAAAAAACATTCACAAACTTATTTGAATTAAATCGAGAAATCCAACAAAGGTCATTTCGGCTGAAGTTATCTAGTAATCCTCAAAACATTGGCGGCCCATACATTTGAGTTAATAGACCTTTATCATGCTGCCACCATTGCAGTCATGTTCCCTGTGTCCAATAACAGTACTGAATGATAATGGATTTTTTTCTGCAAACAGGAAACAGACTAGTTTTCCTTCGGTTACGTTGATTTGAATGGGAAAAATCCAGATGGCCGCAACATGATATTTGTCTGTAAGGCAAGGGAGTGTGTCTGCCTTTTTGATAAAGAACTTCCTTTTTCTGATGTACATGTTTGTGTGTGTTAGATGCTATATGAATGTACGGGGCAGGGCATTTTACTGGGATTATGTTCTGCGTTTCAAATACGTATGGATCACGGAAGCAGGATGCAAAACCACACATCCTCTTCACTGCATAACAGTCACCAATAATGATAAACTAGATTTCTGAGGTCAGGCAACATTTTCCGGCTACCCAGATCACCTTGTAGGCTACGTCCGGGTATGCCTATTCGGTAACCAGTATAATGTGGTTAGTGGTCCAAAGTACAATGTATGTCTATCACAGTGGAATTTGAAGAGCTATGGCCGTCATTGTATTTTGTTCGACCGATGAGAATCAAAACTACAAAATAGTCCCAACCAATCCCGTTCTTTCTACATGCGCCCGCTCTTCAAATGCCGGTACTATGCTTTGTCAGTGTCAAGAGATTTAAAATTTCAATGAATTAAATCACACTACCAAAAGTGAGCATAATCGTTTTGTTTGAAGCAATTGCTTTCATTCCCTACAACAATGGCGGCGGTGACTTGGCGTAACCAGGAGCAACCGGGTCACGTGATACAGTGAACGTGCCTTACAGCTGCATGTTGTTTTTAAGTAAATTTGCCATATTGTTGTATCCACTGGATTTACGTTTGTGTCTTCCTATGTTCGTTTTATTATTAGACCTTCGGAGTTGAGGTTTTGGCGGACGACCGCGACGATCTTCAAGAGGACCACGTCAAGGATCTGCTAAAGAAGGCAGGAGGCGCCAACTACGGAAGCGCCCGCTAGTGGCTTACTTGAGCCAGTACTTCCCTCGTCTATTTTAATACATAATAATCTTTTTTTTAACGGTGGTTGATATCATCAATAGGGCTTATGTAGGTGTACGTGACCAATTTGTAACTCTGTGCGTGCTACTAGCATTATCACATGACCACAAACTCATTTCTCAAGCCAGGTTTCAAATAATTTATATGTATCCCGAGAGTGGACAAAACAGTGACAACATTTCTCACTCATGGTTAATTGATGTAATAAAGAGCTTCGCTAATCGGTAGGAGCAAATATTGACATTCAGCCGACATCTTTGTTTTCGGCACTTCAATGCATATTGATCTTTTTTTCATTTTATTTCTTGCCATCAGCTCACGATAACGCACAAACACTTTTAAGTCTACGTACTGGCAATAAACAAAAATAGGGACCTAAATCGTTTTAATTTTGGAATACAATTTTTTGAACGATAATGCCATGGGTAACAATGTTTACAGTGGTAATCTAAATCCTGATAGTGTCTTTGTATTTACAATGGCGTCCCTAAGAAAGAGCCATTGGTTTCAGCTAATCAGTATTTTAAAACGGCTTTTTTTTTTAATTCACGCATTTCTTGTCACAATTAAGTTATATTGTCCACTAGAGCAGGCAAGTCGAAACGTTGAGACCAAAGACAAGTTCTTTTAGAACTTAAAGCAGGACTGATCTTATCAGAACTAAATTTAGACCTACTTAGCGCAAGTTGATAGACACGTTCTTTTGAGCGACAGTCGTTATTACCACTGCCATTGCCGCAAACCGAAACGATATTATTGTCCACTTGCTGATGAATTAAATTATCTCAATTTAAGTAAAAGAAGATATATTTAGCGTCTTCCTTTTACAGTTTGGAGCCACAGTTGAAGGAATTTATAATAGTCTACCGCTTTGTATAATGGTTAAGGCAAGATCAAGAGACACTGGAACATTGTACACTGAAGAAAATGGAGATCGCTGGTTATATTCGATATCTGCGGGGTGTTACAATAAACTGCTAATCGCGGCCAAAAAAGAGGTTTTTCTTGAAAAATAAACAGAAAACGAGAAAAAAAAACGCACTTTCCATGGTTACTAAAATTGGTTACTTTGATTTGTCCGGTCGCCAAATTTCCAGGGGGGGACTGGAGGCGACGATTTTTCCGAGGGGCGTGCACCCCCCCCCCCCCGAAGTTACGCCGCTGGTCAACACCTGTACCATCTTTATCCAGTGGGGGGGGGGGGCGACTGGTGGTGACGTTTTTTGTGGGGGACGTGCGCCAACCCCCTACCCATGCCGCTGGTCAACACCTAGACCATCTTTATCCAGTGGGGGAGACTGGGTGTGACTTCTTTTTATGGGGGGCGTGCGCCAATCCCCTACTTATGCCGCTGGTCATCACCTGTACCATCTTTATCCAGTGGGGGTGACGTTTTTTATGGGGTGTGCGCCAACCCCCCCCCCCCCCCCACCCTAGACCATCTTTATCCTGTTCCTATTGACTGTCCTGTTCCAAGTCACCCCACTCCCAACCCTTGTGTTCGTGCCTGGTACTTCAGAGGTACTGACTAGATTTCAATGTAGTCTGTTAAAACAAGTGCGTTAACGAAGTCCTTATCTGCTTTTATGAGCCCAGGCAGTTTTTAAATTCCACCGCTTCAGTAGCCATAACTATTTGCACAGTGTGTACATTATAACCCCATCCTCCACCCGCGCCCCCTCAGAGCAGACAGATTTTGGTTCTCAGTTTCTCACTTTTTAATTTCATGATCTCCCAGGGTTTTGAGAGAGGAGAAAGAGTTGGACCAGAAGTAAAAGAACATTTAAGATTGTTCATTCCCTTTTCTTAAAAGGGCCTATTCACCGTTTGCTTCAATTTTGTGTTTGTCTACCTCTCCTCCTGTACTTAAACTGAAACGGCCTTGACGAATATGCAGACGACCTGAACCCGAACCAGATCAAATCAGAATGGTCACAACTTCAGTCCTTCATGTCTTAAAAATGCAAATCCACAGCTTCCGTGGTTTTGGGGCAATGATTACATTATTTCGAATGGATATAATAATTGTGTTTTGTATGGATTCATTTCCGTACCCAGAGACAACGTGGGTGAATGTTGTTTTCTTTTGGAGGATGGGAAGGCTGTTTGTGGGAGTATAACTTAGGTGTGTGACTGTTTTACTTCTTATTCCATCCTATTGTTTTCTCATGAAATCTGGTCTCTTTTCCTTTTTTTTTTTCTTTGCTTCCTGTGACCGCTAAGTAATCCGTTTAACAAATATCGGAAAGAAAACGCAGACGTTGCAGAGCATTGTGGGTAGGTCGCTAGTCATTATCAGTGTAAGTACATTCCGTGCGCGCGGGTCATGCGCACACGGAAGTACTGAATCCTGTCACGTGGCCAAGTAAATAACACTCCATCCAATGAGAGTTCAAGGAAGTGAGAGGTCATCAATGCTGATGGATAGGGCGATAGGGGTGAGCATAATTATGGTGGATGGCGCTGTTTGGTTTGGCTAAATTCTTATGTATCAACGGTCTTCGATTGTACAATTGTACTTGTTCATCATGAAAATAATGTGTTTTTTTTCAATTTTTATTTTTACAGTCTTTTTTCTTTCTTTTTTGTTTTTGTTTTACAGAATCTAGGTTGTTGGAATGCAACCGCGCGTTTTGTTTAAGAAATAAACTGGAATGGAATCTTGATCCCATGAGCAAAGGTCTTACATGTTATGTACTAGGGGGGAATATAAGGATGGAATGTTTACCAGATGTCCTACCCATTATAGCTATATTATTTTGGTGTGAGATTACGTTAAATTGTAGACATAAATCGACCCGGAAAAGAGCCTTTCTTTTTAGCTTCCCCAGTCAGTTGCTGCCATCGAAACTATATTTATCCGAGAATTGCGGATAAATTATGAGCACCAACTTTACATGTGTGTGTTTTTCGATAAAAATGGTTCACTACCCGTGCGTTCCCACATTCCCAGACAGGCACGGACAAGGCATTGTGGATGAACTGTGCACAATACAGGCTCTGAACACAAAACTCGTATTATTCCAAGGGAGTGTATTGTGAGGTCGCTGACTAACATTTACAGACGATTGACTCTTTTGTGTTACGATCTGGAGGGTAAACGGCTGTTGTATGCACTTAATAATTGGAAATCACAAATTCAACCTTCTGTATCCATTCTCTGAATCTTATGGTATAAAAACGCCTCGTTCGCCATTTCTTAAAGTCCTTAAATTGAGAGTTGTTGTGTTTAGGCCATCATTAATCAACAGTTCGCGTGACAATAACCGATATCCGATTAATATTTTGAGAGTTTTGAGAATTCCTCATTATTGGTGCACAATATCAAACATGAAATTTTCTTTGACTTAAATACAACTTGGAATGACGTGTCTGGTTTTTTTTCAACAAGGTGTTTCCCACTCAAGGTTCAATAATTCGGGTGACGGACCAAATATAGCTTCATGAATACTCGTCAGGGCTGGCTGGTTCTTTACGTGGGTCGACAAACCGGCTGCGTCATACAAAAACTACTTCCATCTTGCAAAAAAAAGTACTGTTTAATCGTCATATCTTGCTGCCCTTTGAGGCTATAGTCGGGTTACGACAATATGCGAGTTTAACATAGATGACTTGACGGATTATTCAATCGAGACAGAGTTCTTCTCGTGTTCAGTACAAGCCTGATTCATTTTCACACGCTGTACTGCGCAAAAGCCCATAATGCGTGGATGACAAGTATTTCATATTCGATTGGATTTCACATATGGATTTGAGACAGGCAAGGCTTTTCATAACTGTTTTCAGCAAGGTTGTGTTGCAGGGCCGGGGTTAGAGACTGCGGTTTTGGCTACCGGATTACGCGTACATACACGGTACTCTAGCTACTGGAATTACGCTTGGCCCCTCGGCTACTTGAACAACTCAATCTGAAATATCGTCGCTCCTGGAATTACGCACGGGCAGCAAGTTCAAGGGATTTGCAGTAGACTGTCGGTGCCTTTAGCCTTACCCTTACATCATCAACGTACCTCGCCCTTGCCATTGGAGTATCTTGCTCACATAGACAGCTCATCATGAATCGGCAAAATGAAAAGTCATTTTGCATTATGTTTTGTGCTTTTATTATGACGAGTTCAGCTGCCGGTGAAGTTACTTCACAGGCACCTTTTGTGAAAGGTGAGTTAATTGTCTCTTGTCATCTTTTGTAACTGCTAAATATAGGCTTACGACCATTACAAGTGGTTCTCAATATGGTTGGTTATACACTAGCAATAGCCTTAAATGCGTTTTTAATTGTAGTTTTGGCCACGCGTTTTCAGCGTTTATCACAGAGCTATATCACCGCAGTATTACCTACCAGAAAGGTGCATGTCTGAGCTGTGTGTGTTAAAAAGGTCTATATGTGTGAGATCCTGTTATCCTGTACGCTGAGTACTTGGAACAATATGTTACCTTCGATAACAATAAGCCTGAGGATCTGAGCCACATCCTCAGGAGGTTGTCGTGTACAAACCTCAAGGACATGTCCAGAAAAAGTTATAGTCCAAAGAATGGGAACACGAGTTCATCGCCTAACGAAAAATAGGAATGAACCGGCATTACTTTGAATGACACTTAGGCCTATATACAAACTACTTATGATACATGTACATTGAGTCCTGTACAATCTGGACTAGTCATGTGTAGACACTTGTATAAAACGTCGGGGGAAGTGATTGCGATTTCAGTTTATTTTTTCTATTCATTTTTCATATTTTATTGTCTTCTGGCGCGTCCAGCGTATATGGACAGGCAGCTACACGATCAGGGATACGGGTGCGGGGCCACGATTCAAGACACGGTGTCCGGGGAGATCTCTTCCTTCATCCCGGCTAATACCCCGGCCTTCAACTGCAGCCTGACGGTGGTCTCCCCGCCGGGCACCCGCTTGAGCTTGACCGTCACTCGTGTCCACTTGGTCACTCTCAACCTCAATACATGCGAAGGCAACCGGCTTAAGATCCTGAGTGATGAGGAGGAGGGTTCCACTTCCCTACTGCGCTCCTTCCCTAACGGTCTATGCGGCTACACCAAGCCCAGCCAGTCGGTGCTCTCCCCCGGTAACCGAGTGCACCTGCTGCTTGAATCGCACGAGACAGCTGTGGAGAACACGTTCAATCTAAGCTACACTGCCTTTAAGACGACAATAGGTAAGAACTAGTGGCGCACCCAAGGAGGTGGGGGCTCGGGGGGCCAGGGTCCCCCCCCCCCGGAGTTTGTCAATATATTTAATTTCATGATTTTTTATGATGGAAATGTAGAATTCCCTGTCGCCATTGGTAGGGCCAGGACGACTTTGACTTTTTGCCTACACGTGAAATTGCAAGAACAATTGGCGCCGGAATAAATACGCATGTGGTGTAGATGCTACTTCACGTATTTCAGTCGAGTGTCGCTGTAACAAACTCGTTCGGACCTAACCAAATTGTTTGTTATATCAGAATTTTGTATTAAGAGGAACATCAGTCCCATTCATTGTGCTTAATATAAATGCACGGTCGGGACCAAGGCTTTATGTTTGTTGTAACCAGAATTTTGTATTAACAGAGCTTGTACTAACGAGAGTCGACTGTATATGCCTTCATGAGTAGGCAAGGCCTCGTAAAGCTGCTCTCAGACAAGTCTCAGTCATAAGTGGCATTCAGTCAGTCAATGAGTCGCTAAGTGAAGCAGTCAGCCGGTCTTTTCTCCAGAATTAGACCCTACAACCTCAGAATCTGCTTGCCACTACTAGTACGGCAGATAGGTGATGGGATTGTGCTTCTGATCATACATACACAAATCATAGTATATATCATGAGACAAATATTTGGCTATGGGTCCAAGGCAGATTTGTCCTTTGAAAAACATAGGTAGAATAATTAACAAGCAATGACAGCCGATTTGAAAATTTTGAAAATTGCTTGTTATTCTATTTATGTTCTTTTTTCAAATGACAAATCTCCGATCGCCCTATCAGCCAAGTATCTTTCGTAATGCATACCGTGTTTCCAATGCCATGCTTCTATCACCAAATGCACAATTCCCCCAAACGTTTCCCCTATCTGCCCCACTATACCGTCATTCTTCATCTCCATTTTCTCCGTCTTGATTCGGTCAATTTCTTTATCAGTCATCATGATAAAACGTCTATATTTTTCAACTTTTGTGTCGTTGAATTTAACTTCAGATGATGACTGTTTCGCATGTGACGTTTTTGGGAACACTGACACACCGTTCTGCATCGATCCCAGACTGGTGTGCGATGACCGGCAAAACTGCCCACGAACTACCGAAGAAATCCCAGCAAATTGCATGGGTACGAGTTAGTTTTTTCTTCCATATATTTCGAAGCTGTGGTGCTTTGTGAAAAATTCAATAGACTCATGCATTGCAGGCATCGAAGAGGGCGTTCTTTGTTACTTTAATTTTGTTACAATAAAAGCATAAAAGGTTCGGTCATGCCTAAGGTCTATTCCTTGAAATTTCGCCATGTGCAATAAAAGCAATCTCTGCTGATTTCGATTTGAAAAGGATAAACGAAGGTGAGATACCTCAGGTGTTATCAAGATGCTTTCGAATAACATACTTCACCCGTGATGACCGACCTATCCAGGGGTGCTGGTAACGGCTAATTTCCTTCTCACGAAACTTCGTGAAGGAAACTGGGACCTCGCAAAGCATTATTGGTAGTTCACTTGCCATGGTCAATGTACTTTACTCTGCATATTATGTCATGTGCTCTAGGAATTATTGACCCCAGGTCACCGTCTAAACGAAATCGGCTGTCCAATGATAGCTAGAAAAGGAAAATAAATTAACTAAACATGTCCATATTTCGGCAAAATATCCCTCACGTTATACGTGACTTTTGACCTTGGTGGCCGATGCCCTCCCCCCCCCCCCAAAAAAAGAAGAAAAACAGACAAAGTCCAACGACAGGGCGCCCTTAATGGTATTTTTTTCATTATCTTTCTTTAGCTTCCTCGGCACCACCGTCTGGATCGGGAAACATTGTCATCATTGTCATTGTTTGTGTCTTGGCTGTTGTGCTCGTTGTGGTCCTTATCTTCATCATTCTGGCAGTCATGGCCAAGAGGGCGCAATCCAAACGAAACCGAGGCAGTGCAGGCCCCGGCCAATCTGAGAGGGCCAGCCAGTCCCGAAGGGTTGCGGCGCCACCGGGCCTGATGGTTGATCTCGACCGTCACCAAGGGTACGCCGACGTACCCGAGCTATACGAGCTCGCTCCGCGCCCGCCGCCGCCGCAGCTGCTCAGCCAACCACGCGGTCCCCCGCCGTCCTTCACCGTGGATGGAGAGCACCATGGTGGATTTCAGCCGGTCACCGCCGGGCGATTTCCTGGGGCACCCCCTGCTTATTCCACCCTCCCAAGGCCCAGGGAACAGTCACTTCAGATGGCCGAGAATACAAACCCAACATCTAGATCGCGGATTGCCAGCACTGACGAGGAAGTAGAACCCCGTACTCCATGAAATAGCCAGTCATCACGAGTTTGCCAAACAAGTAAAATGATCTACTTTAAGGATAAAATCATGGCGTGTGTATTCTATTGTATTGTAATTGGCGCGTCTCTCAGTGAAGGATTTGTGTCAACGATTCCCTGAAATAGATACTTGTCTCTTTTTGTATAAAAAAAAAAAAAAAAAAAAAAAAAGGGAGGTATTGTAAAATTGCATTTCAAGATTTAAGAATATTCGTAATTTCGTGTCATGGAGGGGGATACTTTTTGGGTGGAAAACTGCAGAGTCGGTTACCAATTGCCCCAATACTCTTGTGTACGCTCATCTACCGTGTTTATAACGAGATGAAAATACAAAGTCTTGTCTGGATAATGTTTGGAATACCGGTGTGGTGTGAAATTTGGATTCTGTGGAATCTGGGCGAATGGGTAGTATTACGCATGCCTTAGTGACCGTTATTACGACATGTGACAGGTCACGTTTTAGATTAGAGTCCATATAAGGTAAAAGACACTAGATTTCATAGGAGCTCACCAGAATTGTTTCTTCATGTGAGAACTAGTTCGCCATAAGCAACCAAAAAATCGCCTCTTTTTAACTTTTAATAGGCTACATAACTCATGTATTCCGATAGTGCACAATTTGCACCATTTATAAGGAACATTGTATCGTAGGTTTGAATGTAACAAAACATACAAATATCACAGATGAGCACATGCTGTCACTACATGCAAAACGTACCGTAGTCGTGTTTCAAATTCCCGATTCCTTGCAAATTATTAACAGAATTGCTTTTCGCCAAAGAGTGCTGTGGCCTCGTGGTTAAGGGCACTGGATTCGTGGTCTGTGGGTAAAGCTGCGGGTTGTGGGTTCGTGTCCAGCCGGGGTCATGGTGTGTGTGCCCTTGAGCAAGGCACTTTGTCACTCATTGCTTCTCCCCACCCAGGAGTAAATGGGTACCTGTGAGGGCAGAGATGGTTATTGTGATTGAATAAGCTTGCTTGCGCCTAACAGGCAGCATCGAGCTGTATACTCCCCAGGGAGCTGAGATGGTATTGGGAACGTTTCATTGGCCCAATAATCGGGGTAATAATAATACTGTAAGCGCTGTGATTTAGTTTACTAATAAGAGCGTTCTTCAATGCCGATTATTATTATTATTATAATTATTCATATTTCAGTGCGGAGACATTGTTTGAGACAGTGAGGCTGGGCTTCCTGTTAATAGCAGTATACAGGGTGGCACAAAAAAAAGGAAACACACTTTTGACAGGAAAGTATAACTCTTCAACCATACGCGGTGAAAACATCTCTAAAAAAATCGCACCAAAATCCACGTTTAAGTCTAGCGTAGTGTTTTTTGTCTTCAAATCAAGCTCCGGAGCTCAGTCAAGCGAATGGACAAGCTACCGTATCTCAGAGACAAAATATGCATTTGCAATCATTTTTTCGTTACTTTTGTTTAAAGATCAATATTTTTATACCATTAAATTGAATTTTTGAAAAAGCTCAATAAGTAGGTGGAAATTGCTGTCAAAATGGGTTTCCTTCTTTTTGTACCACCCTGTATATGTAATATATTGAACATCACGTGGTCATTGCTATCACAATATATCAATTTATTCAATATCTGTAATATAGAAACTGAAATTTATCTGCTGTTTTGCTTGTTGTATATTATCATTTTTGTTCGTTTTTGGGGCTAGATATTACGTAGTTGGTGAACTGTATTAAAATGGCTTTAGGTAAACCAAAACTTGTCATTAAGAACTTATTAAAAAAAATGCTTTATTGACTAAAATCTTTCAAGATTTGAAAGCAACAGTGTGCATATTGGGAAAATACATACTGCATGAATATTTCCTGACCTGGAATGCTCTATACTTATTGTGAATGGGAAATTGACCTTGATTCGAGGGTTTACAAAGTGGACAGTTATTCACATTTACAAGATGTTACGTATTATTAAATTAGACCAGCGTTCCGTTCCATTTCAACTTGCGTTTCTGTAAACACGAGGCACTCACATAATACCGCCCTAGGTTATATTTATGTCGTGAGTTAGCGATATTAACATAATCAAAAAGCGAATGTACTATTGATCAAAACTCTGTACAAAAAATCTGTTTAGAAAAGGAATAGTATAACATTGGTATAATGCTGATTCGGGGAGATTAAATGAAAACCTCGAAAGAAGTACCGACGGCCATCTTTGTGTACTTGATTTAGTACCGCGAAACCGTGACGTCATCAGGTTAGAGGTCAAGCTGCTCATCCAGCATTTCCTGCTCCAGACGGCGAGCATGGTCACGTGGGTTGTGGGTGTCTTCCTCTCGGCGGGGCCCATCTGTCAACTCGTACCTCTTGAACGTGTCCTGACCTATCCTGTGTATTTATAACAAGAGTGGAGATTACGCAAAAAAGTCATTCACGACGCACTCCTTTTCATGGAACCATTCAAAGGCATCGGCATGCTATGCTGTAAACTAATGGGCGTAAATCCCGGAAAGTGGAGAGAATAAAGCCCCTCCCCTCCCTCACTTTTTTTTGGGGGGGGGGGGGCTAGACACAATTTTTCTTCTTCTTTTTTGTTGGGGGGGGGGGGGGGGCTCAAGCCCCCTAGCCCCCGTACGACTGTCCCTACCTTATTTGGCGGATTTCCCTAGTAGGAGCTATATTTACCTTGTTTTCTTTCCCGACCACATTTTCTTAATTGTCATGTAAATACAAGTTTCTTCGGGCTTTAAATTAATGTGCTTTTGAGGAACTCTTGTTCTTTTTACTGGTACATTGTATACATTATATTCATCCAAGAAGCCCGATTCTTGCACAACTTTTGTTTTACCTGTTTGCCATCCACCTATCGTCACAGTTGTCAATGTGTGACGTCAGTATCCACGTGGTATGCAGAGTCTCCTCGCCGTCGCACAGGTGGCATTGCCCGGTCCAGCTGGTCACAGATTGGCCATTACGCCACATCACCGTCAGGCCAAAGGTCGGGTAGTCGCCATTGGTGGACGTGTGACCAATCAGCCTCGTCGGCCCTTGACCTATCGAAATAGATACAGACCCCAAATCAGACTCGACTACTAGTACTACAAGTCTCATTTGCAAATACCGATTTCTATGATCGAAAAGCCATACTCGAATTTGACAGGTACACATCTTATCTACTGAATCTGAAGATGCACACAAAGTGGTGGACTGTACTGTTGGCTGGAAATGTCGGTTCTGATTTCAATGATAACCCACTTTAAAGATATATAGTCCATCATTTGTAATTTGTGCATTTTGTTCGTTTGAAGCAACAAAAGTGTTCAAAATCTAATGAAGGATACTGAACAACTAACCTGATGAAGTTTCAGCTCAGCTTCAGCTGTATATTCCGAGAAAAACAGCATTCTAGGATCTCAATTTCAAATCAAAAGTTGCTGAATCATGTTTTGACTTGTTTTGAATTGCAGCTATACGCGATGTCGCGCACTGATCCGACGAATTATAGCTGCGCCGAATAACAAAACGAACTACTAATTAAAATTTTCCTACGGTACGTCTTAAGACGCACCGTTGGAAAGGCCTTCTTTCGTTGATTACTTCAAAATGATAGCTTCCCAGAAAGATTAATTTCACAGGGAGTTTAGTCCACTTACTATCTTTCAACCAAGTATGTTTTTCAACAATAATACGCCAGTTACTTTTTCGGATGGCTGCAAATGATGGACTATAGCTTTAAAGGTATATAGGATCATGTGCATTTTGTGAATTTTCTTTTTGTTCGAATGAACAAAATTGCTAGAAATTTGAGGTAGGGGGCATAAAAACAAACCTGTTGAACTTCCATCTCATTAGATAAAAGGGAATATGTGTACATTTTCATCAAATATTTGTGCTGGTTGGAATAAGTTTAATTGAAGGGAAAACACTGTGAGAAGCGTCCTTAGTGTTCTCCATCCACACAGCGTGATTAATATTCATGTTAGGGTGCGTGATTGGTTAAAATACGATATATGCTGCGTGATTAATATTCATGTTAGGGTGCGTGATTGGTTAAAATACGATATATGCTGCAAATAAAAAAAACACGCCTGCGGATAGGTACACCTCGCATTTTTTATCGGCAATTGTTTTCTTTTTTCTTCAAATTAAAACCACCTCAACGATTGTTTTTGTTCCGAACGATAACATTTCAGGCGGAATAATTTCACAGGATGTTTGATACTAGCCCAACCTTCACTTTGAGCGAGGTTTGCCGATGTTCCCACGTGCCAAAGGCCGAGCTTAAGGAACATGCTTGTTTTGTAGCTCTTCTTACCAGCCGTGCCGTGTTTCCTTTCCACTGCTGTGCGGTATTCACCAGACAGGACACCGACCTCGGAAGTGGCGTTGATGATCATTTCCGAACCAAGATGGTTGTACCATATCCCTTCAACCTGGCAGCCTAAATGCAGAAATGATAACGATATATGTTTTTGAATTGCTGTTTGTGTTTTGCCCTACCCTTAAATATACCCAGCACGGTATGTGACAGAGGGGTACCTCCCCATCTCCCTATACCCTACACACAACCTAGACGATTGCTACGTAACCCCCCCCCCCCCCGGTATCTGAAAAGAATTCCTGAGATTCTGGTAACACAATGACTAACAGAATGGGGTGCTCCCTCTGTCGCATATCGTGCTAAATATTTCTTTAAAGGACGCTTTTGAAACCAGACCACCTCCATGGAGTCAAGCTGCAATCTCTAAATTAATCTACCCTCTAACAATAACATCCCAATGTTTTATCCACCGTAAGGCTGGACAAAGAAAGTATCTGGAGCGGGATTTGAACTTGAAATCTCCGGAACACTGTACTTGCCCTCTACCATAAGCCTTCCAGTTATGTGAACTATATTACGTTGCCCTGGATCGTGCTTGCAAAAAAAGTCATGATGCTGGCACCGTTTTCAAACCTGAATAAAAACGACAAACGGGGATCACTAAAAGACTGAAATCGACTTTGTTGTTTGTTTCAGATAACCGATTTAATACCCGTTCTCCATTTGGCAATCTGCAAAAACTGAAGACAAAAACGTTATGGCTTACGGGATTTGGGAGTTCTGTTCCTATCCATTTCGTCCTCAACTGTAGGGGACTGCCTGACATCCTAGAAAAAAATCCCAAAATACAAAATAACAAGAAGGTGCAAAATAGTGTTAAATTTTCACGTCCGAAGTACTTGGCTAGTACGACCGGCAACAAAATATATCTATGATAATCCGCTGCCATAGACGCTAGTGTAATTGCAAGATGTAGTCGAGTAATTCGGACGAGTGCCCTCAATATGAAACATTCAAACAAAGAGCACTTTTTCATAATACATCTTCTCAGGTAGATTATTGTTATTCTAAATCCATGTACTGCTTTTACATTCGTTAAAGAAAATAGTAAAAATATGACAAAAATATCTGGAAAACATTAGCTTTAATATATGGGAACCCTATATTATTGCAAATAGACCTATGCCCATCTTCCAAACTCTTTTATTATTCAGAGCTCCCGATGGCTATTTGATAGAAGTGAATGCTCCAAGAGGTTTTGAATAACACTGAATTGGAACACAGACAGAGGAGTTGACCTGCATCGAATGCATTTTCTCGCAGAGGCCCGCCGTCTGGATTATAGAACATTTAAGGCCGCGTCCGAATTGCTATACGGCTTGAAATTACACGTGTCTGGCAGGGGCTGCAGCCACTCCCCCTATAATCGCGTGTAATGTCAAGCCGAAGCCAAATAATTCGGACACGGCCAAGGATACAATTATTTCATTATTCCTTTGCTCTTCACCTACCTCGTGACTTTCGCTTTGAGGTGCATCGTTGGAGTTCCACAACCAATCAACGAACAGGTCACGGCGCACGCGCTTGTTAATATCAGCTGCCAACACGCAAGATGTCAGCGCAAGGAGTAGCACTACCACTGCCTTCATGACTGCATGGAACAATGACCATGTAGATGACAATCGATACAAAAAAAGGGTATACATATTTAAATCAGTGAATTAACAATGAAAACTGAGCGACATATTCAAGAACTAACACAAACAGCAGTGACAATAAATTTCCAACAATAGAAGTGGCAAAACTGACAATTTCAGAAATGAGAGAAAGACCTTTAACAGTTTTTATAAGGCGACAATCTTGGTGTAGGCCCGTGTAACGTTTCAGAATCGGGGGAAAAAAAACTAAGGCCCCTAATCTCTGCAATATGCATATCAAATTTCCTACCCCAGAGATTGATTATAATGCGCTTCACCATTAGGTTCGGAACAATTTACTTTGTATGAATAACTGAAGTAAATTTAATTTTAAAACCGAAATGGAATAACTCACCGAATAATGTCGTGTAGAAATTAACTTTATCTCAAGAATTTGACAGAAGCTCTGACGCACTGGGAACGTTGAATATAACTTTGTTGTTGCACATCCAGCTCGTCTACTTATATTGTTCTGGTTGGTACCTTTGGCACAATACTCGGGGTCAAAGATTGCTCTAGAACAAACACGTCGAGCACGTAGATAGCGTGCCATTGTATTTAAATATTTGACCCAATGGGGTATTGGAGTTCAGCCAAGTGAACCATCAAACACCTTGCTGTTGTACTTTAGAGTGGTATTACGAGGAACTGTTCATCACTGGAATGATGGATCAGGAACAAACAAAAAGCGGTTGAAACAAAGCAAGTCTGACCCAATCAAAGTCGGTTTATACGCTAGACACGTTGAGACGGAGCAATACGCGGCATTATTTCATCCTTATTTCCCTCCCATAAAAGAAATTACTGCTTTTAACAACAGAGAATGATGGTTTTGTTTTTTAATTGTTTTACCAGGGAGGAGGGGGGAGGAGGACTGTGTCCCAATGCCCACTTAGTTACTTCCAAAATTAGTGAGCAGCCAATGCTTAGCGTTGTCTGTAGTTGACTGCCGTACGTTTGATCTCTGCTCCCACGCGTCATGGTCGTCTCGCGATGGTGTTTCTCATATCACAGTTCGTAGACCTATCCATGCACTGAGACTGAAGTTCAAAGTAATCAAGAAGGCGAGTGCGAGAATAAGGCAAGCAAACTTCACGTAAGACTCGAAAGGCTCGTAAACGCACTAGCGACGACCCGCATGGGACGCCGGATAGAGGGCACCTATTATATTCAGGCAAAATCGGTTTGTCAGTTTGGCGTCAAGGTCATTTATCCGGGTTGAAGTCACCCACAATTGTGCTTCCTCCACACTTTTCTTTTAACCGGTCATGAGCCCGTTGAAAAGTGGGACATGATCGAATCGGCAAGCTGATCGAAATTTTCCATAGAAACAACTAGAACAAGTACTTTCAACAATTGTTAAATTCTGAGTTCATTTAAAGTTCACAACCTCGTTAATAAAACAACTTTCAATCAACAGAGGGCGCTACATTTATGGTATTGTCAGAGCCGTAGAGGGTGATTTTTTAAGCGCACGGTTTTGAATTGCAAGTCAATTAATGTTTACACCATACTTAAATTACAGTCTGAAGGACTCGGCAAAATACAATCCAAAATATTATTATTCTTTTATTAGGCAAATAGTCAATTTACAAGGTTGCAAATTAACTTGCGTAGCGTATGTACATGTACATTGACAATAGCGGAAACTTACACTATCATTTGTGAGTGCGGCACCAGGCTGTCGGGTTACGAGAACTCCCAAATTGGGAAAATGTATCAATTAAGATACGTTGCCAAAGTTTTGATGGGCCAAATGTTTTACTGAAAAAAAGAACATCTTTATTGACGAGATTGCACTATTATTCCACAATGTCATCCTCTCTTATACTAGCTGTTCAAGTGCCTTTTCTTCAAAAGCCTGTCACCTTCACTTTACGCAACGCCTGGATGATATATGTTTACCATGAGTGATACTAATGATTTAAAAGCAGTCTGTGAAGTAATTTCATCCAATGTCGGCAATTTATGATGAAGTTTTAATAATAAATGGCTTTTTAATTAAAAAGAGAGTATGCCGTGAAAAAATGGTAGCTCGACCCCCAGCCAACATTGACAGCTACAGACGTGGTGATTTATTAGGTGGATTGACGCAATTTTTCAAATAGAGATTATTGAAAGTGAAGTACATGGATATTGCATATTTGGAAGATGTATATATACATGAGGTACAATGGTCAGCTTACGTTTATTGTTCTATAAATCGAAATTAAAATAAATCAAAGTCTTTATAAGTACATTTTGCGTTTTAATCCATGCATGCGTTTCCAAGCGTGTTTTGTTTACTTCCTTGAGTGTACATGCTCGAACTTTCTTAAAATTTAAGGCATAAGCGTATTTTCAATTTTTTCATACTTAATTTTAATCCTTAAGTTATGATGATCATCACACCCCAACCCACCAAAAAAAATGACATAATAACAAATACATATCTAATAATAATAATAATATTATCGAATTCTTGTATAGCGCCAAATCCGTCAAAATTGACGCTCAAGGCGCTTCACAGAAATAAAAATGAACCAGTTAAAATTTAAGAACAAACTAAAACTTATATAAAGAAAAACCTTTAAAAACTAGGTGAACAATAAGGAAAAAAGTTGTCTAAAACAGGCAGGTATCATATATATATTATACTTAACTCATTCAGAGTGCCACTACATTTTATCTAAATATTCCAAGTGCAAACCTATTTTATTGTGGCAGTATCATTCATTTTTCAGTGGACTTGTAACTAGTCTGACTTTTTCTCTGACGGCACTATCAGAAGAAATCTCTGCAGGAAAGACGTCAGTGCATCTATATCAAAGAAACGAGAAATTAGACATCATGAATTTTCCGTAATAAACAGTGAATGTATCGGGCACTTTCGCTGGTAGACAGTATTTTTCTTAAATTGAGATGCAAAAGCTGACGTGAACCAGCGAGGTAAGTATTCCCTGAACTAGACCTTTCTTTCACTCACTCATTTTTAAATTGAGGTCAAAAATTTCCCATCTTCTGATTGGTCCTTTACATGCATATCTAATGCCTTGTTCTCGATCTCCACAACACAAACCCCACATAGGCTTTACGTCTTGTGAGAAATGTTCCTTCCTCGCTTTAGTTATTTAAAAGGTAAATTGAGAAGTGAAAAACGCTCACTGTGTTCGAACTCGGATTACATGATTAGAAGTCAGGACTACTTCCAACCAGTCCACAAATCAGCTGCCAATCGTCGGTGATTTAAACACCATTATTCCTTGTTGTATAACTTATTTTCTAAAGCCCTATGGACATCATGAATATGCATAACACAGAGAGAGCGAGAGAGCGCGCCCTCTTTTGTTATTGACGGATCTTGTTGGGGAAAAATAATTCGCGGCCCGGCCGCACCGCAAAAATAGAAGTTTCATTCCACAGTAAATGAAAGTTGCATTGCACGGTGACACTAGTTATCACTGTGATGATAAGAATTTATTTAGGCGTTGTACATGTATAAAACAAACAATGAATGTTTCACATTCGTGTACGGTGGAAAGAATCCTCATTCCGTCGGTGACTGATGGAATGTTCCATTCCAGTTGGCTTCACCTGGTGGAATGGAACAATCCATCTATCACCTCACGAAATTATTCTTACCATTGCACTTATAAACTTTCATTATTTGTATGATCCTGCTATTTGACTTAATCATCATTTTAGTTACCAAATGCATGAAACCCTTCCACAGCCCTGTGGAAGAGTTTGCTCCAACATTTTCATCTATAACAAAAAATGGAAACTTAAGCGAGCTGATCTCAGGCCGCGTCCGAAACAGTTGGCTACGGCCGGCAGATACCATGTGACAGGGCACGTGGTTGAAGCCACTTTAAGCGCATGGGAACTAAAGCCGTAGGTAAGTAATTCGGACGCGAGCTGATTCTTACCCATTGCATTGGTAAACCAGGTGGGCTTGTTCTCCCACCAGACGAAGAGGAGATAGAGTGGTATCCCTGCCACAGTGATGGCGGCTCCGATGCCACAATCCATCGGGGAGGAGTAGAGGGAGACAGCCAACACAAACAAGCCACAGATGATGAAAATGAACGGTAGAATGATCGGAACCTGGCCCAAACAAAGGATGATTTTTTTTAACTTGGTCACCAAACTTAAGTCGGCGAATCTCTGGCAAATAGAGTATATGAGCTCCGTGCGTTACCAAAAGAGGGCGCCCTTTTTCCTAACAACTGGCGGACATTTCACTGGTTGACGCGCACCGTTCCTTGTGTGTGACGCACGTACACCAGGGGATTTGTTCTATTTACACGCAGTGGCCGCGCTTCTCGGCAAATGAATTGCAGTCAGGCAAGATGGCGTCAGTCGGTCACCCCCATTGATCTCCATATCTCCATCTGTACTTCCTTTGCCGGTGAGGGGGTGCTTGTGAACGGAGCGGATTGAGAGAGAAAAACTGAGTGTTTCATATGAATGGTAAGCTTGTCTTCACACGAATGTTGAATTTTTCAAATTAGTAGCTGTGGTGAGGAATTATGCCATTTTCACTGAAGTGGCTCATTTTCCAGTCTGCACACGGAATTAGTTTTGCCTTTTTTTTTAATGTATCAATGACTTCAAGTGAGTCAGTCACCATGACTAGGTTTTTATTTGTAATTGCATCAGTACGCGATTTCACAATATTTGTTTAACCATGGAACCGTGGTCGGAGTGTTTTTAGCGTGTGTTCTTTGCTAGCGCTTTTCTTCAAAATGGAACAACACGAAACCGTTTCACCAAATATGTCCAAGATACCAGCCTATAACATATCTCATTCCCACTTGTTTTGATAATTGCTACATATTTTTAATATTTTCTTTAATTTGGGTCCAGATCGTTCTGACTCACCCTGCAGAGTCGAGTGATAGCCGACAAAAGCAATTGACGTCATAAATGGGGGAATAGCTATACGATGTTGCCTTTATAGGTCGGTTTGCGTGTTGAAGTGGTTTAAAAATATATATTGGTGAATTTGGCCCAAATCTACCGATATTGAAATGTTATAAAACTGTTTTAAAGATTTCTAAAAATGAGTTGTGGGATGGTATGAGTAGTTAGCAACCCCCTTCTGTCTGTGTGGCCAATGCTAATTATATGAATATTAAAGAAAAAACTCCCCCCCCCAAAAAAAAAAATACGAACTTCCATTTGTGAATTCAATTCTATATTAACCCCCTCCATTTTTTTTTATGTCATAATGTTTTCCCCAACGCCCTTTAGCCACCCCTAACAAAATGGAGTGGCCAATGTCATCTCCTGTCTTTTGACATCATACCTTGAATGGTCTGGGCAGGTCTGGATACTTCCATCTGTAATATGGGATGACGGCGAGCGACAGGCATACGAAAACCCAGTTGGAAAAGCTCATGTAGTTAAGAATTGTGCCAATGTCTGCAAAGATCAGCATGCACACGGCGATGGGGAACTGTAGAGTAAAAACACACAGTGCTGTATTAGTCACTCAGTTTGTAATTTTCGATGAAATTAACGACTCGGAAAGAAATGAATTCGGGAAAGTGGTTTTATATTGCTCGGATAAACAATTTGTGCATTCGTTGTTACTAATATACAATAACATCAGACCGCCCTCTAATGAAGTAATCACGACGCATAAGCTGATAAGGTCTATACGACCGAATCATATTCTTCAACGTATCGAGACAAGTTTCATGATGAGCGGTTTTACCAAACAAATGTGCAGACTGGAACCGGCTAGCTGTGAAAATTCGAGGCACCGCGCGCGGGAGACACATGATTCGACGCTTGATGAAAGCGCTGTTCATCAGAGGTATGTACAGCAATGTTGCCGTATTTTAGGTCCACCGCCGGATAATAGTTAAAATGTCCGCTGTACTGCAAACCTCCGTATGGTCAGTTGATTTGCAGTTGAAACAAATTAAATCAGTTTTTAAGTAATCAGTACGATTGATAACCAGCACAGGGCCCATGCAATATATTTTCTTTAATGCTATCCATGAAAATGCACCTTTGTTTAGCATTTAACCTCGTTTTCAATTTTCATTTTGCCATTTTGAAGTTTCGCCAATTTGGTGTTGCCTTTTTGGTATTCATGCAAATGCGAATTTCCATATTCATGAGCAAAACTGTGATGTCATTCCGAGTAGAAACCTCAATGTTACAGCTATTTCAGCACATAAAGTTGCTAGAATTTTGAATATTTTGCTGTCATAAATTTTCTTTTCTTTGATGATTCGTTGTTTTGTAAGTACATGGCAGTAAGCCAATGAGCAACCCTTTCTCACAAATGTCTTCAATGAGAAAATGTTGCGTTCGCAATTTGAACAGAAAACCCCTAAACTGAACAGTCTTCCTGAAATGACATCACACCAACAGCGGTCTCAGTTGTTCAGAAAAGCATGGAACATTTTAAACGTTTAAAGAAAAGCGCTTTTCAATAAATTTAACCAAAAAGGATGTCAACTAGTTTTCATACATTTTAAAAGGAGTAAGTTGCACAAAATGTGATCAGCAGAAAATTAATCCTAGGACCCTTTAATGTTTTGTTCGCAAATTTCCAAATCTTGTATGAACTTCAATCGACCGTTCCGTGAGGCGATCATGCCTGAAAGCAATATAAAGAGGACATATTCACATTTTAACCAGTTATGTCATTATAAGGACAAGAAATTCATACAAAAGCAACTGCTGCTGGTAACGGCGTCTTGTAGTGTACGTGGATCATCCCAAGGACTTGAGGCATAACGCCCTCTTGTGACGACACCATCAGAGTCCTGAAAGAGATTAAATAGTCCGATCGGTTGAGCCTCCAGAGACACATTAAACACACCATCAGCAATGGTTTTACAGAATATTTCATGACTTGGTGCGCATACACTGGAGATTAGGTAAAGTCCTATAACCCATTCAAAATGGCTAAATAATAATTTTGCAACAAATTGTATTATAAGTCATCATTACAGGTATGCCGTGATACCACTTACCTGGAAACTCCAAAGATCGTTCCATTTGCACCTCCGATGCAAGACAATGCAACGGCCACCGAACAAATCACAGACCATGAGCCCAAGACACGTTCACCAAAAGTCTTTGAAAAGAAAAGCGAAACATGTGTTGAAATTGGCCAGTTTCCTTAAAGAACGATGAGAAAGTAAATTCTATACAGAATGAGTAAAAAAAATAGAGACCCAAATAGCAGGACCAATTTTCGAATGAAGTTTGGCCTGTAGCACTTTTAAAATCTAGGATATAAAAGCCCAATCAATTAGCTTTCTTTTAGTACAAGAATTATTTAAATCACTCATGTAATTTTCAAATCAATCCAGTAAGTGTTTTTTTTTCAGCAAAACAAATCGATTCACACACATCCTTTGTGAATTGTTTTCGTCTTGCTGAAAGAACACTTACCTTTTTTGTGATCCATGGACAGAACTTTACACCGGCGTTTGTGTTGAAATTCCCTAACCTGAAAAATACATGAGTGATTTGAATCGCATTCCTTTAGCACAAGAAAGCTTATTGACTGGGCTTTTATATCCTAGATTTTGAAAGTGCTACAGGCAAAACTTCATTCAGGAATTGGTCTGGCGTTTGGGTTTGTTTCTCTCTTTTTTTTCGCTTTTTTTTTTTACCCACCCTGTGCCTAACATGCTCACCTATGGTAAAACGGGATTAAACACAGAACCGCAGAAACACATCAGTACAAAATGTATCAACTTTGATAGAAGACGGAATAGTCGAACCTATACTGGGTTAATATATTCCGAACTATGTTACAATTTTAACATAAAAAGACGTAAGACGGGAAGCATGATGGTTTGAGTCCCGCCGGAGGTAAAATGTGGACCCTTTCCCTCTAAACCCGTAAACTATCAAAAAGCTTGCAGTAATTATTAAACTCTAGGCATGGATTTGAATTTCATTTGCCCCGATTCAAAATATCATCAAAAGTTCACGACGTTTAAAATCTAGAACTAGGTACAATTTGTTTTTGTTTTAACATATCAGTAGGCCTATGGCTGAAGCTATTGAACTCCACTGATTTGTTAATATAGATGAAGATTGCAATTAGAATCGTGCACTCCGTACCCATATGTGTACAGGCAAGCCGCGATTCGCCCTATGGCTCTCTGGGTAAGCCACACTGCATGCACGGCGCCATTACTAAGTTTTTTGTGGGGAATTTCAATGTCGTCATGGAGTTACCAGTGCAACGGCGTTTGAAGCCAATAAATCCACCGGGGAAAGGACTGCATAATACGCCAGATTGGCCAGGATGTAGCCAATGGTAATCACAACCATCGACACGATGATGCCCAGTGGAAGATTTCTGTGATAGACAAAAAAAGGAAAAACAGATCGAGAAAGAAAGTGCTTAGCGTTTAAAACATGCTTGCGGTTGATAAATCGACGAGACTTACAACAATAGCAAAAGTATAGTTCGGAAAAGCCGTTCGATCATTTAGTTAGCCTAACTGTTAGTGCCAGAGCCCGTAAATAGAAAGACAGAAATTCACAGACGCTACTAGTCTTTGTCAAAGACGTTTAATACTATCCGATATTATGTTGTTTCGCGATTCATTTGGAGAGCTGTGCATTTTTGCTAATGGCATCGACAGAGGGCGCAAATGTAATAACCTGGTCAGGAATCATATTAAATAACGATGGAATTGATTGTTATCAAAGCTAAGAATCGATTGGACTAAAGCACTACTAATGGAAAACAACAGAGGATCGATTTAAACTATTAAGGAAAGATAAAACCACGAAGTTCTTGATGTTGACAATTAATGTTGATGAGCTGTTTCAAACCGTAAAGATGCAATGTATAGCCTTTTCAGAAACCATCTCAAAATTTCTGTCAAAACTTTGTAAAATTGTATCGTTATGGTAAATTATTTTAGGTCGTACCTTGATGGATTAATCATTTCCTCTGTGACACACGGAAGGTATTGCCTAAGGAAGAGAGCATACGCAACTTGTTAAATATTCAGCACTGTCACTTTTTTTTGGCTTTTACGGGTGTTTCTGGTTTGTCTGCAAACTAGTTCCCTCAAAAACGCAAAATAAATACCATCACTGTCTACATTGCCTTCCATAGGTGCAATTCCATAGGTGATTTTTTAGGAACCAGACTTAAAGTGAGAGCTCAAAAAATAAAAACTCTCACTGCAAGTCTAATTCCTGTCAATGGGCATAAATCACGTGGGGATAGGGAGGATATATCCCCTCCCCCCCCCCCCCCCCCCCCCCCCCCCCACACACACACACACCCATTTACGTATTTACGTTACATACCTAGTGTGGGCATTCCTTTGTTTTCGTGTACTCTGAAAAAAACTCATTTTGCTCACACTGTGAAAACACTTTCAACCCATTTTTTTTCTATGATTCCCTTTAGTGTTTCTCTTCATTTTGCCAAAAATAAACCTTACCCAAAAATGTCTCTAAACCTGTTTTCCAGAGGGGGGGAAACACTGTGTGGATGAAGGCATTCACACGGTTAGGTCAGATTGTTTCGGCATGCATGATAACGTAGGTCGATATCTTGAGCGTTTTACGGGATACGTGCATAAGTTAACGTGATGGGGTCAATTATTGTACCTATTTACGCATAGCATTCGACCAATCGACCGTAGTATTGGTAACAAGTTCTTACCACCCTCCGTAAGCAAAGAGACCCGAATAGAACGCTAGTGGAATCTTCGCTGGTGAAACATCGATAACTGGGGTGAATCCACTCTGAAAGTTTTCAGTTTGACCTGTGAAAATCATACGCTTCAGTTTTAACGCATTTACAAGTGAACGTGTTTAACATTCGGAAAATTGGTGGTCACAAAACAAAACGAGAAACCAAGCTTGAGCCCGAAACCAAACCAAGCCCAACCCATCCAAACTAAACCCAAACTAAACCCAATCCAACCCAAACAAGCCCAAACCAAACCCAACACAAACCATCCCAAACCAAACCACCAACCCAACCTAATCTGACCCAAACCAAACCAGCCCAAAAGAACCCGACCAAATACCCAACTCGAATGAACCCAACTTAACCACAAACCCAACCAAGCCAATCCAAAGTAACCCAACCCGGCTCAACCCAAGTCAACTCAGAACTGAACTCAACCCAACTCAGCAAAAACCAACTCAACTCCAACTCAACACAAGCCGACTCAACCCAACCCAACCCTACTCAACCAAATTAATAAACAAAAGGAGCAAATCTTCTGTGTTTTTTCCCTTACAAATCCCGTATGTTGTACCTTGAATAATGACGACAAACCCTGCGATAATGATGATGACTAGCCCTGCAACCTTAGCGACAGTGAAGATAATTTGTACCCGATTGCTCCATGGGACACTCACACAATTCAAGCAAAAGATAGCAGCTGCAGAGAAAAACATGAACAAAATTCATAGATTCGTTAAAACTTTCGTTTTAACCTTACAATGTTAAATGCTAGGGCCAATACAGTGACTAAAAAAATTACAGGCTATGCTTATTTGCTTTTATTACTCGAAATTGTATTCTTCCACCAATTTTTTGTTATCAAAAAGAGCATTTTTTTATTCAAATCAAATGTTTGTTTTGCAGTAATTATTGTGTGCATGACCTACAGTGACTGTCCGTTTGGGTCCTAGCTCTATGGTTTACCTAACAAAGAAGCGCCCAATAGCTGTATGACAATCCTTGGCGGGTTGCACTCCCCAAAGAACGGCCCGGCCAAGTAGGTGGCCGCCGTTATCATCAGGATAGCTGATGTTCCCGTGCGGGCAGCGACAACAAGCGTGTAGACTCGCAGGAACGCCGGCACAGCCCCGAAACTCTCCAAGAGATAGGTGAAGTCGCCCCCGGAGCGGGGGATCATGGTGCCTAGCTCCGCGTAGCACAGGGCGCCGATGGTGGACAGCACACCGCAGGACACCCAGACGACCAGCGACAGGCCCACGCTACCGGTGTTTTCGAGGACTCCCTTCGGGGAGATGAAGATCCCCGAACCGATGACCGTACCCACGACTAGAGCAATGCATCCCCACAAGCCGATCTGACGTTTCAGCACCACCCGATCCTTACTGGGTTGACTGCTTGTCAGCGAGGATACCTCGCCTGTGTGATGCTCCGGATCAGAGCACAAACTTCCTTTGCCGTCTCGCTCCATTGTTGAATTTGGAAGTAATCTGACCGCGCAGAACTCACGTTGATATTTTAACCGTAATTTTACCCTTTAGGGTATCAATATAATGATAAGAACACTGACATAATGATAAGAACACTGACCTTGGGGGGGGGGGCCTAGGCACCACGTGACACGATTTAGTTGAAAGTCAGTGTTCTTATCATTATATTGATACCCTAAAGGGTGCAAAGGACAAGTTAAAATTCATAAAATGGGCAAGGTATAAATGCTGCCATTTATTGTCACCCAGTCCTTCAAAACACTCCTTGTGTGTTTTTCATCGAAGTACCCCAAGATAAGAACCAATATAGATATGGGTACCTTTGGAGCGATATACAAAATCGATTTGTTTTTAAATTATTTTCTGGGAAGAAAAGACTTTGGTCACTCACTCCTTAAGTTCTTTCATAGTTTTCATCCCACAAAACAATTTCTTTTTAAATCGATTTTTAGACAGTGGACACTTGTGTATTAAGTATTTACATCAAATGAAAATATGTGATGAAATTATCAAGGGACAAAATGAAAAAGATCGAATGAAAAGATCGAAATTGTGAAACTTATTTTCTCTGTAAATTCCAAGGAGTGAAATTAGGGACTAGACGTTTTCTCAGTTTCGATTGAAATAGTCTGAAAATTGAACCACTTCAGTCGAAGCTCGAGTGAAACCTCGATCTTTACGATTGAAGGAATTTCACTCTGAAAGGTCTAGTCCCTAGTTTCCGACTATGGGAGTGAATCTTCACTCGAATGGAGTGAAGTTTCACTCTTTGGAATTTAGAGAGTTATTAACCAACCAATATTGCATCTCCTCTCAATTAACACAGACAAAAACTGATAGCCAGGGGCAAATGTTATGACTAGGGTTGGAGACTGAACAAAAATCGAGCAAATAAGAAGCGTGAACAAGTAAATAAGAAATACTCGCTTTTTTATTTGAGGATTTGTCTATATGTCGTTTATGAATCAATGTACGGTGAAATTAGATCAATGTATTCTGTAATTTTATAGCAGTTATATGCATTATATACATGAACATATTAAAATTATTCTATTGTGGTAAAATAACTTGGTAATAATATAATGTGGAGAAATATTTATAAATCAAAGCCTGCAAAGACGTAAAATGTACTCTGTTCAAGTGGTTGGCACCGCCTACTTAGCAAGTCAAGAACAAGCAGAATACTTTTCTTCATAATACTGTTTTCACTAATAAATGCTTTCAGAGGAAGAAAGAATTGTTAAAAAGCAAACAGAAACCAAAAACAATTGGTTTAAAAAATAAGTTGATCCTGAACAATGCCTTACTGAACAAAAACTGTAATTTAATCTAAATAGATGAGATAGATTCACAGGAACGTTGGTTTTACATGCATAACCGACCAAATTTTGATAGGAATTAAGGGAGTTAAAAACAGGCCACAAACGTATTTTCCCTTTTTCCAAAAAGGATGGGATGAAAAAATACTTTCTCGAGATTGGGAAAGGTTGATTTGATTTTTTAGTAAAGATATATGGAGTATTATCATACTAATATCGCAATACAGAGTGAGTAAAAAAACGAAACCCAAATGTCGGGACCATTTTTTAGTAAGGTTCTGATGTATATCACTTTCAAAATTTAGTATATGAAAGCCCAATTCACAAGCTCTATTTTAGTACAAGAATCATTCAAATCACTCATTTACTTTCAAGTTAACGGAATTTTAAACACAGCCACCGTTTTAAATTTCTGTCCATGGATCACAAAAAGGTTTTGTTCTTTCAGCAATACGAAAACAATTCACATAGGGATGTGTGTGAATTCTTTTCGTTTTGCTGAAAGAACGCATACCTTTTTTTTGTGATCCGTGGACAGAATTTAAAACAGCGGTAACTTGAAAAGTACATAAGTGATTTGAATGATTCTTGTTCTAAAATAAAGCTTATTAATAAGGCTTTCATATCCTAGATTTGAACTTCACTAAAAAAAAATATGGTCCCGACATTTGGGCTTCGTTTTCTTTTTTACTCACCCTGTACATTGGGGCCTTACCCCAATCAAAACACAAATAAAGTCATAAGCGCATCTTCTTAATGACATGTACAGACCACAAGAGTACTAAGATGGTTTTTCCCTGAACATTGAATACAACAATGGGAACGTTAAACTGGCTGATAAGCATCCAGGAAAATTGACACCATAAAATGTTGCCACATAGTGATATTTACAGGGAATTATTTACAGAGTAAATATGAGAGGTAACATGCGAGACAAAATGAAGGAATGGCCATGTACTGGTAACTTTTTTTTCACACCGGTACCAAAGCAAAAATATAACGAACAGCAATCGGAAACAGAGAGTCTAAATAACGGTAGTTCTAATATGTTTTCCAAGCACAGGCGTAAGATTGGTAAGTGACATGCACGAGCCGAGAGTCGCGCGAGATCACGCGAGGTATCAGTTTGTCTTCTTATGTTCGGGCACTATCAGGAGATATCGCTGGAGGAAGCACGTCACTGCATCTGTAGAACCAAACAAACAAGCTTGACACCTTCAATTCTCAACATAAATTAACCCTCTTGAATGACTGGTTGAGGAGAATGTGGCGAAATGTATCTCAAAACAAAACAAAAAGTAGAACAGAGGACGTTTTTTGTGAGGCTTCTGGGTACAAAAAGCTGGAAACTATTGGCGTAGCTTTTAATGGGGGGGGGGTAAGTCAGCTTTACAAATAGGTGGCGCTCTTCATCCCTGCAAATTTGCCGATGCATACACTCTTTATCTGACCATGGAGCTCCATGATCTGACAGGCCGATTACGCCGTCCCAATTTTACTTCAATCAGTATCCCAATTCGATTTTAAAATCTGAAGCCCGTTGCAACCTGCCACTCTGCGACCCCACCCCGTTACGCCACTGTTGCTGTAAACTAGGCTTTTCTGGCTCACAGGCACTCAAAGTGTGAGGCGTACTTTTATGAAAAATACTGTGTCTGCAAGCAATCGTAGGCCAAACTATCTTACCAACTGCATTGGTAAACCAGGCGGGTTGGTTGTCCCACCAGACGAAGAGAAGATAGACTGGGATCCCTGTTACGGTGATGGCGGCTCCGATGCCACAATCCAAGGGGGAGGAATAAATGGAGACGACCACCACGAACAAGCAACAGATGATGAAGATGATCGGCAATATGATCGGAACCTGCCCGAAGCCAAGGTATAAAATGCTCTGGTTTAAAGGCTTGTCAAATACATCAGGTTAAATGTGTCCAAAATCATACCGCCTCCCCCTCCAGTTCTTCTAAACCAAACATCACATCCAAGTCGGAGATACCTATAGGGTGTAGATGATCCGTGGTTTATGGTGCACTGGCGTATCCGGTGGAGACAACGGTAGCCAGCCAAGTTATTGTTTGATAATAATTGAACCAGAAGATGGCTGAAAGACATGGTTTTTTTTAAGTCGATGGTATTCTTCACCTTTCCCTTTTAGGATTCGTTCAATTTCAAATAGAAAGAATAAATGAAAAAGGGGGTAAATAAGTTTCAGCCTCCCTTTGAAAACGTAGGCCATATCTCTGCCGTGAATCCCTGATGACCCTTGACCTACCTTGAATGGTCTGGGCCAATCCGGGTGCTTCCACCGGAAGTAAGGGATCACCGCTACAGCTATGGAAATGAACAGCCAACGGGTGAAGCTCAGGTAGTTGATCAGAGTGTTAATGTCCGGAGCCATCAGCATAGCGATCACAATCGGAAACTGCCGAGGGAACGAGAAAGCAAAGGTAAATCTACACCCCAAGCCAACAGTATACAGACCCTTTGTGCTGTTTGTGGTGGGGTTGGATGGGGACGGGGTGGGGGAGGAGATTGTCATCACCCGAAGAGGAGATGTTCTACTGTCTATTGTCTACATTGTAAACGAATGCAACAATGCTGAGCCGCATCCTTCGTACCGAAGGATAGTACTGCAGTTATCTGTGTACATCTTAATTATACATCAGTAAGATAACTGGCTACTCATCATGGGACTGTTTTCCGCAATTCATTGTTGATATGAAGACAGTTTGAGGTATTACAGGTTGGTATTTCCCTCGCAAAGACAAAACGCTCATGTACAATGTAGGTCGATCTACTTTACTGCGACTATGCTAAAATTGGCTGCACATAAGAGCATGAAAGGGAAGCCGGTATACCAAAACTCTAATTAATTGATTCAGAACGCTAAAATAAATTCGTAGAATAAGTTGTAGTGGTTACTTGATGGAAATGAAAAATCCCCTTCCTGACGTTCACATGGAAGTGAACTTAATCACCTTCACATGTTTTATGCATACATGAATTTAACGAGCAGCGCAAAGAGTAACGTACATCACATACACGAGTAAGTAAGCCCCGTATGAAGCTATTCCCACACTAGTAGTGTAAGTTACAGCCAGACAGTCCGTGAGATAGGTAACTAGTGCAAGTCACAAGTGACCGTCGGTGAGTCGGGGAGTCGGTCAGTCAGTCAGTCAGATGCAAAAAGGACACTAAGCTCGCCCTCTTGGTCCGGCAAATTAAAAACCACTTAAGGTAAACATTATCCATACGGAAGCAATGGCAGCAGGGAGTGGCGTCTTGTTGTGCACGTGTATCATACCAAGAACCTGGGGCATGAGGCCCTCTCGCGACGACACCATCAGAATCCTTTCAAACAAAAAGATGGAAAAAGAAAAGAAACATTAAATCTTCATTCTAGAATGATTTGCTTCGTATAACCAGCTCCCATTCATAATATTTTTTTATTTACACAATGAAATTATTCACAGCGTAACCTATTGACCTTAAACAGATTAGACTGATACAAAAGAAAAAAATATCTATGTATACGTGCAGTACGTATGAAAATATCATGATTTTAGAGAGGGTGTGTTGATGAAATCAAAGTCATCTCTTAAGATCGCGTAGAGAGATTGGCATTGTTATTGCTCACCTTGCAAATGAGAAGAGTGCCCCATTTAGAGATCCAATGCAGGAAAAAGCGACGGCGACTGAGATAATGACAGACCAGGGACCAAGTACACGCTCACCAAACGTCTAAGAAAATGAAGCAGTAACGAAAAAAATAGTGACAAGATTTTAATGACAGTAGGCAGTTACCGAAGTGACTACACGCTTCATGGAAGTTGAGTTTGCTTTGGTTGTCCCGTAAAATTGTGCAATGGACTCCGCCATAGCAAAAATATAAAACTGATAGGCCGCGTCGAGCTATCTTGTGTCGAGCTCTGTATGTCGCCAACATTTAAAGCACATGCTGGCCATACACATTGTCCCCCTATAGTTTGCTGGATGTACATAGATAAATGTTATCATAAACAAGACTATTAAGAGTGTAACCAGGAAACTCCGTTAAAATCTGCGTATATCTTCATGAAAACCATTGATAAAAACATTTTCCAGTATATATTAAATGAATAAGTTACCAGTGCCACTGCATCTGACGCCAGCAACTCAACCGGGGAAAGAACCACGAAGTACGATAGATTAGCCATGATGTAGACGGCAGTAATGATGACCATCGATATGACAATACCCAGGGGAATATTTCTGCCAGGGCAAAAGGAATAATATTAGTACAATTTTAAAAAAATATATACTCCTTTCTTTGACGCACATTTAAGTTTAGAAACTGAGTTGGGCGCTTTGGGGCGTGCTATATGCATGCGCTCTCATTTAACTTCCACCGGGATTGAAACTGCCACGTCAGGATTACACTCTGATTAAATATATGATGAAAATGGGCCATCCGGCCCTTTTCATATTGGAAAATATTTATTAGTACGTCTATGCTATTTTCTTGATCTAGGCAATGGGAGGTATAACGACAGGGTGGCTACCCCCGACCCGACTCCACCTCTCCCGTACAAGAATGGAAGAAGCGGTGATGTTTTTATTTCAATTCTGGAGTTAGTTTACTTAAATCGCGGATGGGTTGCGGACAGGTGTATTTGCAAGCAGGCCATTGTATCGAATATTCCTCGCAGGATTCAAAAACAAATTCTCGTGAATCTTCCTGCATTGAATTCAAGTTATCAACCTCGTTCAAACACTGATATCTTAATTGGGAATGTTTCAGAACCCTAAAAGTAATACCCGATGCAATGCGCATGTTGCAGATGAACGTTTCTGCAACTTATCACGAGTTTTGAATGAGATGACTCCTTTACCATCACATCAGATTGCAATAATGGCACCATTCGATTTGTGAACAAAACTTTCTAATATGTAAAAACTGACTAACTAGAACATATTTCACGGATCCTTCGGCAGCTCACCTTGCAGGGTTGATGATTTCTTCTGTAAAACTGGGCAAAAATTGCCTGTGAAAAAGAAAGCAATGAAATGCCAACTTGCTATTAACAGAAAATCCACTTCAGGAGTAAAACAATATTAAACTATGAATAGTCATTGAAAGAATACTGCCAGAATGCCAAGGAGCCAGGCCTTTGTCTACATACTTTGTCTACTACGATTATTTTGAAAATCATCATTTTGAATCAAGCGCACATGGAATTTTCTAGGGTGTATTAAAAAAAAACAGGTAATCCGAAAACAATGGGTTAAAAAGTAACAGCTAGGAAATTGTACCGTCAAAGTGGCTTGGTCTTACGGGTATTTCATTAGCTTTCAATGGATACCTTATTTGCATCTCTTCAGTCGCTGATGACATTGTACCAATGATTGCAAAACAAAGGACCAAAATGAAATTGCTGAGTAAGTGGTGAGTTTCGCTGTCCCAAGAACGCACTGTCACTGAGGACGGTGCGTTAAAAGTGGTCATATGTTAGAGCTGTTGTTCATCAAAATGGTACACCATGTTGTACATAAATAATAAATCAGTCCAGATTTTGTTTTCATCAAAAACTAGCAATCCAATTTCAAAATTCTTTAGCAGCATAGCCTGCAAAGGGTATAGCCAAAGCCATGCCAAGTTTGGCCGACGCTAAAGCTATATTTGAGTGTATTTTTCGCATAAGGGTTAGTTATTATTTTAATTAGTAAACAAAACAAATATTTGAAATGACTGATTTAATAATGAAACTGAAATTCCATTTATGCTCAAACACTTTTAACATGTTTGCCTCCCATTCAACACATAGGCCTAATCCACTACAACTGCGCACTTTTTTGACAGCTCAATTCACCACTGAATCAGGCAAACGTTAAAAGAGGGACCGAGTGACAACAAAATCACCGATAGACCACTCCTAAGGTGAACAGGGATTTTTCCCCCAAGTCACCCGGCCCCTTGCTCAAGAGGACTTTACATTCTTTAGAGAATATTCCAGACCGACATCTTACCATCCCGAGTAAGCGAAGAGTCCAGAATAAAACGCCAAGGGAATCTTATCAGGTGTGACTTCTATGGCCGGAGTGAAGCCGTCTTTTAAGTTCTCAACATTACCTGCAAAAAAATGTTCAGTACAAAATAAAGTTCAGTCCAACCAAAATATATTACCATGCCGAGCCGAGGTAAGCCGAGGTCAGCCCTGCCGATCAGAGCCGAACCGAGTCGAGCTCAATCGAACCGAACAAACCGAAATGAGCAAACCCACTGCAACCGAGCAATACCCACACCAAACCGAACCCAACCCCATCTCCTAGCTTAACCCAACCCAAGCCAACCCTGCCAAATCCAACCCAACCTAACTAAACCAAAGCCGTCAGCCCCATCCATCCCAACCCAACCCAGCCCAACCCAACCCCAACCCCACCAAACACAATCCAAGATTCCCACCCAACCAAACCAACCGAACCAGACCAAACATGGTGACCGTTTCATCCGATTTTCGGCTAACTTTGACAGAATCTTTGTTAAAAAACGAGTTTGACAGAAAATTTGACAGAATGGATTTTTTGGCAGATTTCTGGCAGAATTCTGCAAAAAAATGATTATTTGACTGAAAAACAGCAAATGTGAACAAAAAAGTGAACATTTGTTTAAAAAAGCTTCAATCCTTTCAAACAAACCCTTGCATAATGGCACAGGTTAGCTGGTCATCATTATGTAACTAGATTGTTTATTATGTAATTTGAAGGCTCTTAATTAAGGCAATACTACCAATCTGCATGTGATTTTTAAGTGTTTATAGTGTATTTCGAGTCATTCTGGGGAATTTGGCAGTTTTTTTTATAAATCTGACAGATTTTTGCTGTTTATTTAGCAGAATTTGGCTCTGACCTTACGGTCACCCTGAGACCAAACCAAACTAAACATCATCTGTTCACTCCATAACTACTTCACACAATATAATCCCCTCACTGACAACTTATAACATCATGACTAAGTAAACAATCGATGGGCTTTGTTTGTATTACCATGATTATTATGCCAACCAAACCACACCCAACATACAAAACCTCGGTTAATAAGAGCTAGAGGGTTTGACAATATGTAAATGATCATTTTCAATTTGTTTACCTTGAATCATGAGAACTATCCCGGATATGATGATGATGACGAGCCCAAGCACCTTGGCGATACTGAAGATAATGTTGACCCGATTACTCCACGGTACACTCACACTGTTCAAGCAGAACACGGCAGCTATGGGAAAATACACGAATGTTCTCCTTAAACAGATAAACAATCCGGGCACGCTATCACTGCTGAACAAAATCCTGGCGACGCCCATGTCTTTGTGTGTGAGAAATACGGCCTTACAAGGCAGACATTATCTGCACATAGTAATAGTCCCATGCATGAGCAAAACTATTTAATTACAAAGAAATAATCGTAAGGAGCTGTTCTCGTGTACTAAAATTTTGCAATGTTGCACACTAATTTAACCACAATTAATTTCCTGGGCTGAAATTCGGACTTAAGATCTAAAACTCGTCCATTTGACACAGATCAACCCACCTTGGAGATTCCTAGTTTTTGAGTAAAATCCATATATCTATTTCGTGAAAAACTTGTGGGGTACCAAAACGGTACCCCGCAAGTCGGTGGGCATTCCTTGTTGGGTACCTCTCATTGTTCCGGTACCCCACAATGCAGTGTTTATGCGTTCACAACACGCACATGTAAATTATAACAATTATAGTAATAATTTATTGAAAGAAATATGAAATTCTACATGTCCGCCTGTCCGCAACAATCGGACATAGACAAATCTGACGGGCCCAACCCCCCCCCCCCGCAAAAATTCCTGGATCTGCCCTTGTTATCCAAAGAAAACTTCGTTTATACAGCTGATAAAACACGGTGTTTCGAAATGTTTTAGTACATTACAACTGAATCGCAGTATAATTATTTTCATACCAAAACTGGTAAAAATTGATAATGCTATCTTTCCACCAGTGCTGTGTATTGTCCTTAGTGTCCACAGGGTGGAAAAGAGTAGCATGGAGATTACAGACAAAATTACAACACATGTGTGTTAGATCAACATTTGACCTTTGTAACTGTTTTGTTTTACTGTTCTTGATGGAAATGCAAACAGTACTTTGGACCATTGAACTGTGTACAAACTTTGAACCGGATCAAAATATTGCGCATCTAGCTTTCAAGAATGGGGGGTATATAAAGTGGGTGGGGTTGAGTCTAAGGCGTGCCGAATGCACTCCCTGCTTGGTGATTTCTCCTTCATTCCAAAGCAAATCAATAAAATATTGAGGTACTTTAGCATTCTCTTTTTGGGGGGGAGGGGACCCATGTTACCAATTTTATCACATTAGGTAGCGGATGAACGGAAGGGGGTCACCCTCCCCCTCCCCACCCACCCTCTAGATCCACTACTGCTAATACCAGTTAAAAGTTCAATATGAACATATGTACCCTAATAGTCAGTGGGCTTACGGTTGAAAAGGAACTCCCATTGAAACACCCAGGATTTTTTTTCTGACTCTTTTATGGGCTGGGCCATGACTTTAAAAAGTGGAGGGCTTCGTGCGCAAAAAAATGATCCACATAATTTCACTTTTCTTTGTAGCCTTTGGACAGCTCACCCAACAGCTACATCATGAGAAAAAAAAATCCAGAATTTTGTCTCTTTGGGAGTGGGGCCACATTTTATAAAAGCGGGGGTAAATGTCATCAACAAAGAATCGAGCTGTTAAGGAAATTCTTTTGATTTTTTTTTCAGTATATTCAGAAAGTACTTCAAATATAAGATTTATTTACGATTAAAATTTAGGTGTTTTGTTTTGGTATCTCACCTACGATTGAAGCTCCCAGTAGCTGAATAACAACGACAGGCACGCCACAATCCCCAAAGAACGGATTAATTAGGTAAGTAGAAGCCGTTATGACGAGCACGGCGAAGGAGGCAGTGCGTACCGCCACAATGAGGGTCCAGATACGCAAGAAGGCCGGCACAGCGCCAAAGCTGTCCAAGATGTACGTGAAGTCTCCACCGGACTTGGTGATCATGGTTCCGAGTTCGGCGTAGCATAGGGCCCCGATGGTGGACAGCACACCGCATGCCACCCAGACGACCAGCGACAGACCCACGCTGCCGGTGTTTTGAAGAACTCCTTTCGGAGAGATGAAGATCCCCGAACCAATGACCGTTCCCACCACGAACGCGATGCATCCTGCCAGGCCGATCTGGCGTTTTAGTCCCACGCCCTCCCCGCTGGCTTCGCTGCCCTGAACCGATACTTTATCCCCCTCGGATGGACGATTGGACGACGTGCTGACGCCCCGTTCTCTTGTTTCAGTAGTTTCATCCATTGTTTCTCAGTCTCTCCAAAATTCGAATAGACGGGAGCTCAAAATTAATTCCAATATGGAGCTTTATAATACCATCTGTCCATTGACATGGACTGTAATTAAAACAAAACTTAGGTACAAAGGTAGTGTTTCCAACTGGAGATACGCCTAGAGTAGGAATCAGATAAGATAAGGCTGGATACACTGTGCAGGAATTATATCACTAATGCGATATGATTTTTGCATAATAGCCTCGATTATGGAAAGGTCGAAGTAACAAGTTTAATCTCATACCATAGTACTGCGTAACCGAGCAAAGAACGGGAGGGTCGGGATCAAACTGCTTTGAATTAAACATTTCAAAAGAATGCCCACACTGTGTTGGATCAATCGTTTCTCCATAGGTTGTGTCCTGTTTTACTGTTTTCAACTTGTTCCGTATTGTATCAACTTTCTAAACTAAAGTATATTTGCCTTTTAGATGGTGGACAATAACATATTTCCATCAACGCGGTGGATTAAGAAATGATTTTCCATATTTAGATTCCAGTAACTAATTTACATATCAAAAAAAGATGATGTATAGTCAAACTGGAAGTAGACAGAGAGGAAGCATCAATCACCGAAAGTATTGAAAATGTTGCTTCCCTAAAGGCGACCTCCCCCATCCACCCTAACCAAAAACAAATAGGCCGTCAACCAGAACGTAGGTACACATCGGCCCTTCTATTTATTCAGACGGTTTCGCTGATTGGCTGGCGATACAACAGGCGTAATAGCGTTCTTATCTTTACACAAGGGTACTATTATCTTAGTATGCTAACATTTTAACCACTTCATCTTTTGAATTAGTTTAACTTTACAAAAATATCACTCAACAGGCCATACATTGTGATCCGCGGTGTTGTAAGGAAATAGTCTTAATTCAAGATGTGATTAAATCTGGGGGTACCAGACTAAAGAAATCAGGGCCTATGCATGCAATATTCATATCACGTAAATGCAGGCGCGGTTCTAGAGCATATATTTTAGGGGGGGGGGCTAGCAGGGGTGGATCCAGCTATTTTTTTTCCAGGGAGGCGTTCTAAAAATGAATTGGGAGCGCTGAGAAATTCCAACAATCATGCACACTATAACCTAATAGTACGCGCCCATGGAGTCGATATATGAGGGACACAACAAGGAGATAGTGAGAGAGGAAAGAATTATTGCAAAGTTACTACATGACAACATGTCACCTAACAGTAATTATTTGTGTATGTTTTGGTACGGTATTTCAAGTGGAAAACCTCTACGCATCCCTTGCACAAGTGACTGGAGCATCGCCAATTCCAGGGGAAAAATATCAATCTCCATCTCCAATCCCCAAGTTGAGGCGAAGCAACATGATGAATGATGAAAGAGAAGAGAAGGTTGAATTGTTGCAAATAACAACTTGTCACGCGTGCCTAACGATCGACCGATCGATGTACATTTTGTGTACACTGTATCAAGTTTAAATAAGGTGAAGAGCTCTCCACATCCCCTGCATCCTGAGACATCTCCAGAGATCAGCTAGAGGCGAAGCGACATAAGAAGGATGTGACAGGGATGTGACAGTGTTAATGTTTAACGCAAAGCTCTCCTTGCATCCGTTACTGCTCACTCGAACGTTAGTTCACAAGACACAAACAACGAATATTCAACATCTCTGAAAAAAACCAATATCAGCCATGAATTCAACACAGCGATTCAATGCTGAGGAGCAAACTGGAGACAAGTGGATCTGCCAGGTCATGGCAGCGGAAGGAGTCATTGGTGTCTTAGGAAACATCTTAGTGTGCTTCGTCATTCTTCGTGTCAAATTCCTACACAACATGACAAACTACCTGCTGGTGAATTTGGCTGTGGCTGATATGCTCCTTTGTTTTCAATCGTTCTTCTTTTATTCAACATCTTCTCCATGCTGTACACTTATTGCTTATCTTCCAGAAAGTTTTGCTGTACGAATCCTGTTCTGCAGACTTATAGTCTCAGAGTATTTAGCGTGGGCTTTGTTCTACGCATCAGCTTACAATGTCTGTGTGGTTACATTTGAAAGGTTTGCCGCCATAGTGCATCCGCTACAGTTCGCAAGGCAACTCACCGCAACACGGATGAAAACTATGATTGCACTAATCTGGGTGATGTCATTTCTATTTTCGTTGCCGTTTTTATTTATAAACAAAGCCAGCAACGATCCAGACAAAGCTTGCACAAGAATCAAATACCCTGACCAGGCTTTTCCGATTGTGCTTACGGTTACTTTATTCCTGTTTGGCTACTTACTGCCCATAACACTGATGAGTTTGGCCTACTACAAGATGCAAGTCACTCTGAAGAGGCAAGCCAATGCTCTGAAACTGCAACATGCAAGGGCAGCAGCCTATGATCTTGTGATTGCTAGACAGCGTCTAGTCACCATGCTCATGATCGTCTTAGGAGCTCTTATCATCCTATGGACACCAGGCTACACAGCTCTACTTCTTTGCTTGCATCCAACAGATAATAGTTCTCTGCCTTTCTGTCATTCCAAGACTTTTGAATACATCCACGGAATCTTTGATTTTGCCTTCTATTTCAACTCTGTCATTAATCCCTTCATCTACGAGTTTAAGTACAAGAAATTCAGGAAGGGTCTTAAGGTAGTTTTTTGCAGCTGTTTCAAAAGGCATGGTAACAACAGAGTTGACATTGGAATTGTACCACTGTGAGAGTGTTAAATTGGTAAATTGAAAAGGATGAGTGTATGTATAAAATGTACACTCAATTACTCTGTTTTTTCGTATTACCGTAAAACAAATACCTATATTGTTAGAATTTACCTCTTTTTAACAGATTGTACCTAACAAAGTTTTCATGAACACTTCAGTATAGTTTCAAAACGAAGTTCAATTGATATTCCTATGTTCGGAGGAGATATCAAAATGAGTAGCTTGTTTTCATAGACCCCTTCCATGGTGGACACTTTCTGAGGGCATTTTTTGTCATTGAAATTAATTGACAATGAAAGTACAGAGTTTCTACTCTGCGTATGAGCAAATGTGACAGATGTGACATGGGATACAAGTGGTCTATAAGATGGCAGGCTTGTTTAATACCTGATTCGTAAATACTAAAGCCAGTTTACCCCCTTCCTATTGGTTAAGCGCCCGCCGACACCGCCCCTGCACCGCCACGCTCTGCGCCACATCGCGCTGTACGCGCCTTGCGCGCACCAATCTCCATAAAAGGAGATGTTTACAGCACTATGCGCGAGGCACATACCATAGACATAGCCAGAGGGGTGTTTCACCAAACGTGAGGTAAAATTGTTGGAAAGTTGTGAAATGTTGACTTGTTTTGACTTTCTTGGCCAAAGATATTAATGAATGGGAATATATATGTGCTTGGCCGGTACTAGGGCCTGGTTGCGGAAAGTGGCCCGAGCCGAAGGTCCATGCCCTTAATAGCCGGTTCATTATAGTTTAAAACCGGTCAAGCACATATTAATTCCCTTCATTAAGGATGAAATGTGCATACCCCATGAAACAAATGCACTTCAATTCAGCTGACTGGACTAACTTATGTCATTTCTTTAAATGATGCTTTCCCAAAATCTTTAGTAAAAAATCAGTAACACCGGTAAGAATTTCAGTCTAAGGTTTTTCTCTGGCACACTTTTTTAAGCAGATGTAATAAGATCCCAAAGTTGCATCCAACAAACTAAACTTTTAAGTATATTGGAATTGATGATCACATATGTCCTAGTGAAGTTGAAGAAACAATGGCGCTGACCAGAAAGAGACTTTGTCGTTGCTGAAAAAGTAAGATCCATTGTATCTTTCAATTCATCACATATGGCAATAGCTCACCTAATACTTACATTATAGTTACAGTTTCATTTACAAGTGGTTACAATGATCGGGATGAGCAGTGAGCGAATACTATTGATGGCTTTTACTAAAACAAGCCAACGTACAAAATGTTTACATTACATTTACTGAAGTACAGCTAGATACGTGACAGAGATGTGGATTATTGCTTCAAGTAGTCATTATGCTTAACTTTACCGTCTGCACACATCTTTCATTAAAAGATTAAGACGGGAAAGGCATCAATCATTATTTTGACATCAAATAATAGCCTAATACCACACGGAGCGCCACAAATGAACAGATATAAGCAGCAACTGAGAAACCATCGGACAGAGGACAGACCGGTAGCACAATGAAGCTGGTTTGATGGGGATCGTGAAGACTGCTTTCTGTCTCATAGATTTTTCATTTGGGGCATTTTGCGCAAAATGAAATAGCGTGTCTATTTTTCTAAAAAGCATTTATCATCGGGACATCCACAACTGCGGTTACTGTACAAATGGACTTTGCAGATATTGAGGACAAATGAGTTATTATCGACCACTGGCTTGATTCGCTTGTTTAAGGCAAATTATTCTACAACCAATGATTTTCGTCACTCTTTGTGAACATTGAATAGAGCTGTCCAGACGAAAAGAATTCTTCCACGAAAAGACAGTTGACATCAATATCGGAACATCATCAAACGTGAATACATCTAATGAAAATGATGAAGTTCATGCCAGAACGATAAAAGTTGTAGCCATGAATGCATCTTCTGGAAACGATGAAAATGAACTGGAGCCAACTGGAGGAAAGTGGATCTGCCAGATCACGGCAGGAGGCGCAGTCATTGGCGTCTTAGGAAACATCTTAGTGTGCTTCGTCATTCTTCGTGTCAAATTTCTACACAACATGACAAACTACCTGCTGGTGAATTTGGCCGTAGCTGATCTTCTGATGTGCCTCCTGATATTTTTCTTTGACCTAACATCGGGAGGAAACTGTGCACTTTATCATATTGCGCCAACTAGCTCTGGTGCGAGACAGCTTTTCTGCCGACTTTTAGTGTCTGGTTATTTTATCTGGGTAACATCCTGCGCATCGGGATATAATCTCTGTGTGGTAACATTAGAGAGATATTATGCCATAGTGCATCCACTGCAGTATGCAAGGAAACTCACAGCAACACGGATGAAAATTCTGATTGCTCTGATCTGGATCATCTCATTTCTTTTTTCGATACCTTTGGTGTTTAATACTCAACCCAGTGATGATCCTGACCATACTTGCTCAGAAATCGACTACCCACACAGGGTGCTTTCTCTTCTGATTGGTGTGTTTACATTTCTGGTGATGTACCTACTGCCCATAACACTGACGAGTCTTGCTTACTACAAGATGCAAATCGCTCTGAAAAGACAAGTCAAAGCCCTGAACCTGCAACATGCAAGGGCAGCAGCCTATGATCTTGTGATTGCTAGACAGCGTCTGGTCAGCATGCTTACGATCGTCTTGGGAGCTCTTGTTATCCTATGGACACCAAGTTATGTAGGTCTTCTTCTCTGTCTGCGTCCAACGAAAAACGGTTATTTTCTTTACTGTGGTTCAAAAGGCTTCAAGTACTTCAAAGCAATTGCTGATTTGCTCTTTTATCTTAATTCAGTAATAAATCCCATCATCTATGCATTTAAATATAAAAAATTCCGACAAGGATTCAAATTCGCTTGGTGCCGACATAATTGACATTGCATTGGTGCCGTTATAAAAATATATTAAATGCCATGTTGCTGAAAAATTCACAATATCTAAGGCACGTAGAATAGCACAGTGTGACATTAATTTTACCTTTCAAATCTGCCCAAGTTGTTTTACAATGTTGTAGTACCCATACTCAGTACTTGTACTCAAGTACTACTCGAGTACTTTCTTTTAGAGTACTCGTACTCGAGTGTCAAAGTACTCGTACTCGAAATGACGGTACTCGTACTCGGGCAGCAAAGTACTCGTACTCGACATGTCAATATTGTACTCGATCATCAAAGTACATGTACTCGTCGTACTCGAATATATAGCATTATAATATATAGCTTGACTTAATGACTTACCACGGCCTTATTGTATCGATACTTTCAGTTTGAAATGGTTGATTTTAACAGCTCGCCGTACGTGAGTGGGTCTGTATAATCGGCCGGACTGGGCCCAGGCCAATTACGCACAATGAACCATTTGCCGTATGGAAATATTCAGAAATACAAGCACTGGTAGTCGTACTGGGAAGTATACAAGTACTCGTACTCGTACACGTACTCGGAAGTACACGTACTCGTACTCGCTTATTCGGAAGTACTTAATACTTGTACCCGGTATCCTAAGTACTCGGCAGTACTCGGTTCTCGGGAAAAAAGTACTCGAATTCAATACTATTTATCAATTCGAACAAGAAGTAAACGTTGTTGCTTATAATTATTCAAAATACAAAATTGTTATCAAATTCCTTCTTTTTGTCGTCATCTTTTCAAATACCTAGATTTGGAATCTGGTTATATTTATTATGAGGTTGCGTGATGGAAGATTGTGTTGGTAGTTGTAAATTTTAATATTGCGAAATTTTCTTCACAGCCTTATAAGCACTGTATGTTTTCCTCTGTGTTGTTTAAAAGCTTGTAAGAAAAAAAGTAAAAGCTTGCTCGATCGGGTGGTACGCAACCCCACAACCGCCTGCATAACTGTTGTAGCAGGTTATAACGGGGTCCGCTCATAAGTCCGACGCCTCATAGGTCCGACGCCTCATAAGTCCAAAATTTCGGACTTATGAGGCGTCGGACCTATGAGGCATACAATTTATTTATTCCGCCTCATAGGTCCGACGCCTCGTAAGTCCGACAACGGATAAACGAGGCGTTTTTATTTGTCGCGGACTTACGAGGCGTCGGAGCTATGAGGCGTCGGACCTTTGAGGCGTCGGACTTATGGGCCTTTGTTTGGTTAGGGGATGCGATTTTGTCGGACTTATGAGGCGTCGGACCTATGAGGCGTCGGACTTATGAGTGGACCCCTTCCATTCAACTATGATAATCTTTTTCTGAAGGGAAAAGATGCTGACTTAAGTGTAGGATCATACCACAGAGGGCGTCAGTCACGTAGTGAGCATAATATGATCAGCAAAGCATTTCCTACAAGCGAAGATTTTTTGGCTGGGATGCACGGGTTGTTTTTATAATAGATAGGGAAAAAAGGGATACAAAACTCTGCTTACAAATTGCATCTTCCTATATACTTGAAGTAGTTAACTCAACAAAATTGTACATGTGTCAGCAAAGCTAATCAGTGTAGTTATTGTGTAGTTAAGTGTATTTTTGTGTGAATATTTGGCAAATGTTGTAGTAGCTTGCTTTGAACAACATGACAGACTTGCTTTGATTGCACATTAACATAAAAATAAAACACAGCTCACCGTATTTAAGACACCCAACTACCTGGACTATTTATTCCAACATGGTAAAATGCTGACATTCAACCTTTGGAAGAATATATGGAAAAGCTAGATTGTGCACATCTGACGCTGTAGCTATGATTTTTATTTATATTTGCCCTTTTGAAGGGTTTGTAGAAATTAAGGGTGAAAGCCGTGCATAACTGCAGGACTGTGGGCTTGTGTTTCTGTGAAATTTGGATGAAATCGGGGCCCTAAAAGCGCATTATTTTGCAATGGAGTGTTTTGAAGATGGCGATGGGCTTCAGGGTGAGTTTTCCTAATTTCTCATCATATTACCCTCCCCCCCCCCCCCCGCCCCCCCCGAAAAAAAATATATTGAAAAGAAAATGAATGATGTAATAAGCTTTAAATGTGTGTCTCGAACACCATAAAGAGTTGTGAGTACTTTTCGTATTTTTCCCGAAAATTTGAAGTTGGGCATATAATTATGGCAGTTTATTTACTGGCATGGTACTGCACCCACCAACTGCGGAGGAGGTGAACTTCCAGGTTTTTTTTTTTTTTAAAGAGCGCCACCAAGAGTCTGCGTGTTCGTAACTTGAACCGCGCGCTGCACTTGTCTTCCTTCATGTCCTTGCTCTTGACTGCTTGAGTTGAATACTACTCGTTAAACATGGAAATAACCATTTTTCAATGTATTATAGTCACTATAATTGCTTTAATTGTTATTTCTCTTCTGTGGTTATCATTTTCGGTCAAACCAAAATTAATGGAACTGAAGCAAGCCCACGTTGTGGTGAGTGTCTAGTCCGATTCTTCATTACATTACATTAGCCCCACTAGTCAGCTAGTGTGGCCGCGATATTGCTGTGCTGTATCTCTAATGTACAGCGCACTGAGCGCAGCAATACTGAGCTGAGGCCACACAAGTGGGGCTAATTCTTCATGTTCTTTCATCAGTCATTACCAGCATGGTCGGTGTGACGTTAGCCCCATAAATGTGGCCAATTTACTGGACTACCTCCGAAACATAGGCCACACTTCCACATAAACAAAAACGTGTCGAACTTTGTCAAATTTTGATTTTCACATTTAGGCTTAGTTTGTAGGGTTTTTTGCTTTAGAAGCATACTCACCCTCTTTATAGGCTAATCAGAAAGTGCTGCCTTTTTCAGATGTCTGCAAATGAATTTGGAAATTTCACAAAAAATAGACATTTGAAAAAGGCAGCACTTTCTGATTAGCCAAAAAGAGGGTGAGTATGCTTCTAAAGCAAAAAACCCCTACAAACTAAGCCTAAATGTGAAAATCAAAAATTGACAAAGTTTGACATGTTTTTGTACATGTGAAAGTGTGGCCTATTTTTACGGAGCTAGTCCAGTAAATTGGCCACATTTATGGGGCTAGTGTGACGTGAGTGTGACTGTGTGAATGAATGTCATGACATGCAAGTTTTGTTATTTATTATGGAGTCCAATGCCGGGGTTTTTGACCGCGTATAGGCCTAGGCCTACTATGTGTAACCATGCAAAATTAGTCAATTTCAAACAATAATGGCTCTAAAAATAAAACAAGTGTCCTGACCTTAAGATAAAGGAGAGAATGTTGCAACCTGACACGCTACTTAAGTAATCAGCGGTTGTCGAAGTCTGGCGATTGTGTAGTGTAGGGCCCCTGTTTTGTTTCGATCGAATTAAAATCAACAATTTTTATTCATATATCATCTCAATGAAGGTCAGTCATTGCAGAAATGAGATTCTTTCCAAGAGGAATACCTACTCCTATTATTCCTAATCCAAAGAATTAATTCAGAACTTTGCATTCATTTGGGTGAAAAAAAACACGAAATCTCAACTCAGACTCGTGCTGTCCACAGAGACAATGTTACTGTGCACAGGCTTATTTCAAAAGTTCAAGTCTAATTGGAAACAAACTTGGGTCATAGATGGGACATGGGAACCCTCATCATGATAATGATGTCAAAGTTCACACACCAAAGTCAAAGGTCACTCTATAGGCTAAAAAACAGTGCTATAAGACTCTGGCATCATTATTATAATTATGTAAACTGAGTATACACAGAAATACCAAGGCATTGATTTGTTAAAATTTAAATGGTATTGTTTGACAGATTACTGGTGGATCCAGCGGTATTGGTAAAGCAGTGGCTGCTGAGGTGCTGAAACAAGGAGCAAACGTCACCATACTGGCTAGAAATCAAGTAAGGAATGAGCACAGACAAGAATAACGTCTAACCAACTTTGCGAATACATAATGTGCTGTTAAATCCTTGATGTGTTGGAATCGGTTAATTAATTCTACTAAAGCCCTAGGTCATTGTGGATGTATCTTCAAAACCTTCAAAGTCCTCCAACCGACTCCGTGTAAAACAATTGATACCGACTCAATCCGATGTTGTGAGAAAAGAATCACAGGCTATAGTGGTTTGGACTTGAAAAAAGGTACCAAAAAGCATTGAACAATTCAACAGTGTCATTGCTAAGAAAACTGTGTCACAGAGGTTTGGAAATGCTCTAAATTTTCAGGATGGGCCGAAAAGTGATTGAAAACAAATAGTTATCAAGTACCTTAATTTGCATTTCTTTTGATTTCCTTGAATCCTTATTCTTCCCAGGCAAGGCTACAGAAAGCCCGGGAGGAACTACAGCAGTATATTAAAGATAAAGACAACCAGGTACTTTGAAATATTCCATTGTCCACTCATAGCATTTTATTTTATACAACACCTGAATTATTCCCCGTCATCTGATTGGTGGATCGTCGATCACATGTCATTGAATTATTCGTCCCAACACAGGGCGTGCACGCAGCGCGCAGCGTACAGTGCAATGGAAGTTCTGTTGCACGGTGAATAGAACTTCCATTGCACGGTATGACTGCTGCTGGTGGTGGCGCTGTTTTAAATCGAGATAAATTGAATATGATGGTTGTTAACCAGCTGAGCAGTTTGCATAAATTAAATATGATGAACTTTTGCAACTTTTAAACAGTTTTTAACCTGAATAAAAATAATTAATCCTAATTATATTTACAACGAGGGTAACACCATTTCTCCAGCCCAAGAGGTTCTTCCGAATAGAGGCTCTTTAAAAAGCTAAATTTGGAGAATCTGAGGGAGTGATAGGGCTAATTCCTGATCAATAAGTCTTGTTTAGCAGTTTGGGGTTTGGAATTTAAGCATTTATATCCGAATGACTTGATGACTCCTTGATGCCTTGTTCATTACAGAAAATCCTTGGTATCTCGGTGGACGTGAGTCATGAATATACAGCAGTTGAAGATGCCATCAAAAAGGTTAGTGCCTAGTTTTTGATTTTTGAATACATGTAAAAAACTTTGGGTTGCCAGAGAACCCTACACAGGCATGCACGTTTCTAGCCAACAGACGAATGTTTAGCAGTACTGAAACCCTCCGAGGCCCCTCCCCTCCAACCCCCTTAAGCAATTTTCAGGTCACAGCAGGTGACTTAGATGTCTTAGATGCCCACACGAAAAAGTAAGGAAATTAGGTCCTCATTTCTTGAATTATTTCTTAAATAGTGTAAACCTCAACTGCTACTTTCATTCGTGTGATCAACAAGTGCTATAATTGCAGAAGCGAGGTCGACAATTTTAAGTTCAAAATCCACACACCTGTGCCACAGAGGAAATGTGGTTATACTGCTGTCATGGTTTTATGGTAAAAAACAGTAGTTGATTGTTGGATTGCCGGCACATGTTTGTCATACTAAACCTGGCAGTGTACTCTTTCAACTCACTGGACATAAAAACTTGCAACTCTTAGAGTAACTGTTTCATTGAAACAAAACACTCAGAAGATCAAAATCTGTTAGGAGAAAAAGCGATTTAAGTTTTGAAGAGCATGAACAATTCCATAGAATCCTCAATAGGGCCATGGCTGGCTTTTTACTTTGTCGTCGATTTCAGTCCACGCAGGAATTGGGACCGTGTGACATTCTTGTCAACTCGGCCGGCATGTCCAGAGCTGTCTCCTTTGAAGATACAGACATCAATGACTTCAAGGTGAGGCAGGAATTCTTCTGGACTTGGGCCCCCCCCCCCCCAAGATCTTGTTTAATAACCCTAACCATCCCAAATCCTCCGAAATCCTTTTTGCAAACTGGAGGAATTTTCAGGATTGAGGTTACATGGCAAAATTGCGTTGCTGATTTCGGAGGACGCATTGTGTCAAGGTTTTGGGCCGGACCTTGTGTTGTTTATGCTCAGCCATGCATAAATTTAGTCCTTGATTATACTTGAAATCATCCGCACTGCTCCAGGATGTCACTGCCTCTGCCTCAGCCTATTGACAGTCATAGCCGGAGGATTTTGCAGGATTCAGGCAGTGGTCACCCCGCCACAATCCATATTCAAGAAATAAGGGAGGAATTTGCAGGATTGATGAGGCTATATGCTATTTTTCCACAAGGCCAATTGGAGGATTTTGCAGGATTGAGGCTGCATCCTTGCAAAAAGGCCTAGGGAGTTGGGGTTAACAAAACCTTCCATTGACTCACATTTCATGTCCCATGTATATACATACACACAATGGCAAGAATCTACAAAGATGGCACACAACTTTGCTTAGCATGGAATCATTTAGCAGGTTATATCCAGCCAAAATTTACGTGGGACATTTGATCAGACGATACAGGTTTTAGCGTACGTAATTGCTTCTGGCAATATTATCAGCATGGAATTGAGTCTAGGTCTGGGAATAGGGGAGGAGCTATATAAACAAAAAGAATTGTTTATCATGAAAATATATAGGTTTCTGAAAGTATAATTTGTAGAATAAGTGGTTGTCTTTTGATCCTTAGATAAGCCGATTTCCTCTTTTGAAAATTTATTTTCAACATATAGACATAGGTGTAGGCCATTTAAAATATATTGAGGTCAGTGCAGAACGTTTTGTGAAGCTTGGAAATTCTTTAAATTTTGTGACATCCTACCGTAGCTGCATCAGAATTTCATTAATTGTGATGAGATCAAGCTAAATGAGTCATTTGTCAGGATTTTTTATGTGGAGATACAGGCCAAAATAGGGCCACTTCATCACATCACTTCATCACATCTCTTTGTATTCCTACTTCAGTAATTTTTGAACTAAAGATGGTATCAGCATGCGGTTTTCACAGCAGTAACGCTGAGATTGTGATCTTTTGAAATCTGTAATAAATTTTTTTGGACCAGGGTCGGCAAACGACTCATGTAGCTTGATCGCATCACAATTATTGTAGGCAATTAGTCACACTGTTTGAAATACATGAATGTCTTTGATTCATGATACTTTTTTGGTTCTTCAGCGAGTAATGGACGCCAACTTCATAGGGTCTGTCTACCCAACCCGCGCCGTCCTACCATACATGAAGGAGCGCAGACGTGGCCGGATCGTCTTTGTCTCCTCGCAAGCTGGTCAACTCGGCGTGTACGGCTACACGGCGTACGGTAGCAGTAAGTTTGCAGTCAGAGGCTTAGCGGAGACGCTGCAAATGGAGGTAAGCGGCCTTATGACAACGGAGAGGTCAAGTTGCGAATCTTTAACTTGTGCGTGAAACCTCGCATACACCAACAGTGACTAGCAAGCATGTCACAAGTTGATGCTAATATCCACTATCAAAAAATGTTTAATCTTTATGAATGTCAGGATCTGTTGCTATGCATGAACATGAATATGGTATATTAAAGTGGTTTTTTGTCCATTCCAGGTTAAGCCATATAATATCTACATCACTGTCAACTTTCCACCAGACACTGATACACCCATGTTGACTGAGGATAAACTCAACATGGTAAGCACAAACCAATTTCTTGACTCTGCTAAGCACAGAATTCCGCGCTTACGACCACAAATTTCTGTGCTGATCCATAAGCACAGAATCCTTAGTTACGGGATATTCGCATACAAAGTAGCAAAAAATTTCTCCCTAACGTGTGAAATACCCTTACTGTAAGCAAGGGATTTTCTGCCGTAGTAAGCAGGGATTTTTCGGTAACGGTAAGCAGAGCCAAGCAATTGGACCCTGATCAAGATTGAGACTTGATTCGAACTAAATCAACTTAAGTTTAAACTTACCTTGTCGATCTAATGGCATGATTTTACTTGAGTCACTGCCTTGAATTACTTGACTTGACTGTGGTATAAAAATACTCAACTCAACTGGCGTTACAACATTTAATGACATGTTTCAACTCAGAAATTGCCCCCCGAAAAGCACAGCCTAGTATGCTTGAGAGCTTGTGAATATTCCCCCATTCCATAGAAACGTTTTAATGGACCGAGTTTGTCCAATCCATGGTTCTCGAAACAGTGTCAGAGAAGACTTTCAGGGCAAGAAAAATGTGATCCGGTTTGTGTAGTTTCTCATGGTTTTGAGGGGGTTCGTTTTGTTCTTTTGTCCCCCCACTTACTGCTGACAGGCTGTGTTTTTAATTCTGACAGCCAAGAGAAACTATCCTTGTATCAGAGACATCTGGCCTGCATCAACCAGATGAGATTGCCAAGATTATAGTCAACGATGCAAAGGTAAGCACGGTGAGAGACACTCAAGCGACACCAACGAAGTAATGGATTATCACAGAAGTAAGGATGTGCATTAAGGGGTGGTCTGGAAATTTGGGCGATTCACAATGCAGTGTGCCACCAAGAGTTTGCCACGGAGAGTTCATTTTTCCCAGTGCATTGTGGGAGATGGTCGATAAATTCGCAGCGCAGGACTTTTGAAATTGTTAGTTTTTCCGGTCAGTAGTTTCGTAAGCGCATGATTCGAGTATCTGTTTGCCCTTTTCTTTGTCTTTTTATCAATATGGTGTTTTTTGTAAGACGTCGGACCGCTATGCCCCAATCCTTAACAAATTAGCTCAAGTTGTCTACTGACACTCGTATAAAAGGGCCGTGTTTTGTCGACCGTAAACTTGAAAAATAGACTCTCCATTGCAAACTCTTGGTGGCGCACTGCATTGTGTATCGCCCGAATTGACCACCCTGCATGTGCACGCCATATGCAATGCGGTATAAATGTGATAATTTGTATGCAACGTGCTGTATATGAGGAAATTTATATGCAACGCAGTGTGTATGAAGAAAACAGTCAGTTTTACAGACTGGACATGTGGCCGTTCTAGACCGATGAAATCAAAGTATCAAAGACACGATGTAATAATAGATGTTGACCATCATTAGACATGTTAGATGGACAAGATTTACAATAATGCATATCTGTTGAATACTTCTTTTTACTGGTACAAATTATTGTGACTTCATGATATCATTCCATTTTCCATTGACAGCGTGGCAGATTTCAGAGTTACGTTGGACTGGATGGGTTCGTCTTGGCCACGGTTGCCAGCGGCATGTCCCCTGTAGCTTCACTCATGGACGCAGTCTTGCAGGTACCGTCAACATCCTGGACTTGTCATTTCTTAAAAAATTCTGCACAGCTCTGACTCCTAATCTCACAAAAAGTTTTGGTCCAGTAGGATACAGTCAATTGCTGTGGACTATGTCACATTTGTAATGCAAACTTTGAAACACAAAAGTGTTGAAATATGAATAGCTTGATAAATGTGTTGACATAACTGTTTCTTGTAGGTAAATAACACACACAAGATGCCTAGATCTTTTGAGATGCCTGTCGTTACTTGTCAGTTTGATGTCACTGATGACATGGTCTGTAAAACGGTCCTCGAAATCACACCCCACAAACACTTTTCTGTATGTAACACTTTTTACAAAATCAGCTCAATATGTCATATAATTTTCAAACTCTGGTTTTTGCCATTCAGGAGACAACGGCCTTTTTTGTGGATTTAATGCACTATTCATCTTTAGGCAAGATTACACGAATATTCTATAGTTATTTTATATCCTCTGTCTCTAGGTTTCTCTGATGAGTCTGATGAAGGCCATTTCATTCATCTTCATAGCCAACTTCAACAGCATTGTCATGAAGTGCTACAAGGAGAGGGAAAGCCAAAAACAGAAGTAGACAGTGTCAATGAAATTTTTAGAACACCCAAGTAAATCCCTGTCATTTGATTGGAGGATTGTAGGTCACGCGGCATTCATTAATCAAACCATTGCACGGCCTACGTCATAAACGGTGCATTTTTGGTTCATTTACCGTGCAATTTCGTTCCATCCCACTTGATCTATTGCATGCACACGCTAGATCAAAGATTGTATAGCGCTGCGCATAGACGCGCAGCGGCACTATATGATTTTGGCACTTGACCACATCATGCGTTTAATACAGCAGTACAAAACTTGCATTTGGGAATCTGAAGTGGATGCACTGTTACAAACTGAACTTGCCTTGCAGATTTTTTTTGCATTGTTTTCAGAAATTACAGTATTAACTTTCATATTGTTAATGTTTTGACTTTTAAGCCTTTGTTAAGTTTGAACAAGCTGAAAAAAATAGTGAATGAAAGAGTACAATTTTGTAAATTTTGCTTGTCCTTATAGTTTTATCCTCCAATCGATTGACATAGATCTACTTGGATCTTATATAAAACAAATAATGAATATTTTGCATTCATTTTAAATGAGCCTCCACAGTTTTTACAAATGAAACAAGTATAATAATGCTTTTTTTCCAAAATTCTCCGTCTAACGCCGTGAAGTGTGATATTAAAATAACACAGACCGTAAGTATTTTCTTCAATCATGTTCTGTGATCTGAACATTTTGATGTATGATGCAAAGATATTGGAGTTTTTCCAGTTTCTCATTCAGTGATTGTAATTATATCCTCCTTTTTTATGCACCTCTGGCGATGGCAAAGGAGCATGGACTGCTTCTACGCACGTGACGTTGTTTCTGCATTCAGCAGGGGACATTGAATAATAGAGGACAATAGAGGTCCCCAGTTCCCGAGAGGTCTGTAATTTGGATACGTGTACAAAAATATGGGAGGTCTTCCTAAAAAGTTTAAGTACAAACAAAAGAGAAACAAATGTTGAGAGTAGACTCCGGTACTGAATTTAAAGGTAATTTTTAAAAGTGGATGTTTTCAAAGACGCACGAGTTGTTGTAGGCGAATCCGAAGTTCACAGATCGCAGGGTATCGTTGAAAGATTTAATTGAGCGCTAGCCGAACATTTGAAGAGCGTGATCCTACTTGCTGTTAGGTCTCTGAGTCGCACAAAATCATGACTTGACTAATTGTCATCAGAAGCCAAGGTCTCTATTTGGCCCTACCCCTCTTAACCTGTTTTCCAGAGAGCGGGGAACCTAGTGTGGACGTACCAAGTCCACAGAGTGTTCACTCTGCCAGCATCCTTTGGACCTCTTTAGTTCACAGGTCTGCAAAGAGTATGTAAGGTTAGATAAAGCAGGGTGTTGATGGTGTAAATCAAGGATTTTCTATTGTTCCTCATCATCGATATTTTGTTGATCATACTTATTTTGCAACAGCTCCCATTGGTTTTGTACACGTTTTCTAATCGAGGACGTCCTCGATTTGACCCCTGTCCTCAATTACTCGATGATGCTTCACATGTGTGTCCTCGATTTACCCCATAATTATGTGCATACATTTGATGACCATTTTCAACAAATGATGTACATTCGAGGACAGCAAAGAATCTGTTGTTCTCTCTTTGTGTTGATGTATGTAGCAGAAAAGCGCACACACACAAGCATAACAAGTGTGTATTTTTTTAGGAGGACCTCCCATATGTTTTGTACACGAATCCAAATTGGGGACCTTCGGGAATTTGGGACCCTATCGTCCTCTGTTGTTCAACGTCCCCTATTGAATGCAGAAACAAACTCACACACATAACTCGGGAGAACTCAGAGATTGGTTTCATATTTTATTGATGAAGTATGTCTGGTTTATGTCTCAGTTATGTCCAATTTTTACACACGTAAAATGCAGGGATCTGATTTATGTTAGGGGCCATTTGCATGTACACATGTACATTCTTATTTTGTATACTTTGTAACAAGTGTTTATGCACAATGGGACCTTTTAAAAAGGCCCAAAGCTATGTTACATATGTACATGTATATTAAGATGGTATGAACATTGTAAGATTTCTGCGTACACAAATAAATTATTGAAACCCATGGTGATAATTGACGCTAGTGTGAGATGTGAGATTGTTTGTCCTTACAGTTGCATCTTCACTTCAAGATAGGTTGCATGGAGTAAGGCGTCTCGCATCGTCTGATTCATACGCTGTGTTAGAGGCCAATTAAGATGCTAGTGTCAGAAGCGAGACTGTTCTTACAGTTGCATCTTAATTCACTTCAAGATAGGTTGCATGGAGTAAGGCGTTTCTCATCGACTGATTCATACGTTGTGTTAGAAGCCATGTCCCAAGCCACAGATGTGTGCTCTTAACCATTCGAACATACTTGAAATTTCGAAAAATCACCCTTTTCTGATAAAAATGCAAGGCTAACCCCTTACCGTTTTGATTTTTGGATAAAAATTTGTTTTAGCCTCTTTTTGATAAAAATGCAAGGCTAACCCCTTACCGTTTAGATTTTTGGATAAAAATTTGTTTTCGCCCCTTTTTGATAAAAATGCAAGGCTAACCCCTTACCGTTTTGATTTTTGGATTAAAATTTGTTTTCGCCCCTTTTTGATAAAAATGCAAGGCTAACCCCTTACCGTTTTGATTTTTGGATTAAAATTTGTTTTCGCCCCTTTGTGATAAAAATGCAAGGCTAACCCCTTACCGTTTTGATTTTTGGATAAAAAAATGTTTTGCCCCTTTTTGATAAAAATGCAAGGCTAACCCCTTACCGTTTTCGTTTTTGGAAAAAAATTGGTTTTCGCCCCTTTTTGATAAAAATGCAAGGCTAACCCCTTACCGTTTTGAATTTTCGATTAATAGTTGTTTTTGTTCCTTTTTGATACAAATGCAAGGCTAACCCCATACCATTTTCATTTTGGATACAAATTTGTTTTTGCACCTTTTTGATAAAAAATGCAAGGCCAACCCCTTACCGTTTTGAATTTTCGATTAATAGTTGTTTTCGCCCCTTTTTGATAAAAATGCAAGGCTAACCCCTTACCATTTTCATTTTTGGATAAAAATTTGTTATGGCCTCTTTTTGATAAAGATGCAAGGCTAACCCCTTACCGTTTATATTTTTATCAAAAATTCAAAACGGTAAGGGGTTAGCCTTGCATTTTTATAAAAAAGGGGCGAAAACAAATTTTTATCAAAAATTCAAAACGGTAAGGGGTTAGCCTTGCATTTTTATCAAAAAGGGGCGAAAACTAATTTTTATCAAAATTCAAAACGGTAAGGGGTTAGTCTTGTATTTTTATCAAAAAGGGGCGAAAGCAAATTTTTATCAAATTTTCAAAACGGTAAGGGGTTAGCCTTGCATTTTTATCAAAAGGGACGAAAACAAATTTTTATCCAAAAATCAAAACGGTAAGGGGTTAGCCTTGCATTTTTATCAAAAGGGGGTGACAACTAATTTTTATGAAATTTTCAAAACGGTAAGGGGTTAGCCTTGCATTTTTATCAAAAAGAGGCGAAAACAAATTTTTAACCAAAAATAAAAAAACCGTGCTTTTTATCAAAAATGGGCGAAAACTAATTTTTATGAAATTTCATAACAGTAAGGGTTTAGCCTTGCATTTTTATCAAAAAGTGGCGAAAACTAATTTTTTTTTCAAAAATTCAAAACGGTAAGGGATTAGCCTTGCATTTTTATCAAAAAGGGACGAAAACACATTTTTATAAAAAATTCAAAACGGTAAGGGGTTAGCCTTGCATTTTTATCAAAAAGGGGCGAAAACACATTTTTATCAAAAATTCAAAACGGTTAGGGGTTAGCCTTGCATTTTTATCGAAAAGTGGCGAAAACAAATTTTTATCAAAAATTCAAAACGGTATTATAAGGGGTTAGCCTTGCATTTTTATCAAAAAGGGGTGAAAACTAATTTTTATCAAAAATTCAAAACGGTAAGGGGTTAGCCTTGCATTTTTATCATAAAGGGGCGAAAACTAATTTTTTTTTCCAAAAATTCAAAAACGGTAAGGGGTTAGCCTTGCATTTTTATCAAAAAGTGGCGAAAACAACTTTTTATCAAAAATTCAAAACGTTAAGGGGTTAGCCTTGCATTTTTTTCAAAAAGGGGCGAAAACCAATTTTTTTCCAAAAACGAAAACGGTAAGGGGTTAGCCTTGCATTTTAATCGAAAAGTGGCGAAAACAAATTTTTATCAAAAATTCAAAACGGTAAGGGGTTAGCCTTGCATTTTTATCAAAAAGGGGTGAAAACAAATTTTCATCAAAAATTCAAAACGGTAAGGGGTTAGCCTTGCATTTTTATCAAAAAGGGGCGAAAACTAATTTTTATCAAAAATTCAAACGGTAAGGGGTTAGCCTTGCATTTTTATCAAAAAGGGGCGAAAACTAATTTTTTTTTCAAAAATTCAAAACGGTAAGGGGTTAGCCTTGCATTTTTATCAAAAAGTGGCGAAAACAAATTTTTATCAAAAATTCAAAACGGTAAGGGGTTAGCCTTGCATTTTTATCAAAAAGGGGCGAAAACAAATTTTTATCAAAAATTCAAAACGGTAAGGGGTTAGCCTTGCATTTTTATCAAAAAGGGGCGAAAACAAATTTTCATCAAAAATTCAAAACGGTAAGGGGTTAGCCTTGCATTTTTATCAAAAAGTGGTGAAAACAAATTTTTATCAAAAATTCAAAACGGTAAGGGGTTAGCCTTGCATTTTTATCAAAAAGGGGCGAAAACACATTTTTATCAAAAATTCAAAACGGTTAGGGGTTAGCCTTGCATTTTTATCGAAAAGTGGCGAAAACAAATTTTTATCAAAAATTCAAAACGGTATTATAAGGGGTTAGCCTTGCATTTTTATCAAAAAGGGGTGAAAACTAATTTTTATCAAAAATTCAAAACGGTAAGGGGTTAGCCTTGCATTTTTATCATAAAGGGGCGAAAACTAATTTTTTTTCCAAAAATTCAAAAACGGTAAGGGGTTAGCCTTGCATTTTTATCAAAAAGTGGCGAAAACAACTTTTTATCAAAAATTCAAAACGTTAAGGGGTTAGCCTTGCATTTTTTTCAAAAAGGGGCGAAAACCAATTTTTTTCCAAAAACGAAAACGGTAAGGGGTTAGCCTTGCATTTTAATCGAAAAGTGGCGAAAACAAATTTTTATCAAAAATTCAAAACGGTAAGGGGTTAGCCTTGCATTTTTATCAAAAAGGGGTGAAAACTAATTTTTATCAAAAATTCAAAACGGTAAGGGGTTAGCCTTGCATTTTTATCAAAAAGGGGCGAAAACACATTTTTATCAAAAATTCAAAACGGTAAGGGGTTAGCCTTGCATTTTTATCAAAAAGGGGCGAAAACACATTTTTATCAAAAATTCAAAACGGTAAGGGGTTAGCCTTGCATTTTTATCATAAAGGGGCGAAAACTATTTTTTTTTTCAAAAATTCAAAAACGGTAAGGGGTTAGCCTTGCATTTTTATCAAAAAGTGGCGAAAACAAATTTTTATCAAAAATTCAAAACGGTAAGGGGTTAGCCTTGCATTTTTATCGAAAAGTGGCGAAAACAAATTTTTATCACAAATTCAAAACGGTAAGGGGTTAGCCTTGCATTTTTATCGAAAAGTGGCGAAAACAAATTTTTATCACAAATTCAAAACGGTAAGGGGTTAGCCTTGCATTTTTATCAAAAAGGAGCGAAAACAAATTTTCATCAAAAATTCAAAACGGTAAGGGGTTAGCCTTGCATTTTTATCAAAAAGGGGCGAAAACACATTTTTATCAAAAATTCAAAACGGTAAGGGGTTAGCCTTGCTTTTTTATTAAAAAGGGGCGAAAACTAATTTTTATCAAAAATTCAAAACGGTAAGGGGTTAGCCTTGCATTTTTATCAAAAAGTTGTTTTCGCTCCTTTTAAATAAAAATGCAAGGCTAACCCCTTAGCATTTTGAATTTTTTGATAAAAATTTGTTTTCGCCCCTTTTTGGTAAAAATGCAAGGCTAACCCCTTACCGTTTTGAATTTTGTTTAAAAATTTGTTTTCGCCACTTTCTGATAAAAATGCAAGGCTAACCCCTTACCGTTTTGAATTTTGTTTAAAAATTTGTTTTCGCCACTTTCTGATAAAAATGCAAGGCTAACCCCTTACCGTTTTGAATTTTGTTTAAAAATTTGTTTTCGCCACTTTCTGATAAAAATGCAAGGCTAACCCCTTACCGTTTTGAATTTTGTTTAAAAATTTGTTTTCGCCACTTTCTGATAAAAATGCAAGGCTAACCCCTTACCGTTTTGAATTTTCACACGTGGGACCTGTTCCCAATTTACTCAAAGTAAGGAATACTCATTTCACATCAGCAGTCTGGAACAATCATTATTAATACAAATCTGGCTTCAAATAAAACATTCATAGAGGCATACAGCATAGAGAAGCACTTGAAAACAAGCTCTGGAACGCATGTATCTGTCAGAGTGACGTGTAGGGTAAATCACGTAGCTTTACTCGGTTGACTCAGACAACAGAAGTCCAGTATAAGAAGTGAGCTGGGCAAATTCAACGTTCACAAGGCCTTATGATCCTCGGGTAACCCAACTTCAAAGGTCAATTAGTCGTGAGAAACTAGCTTTGGTTTTTGACATCGACGCTTAATGCTGAAAAGCTGTAGCCAAAATGCCCATTTTTGACAGAGTTTCGGCATTTCTGTTATTTGAAACATTTATAAATGACGAATTCCTGTGGTCTGCCAACTGCCATACTGTCAACTGTCGTGGCTGCCCCAGGTGGGCCAAGAGAACTAACAGGAGTCAAACCCGAGTCAAATCAAAAGAGGAGTGGCATAGCGGTCCTTTTGTCTCCTTCCACCTCTATGGTCCGGGTTCCAGTCCTACCTACAATCCTGGCCAAATCTCGCTAGGCCCCCAACCCCCGTTCAATGTTGTCTCTCATTGCGCGGTGTGTGCTCCATCAGCTGGAGAGAACAACATTGACCGGGGGAGCGGGGGAGTGGGTGACCGTGGCAGGCTCAGGAAGTGTCCCAACCCTTTTGGCCGGGATTGTAGGTCCACATGTGGATTGGTTTTTCAGTCCCTATACTGATTCTGTGAGGTTTTCCTTTCAAAAATTCTTCTGAGGTTTTCCTCCCACATCCCAAACTTATTTTTGATTCTTCATGGTCTCCTCTCTACAGGTTTCTTCAGGCTTGCGAGCTATAGTGCCTAGGGTGCTTTTAAGGAATCCTCGGTTTTATTGCTAAAATTTACGAATCAAATAAAATCAGCAAGCAACTTGACGTGTCTGTAATTTACAAGTCAGCCAAGGGCTGTAAAACGCAATTTTTTCAGCTATCTTGGTCACTGGGAGTGGTTGAGAATTTGCCATGATGATTCTGCTCGATCCACACATCGTCCATGATTTGACCGTTGAGCGCAATGAGTTGTTGCCACTGGACGTGCGTTGCATTGTGAAGTATCAATTTGCCGATTCCGTACAGCCCAGGAAGCCAGGATCGGAAGGCGGACCAGGGGCCTGAAAGATCAAACGGAAGATAATATAACACCTCATGCATATTCATAAGCCATAAACATTGAAATGCTTAAAGGGAATATACAACATTTCTTTGCTGTAACTTTCAAAAATGCATGGATTTGGGGGATTATAGCAAATATTGTTACACTGACTTGCTTGTGTTTCTGTGTTCGTAGATGCTGGAAAATCCAAGAAAAACAATTTTCTGCAGTCTGGTTCCCTGACCCCACTTAAGATGAAACACAGCAATTTATAGACGTCTGGGAATCATTATGTCAGGGAACCAGCCTAGCTGGCTTTTCCCCTTTCATAGGTGTGAAGTCGATTGTAAACAAAATGCAGACAAACTAAATATGACATATTGGGGGCACTATTTGAAAAAAGCAAGTTTTTTTCTAACGCTGGTCGGCTGACCAGCGTGAAAGTGATACTAAAATGCCACTTTTCTTGAAAATGACAGCACAGTAGGTGTAATGATTTCACAGGATGTTTTACACTGTCATTTGCAGTCCAGTAAAGTATTTCATAATAATTTGGTAGTTTTAGTTTTTGATGTTAGCAAATGTTGTATATTCCCTTTAAACAAGAAAAGTTTCAAAACACTATTTCAAACACTCACCGCGAGGAAACAGAATTGGGTCTGCACAGGAGCCATACCAATCATTACAGCCGGCCGCCCCGCCAATGATGTGCACAGGTGCCCGGGGATTGGTGTAGTTCTCAGCGTACACCTGTTCCATGTACACTGGCCAGAGCCGCTCATAGGAATGCTCATGGCCTTGGATGATTATATCCACCCCCTGGGAAAAGAACAGCTCCTCCAAACTGCAAAGGAACCAAAGATAAAATGGGAGTAAAAAAGAAACTACATTTGAAAAAATCTGATCTCAACTACAATATGGTAATTATCTGTCAACAAAGCCTACGATGTTGGATTGGAAGCAACCGAATATTCAGTTTTCTTCTTTTTCGAGTACTGGTTCTGTGGTTCAGCTACCTGCTTTATGTGGACCTCTTTTGTTCGGAAGTCCACACAGTGAATGTAATGCCTGTACACCCATGGTGACAGCATATTACGGTGTGTATAGATCTGCAATAGGCCTTATCCTTGAACAAAGATTCCTTGTAGAAACAGACATGTATCAAAGGTAATTAGTTGACATGGTGCTACAATTCAGGAATTACATTTTTATTCCACGCTGTCTCCTCTCGGCATTCAATCACTGTAAGAAAGACGCAATGAATTATGCATATCGCATTTTTAAGAAACTCCAGGATTTGTCTCATAAATTGCACAGCCTCCTGCCCTCTCCCTGTAAGGCGCCATACATTCTGTGGTTCTAAAGAGAACCAGTTAACTCGCACGCATGAAATGAAAATCCTCAAATCTTTTCCCCATCTCGGAAACATAAAACATAAAAAGGCCATTGCCAAGATATTTTTTTAGTGAGCTCTGCAGTCCAGAATCCATCAAAATACTGAAAAACCAAGGAATGTATTTTTAAGAATCAGCCTTACAAATATACACCTGCTACACGGAGTAGGCGGTTTCAATGCCTGGCCTACTTTGCGGGGGAAGCAGCGCCTGCAGGCGATGAAATCAGAACAATCAACTCATGAACAATCAACCCGGCTTCCTTCCCTTGGTCTATGATTTACTGTTGCGGTCCATGACTCACCTTTCTCTAACCTTGCTGCCTTTGTTAGTGCAGTCGTCGTTGTTTCCGTTGGAGCAGTACATTGGTCGGTGACCCATGGCTATGATCCAGGGCCGTAGCTGTCGATTCTCCGGTTTGTTAGCCTCCTCTAGGTCCTTCAGTAGCCACTCATACTGCTCATCGACGGGGCCGTTGGTGAAATACACTTCTGTTGAATAACTGCACCCCCACCCAAAAAATAAAAAAGATTGTACATATTCAATATCTTGATAGCTATTGTTGCAGTCAAGTAGGGCTGCAAGTATTATTCAGTTACCCGCTTAATTGATCGAAGTGTCGATTATTCGGTTCCATTTGTTCAATTTGACGTCATTTGAACACATTCCCCCAAAGTAATTCTTAATTTGTATTTCTGAACTAGTCAGGGTCCCTAATTTAACCCTAACCCCCTAAGGGTTCTTTGGGGGTCAAGTACCAAATACCACAGAATTTACAAGTGTTGTGCACACTTGTATGGAAAGAAATGCAAACTACAGGTTGAATTAGCTTCCTTGCGCCTAACAGGCTGCATCGAGCTATATTATACTCCCCAGGGAGCTGACATGGCTGAGATGGTATTTGGAATATTTCATGGGCCCAATGAGCAGGGGTAATAATGATATAGCGCCTTGAGCACCAGTCCTGGTGGATACGTGCGCTTTATAAATACCCAACATTATCATTATTTTTTATTGATACTCAGTAGTATTTTGTAGCTTATCGATTCGTACTTGTACCAAGGACCACCCCTACACAAATTTTCATGCAAATCCGTCCACAACTTTTTGAGTTTTGTCCACAGACAAACCAACCAACCAACCAACAAACAAACATACAGACAAACCAACGCTGGCGAAAACATAACCTCCTCGGCGGAGGTAAGTAGCTGGTAGTACACTAGTTGCCACTTCAGTCATTTTTAAAGCATTAGTTTGGCCATAATCCAAATAACTCGCCAATTATGAATTGTTGCTTTCACAGGAAGGCCACTAGGGCTGGGACAGATACGTTTATAATGCCCAATACCCGACTGAAAATGCTCAGCAAACAGTTCACTTATTTGGGTATTATTACCCAAAGCCTTCTTTGCATATAAACAAACACAACCTTTCTGAAAGGGTGGCACATTTTTTTCTTTTTATTTGATAAGTTTCCAAAAGAGAAAAAAAGATTAAACAGGCCTTTGCACCCAAAGAATTCTTAAATTATGAATCAAATTACCGACAAATACAACAAGCTTGCGGTTTTGTTTTAATTTGTCTATCTAAGGCGCAGAAAGTGCCACTGTGCGGAACATGCACAATGAGAAACACCTAATATACTTTTAGTTTCAGGGTTCGTTGTGTCTGTAAATTACAGTTCCGCGGGTACCCGACTGTTATGGCTATGGGTAGCGCATTTCAAACTTACCCACAAAACACACTGCTAATAGTCATAATACCCACAAGACAACATTTGATCTCAGCTTCTTCATTTCAAAAACTCTCTTTCAAAAACTCTTTTATATCATTTCGTTTTGAGGTGGAGATGTGTGTTGAAGAGTTAAGAGTCAGCTTTGTTCAGACCAGGTACAAAGGTGGACCTCTTGATTAGATGTGATGCGATCAACCTACATGAGTCATTTGTCGACCCTGGTCAAAAAATTTTTTATTACAGATTTGAAAAGAGCACAATCTCAGCATTACTGCTGTGAAAACAGCATGCTGATACCATCTTTAGTTCAAAAATTATGGAAGTCGGAACATCAAGAGATGCAATGAAGTGATGTGATGAAGTGGCCCTACTTGGCCTGTATCTCCAAATGAAGATTCCCGACAAACGACTCATTAAGCTTGCTCGCATCACAAATGATGTAGTTTTGTATTTACATACCTCACAAAGTGTGCTCTGGCAACGTTGAAGCTGAACCACATTTTCTCCAGGGGCATCGGCCATGGCAGACTGGGCATTGAGAAGCGATAGCGGTAATGGCTGAAGCTGTTTGGAATCTCTGAAATCAATCAACACACCAGTTACATGCTGACATTTAGCGTCCAATTCACTCTTTGCATTGAATTTTCAGGGACCCTGACATGACTTAGTTTCTGGAGGTATGCCAAACCAAAAGACCATCTGTTTTGGGGTACTGTACCTATCCCAACAGATTTGAACAAAAACTGCTGTTGAACTTTGATGGGTTGAGTTCGGTTAGGGTTAAGCAAGTAAGTTATGGATTGTGACTGGCTCTACTCACCGTGGTTGCCCGGGCAGGTCATGTATGGAATTGTAGATGCTACGTGTTGGATTCTATTCATGAAGGCATCCCCTACCTTGAAAAAAAAACACATCAATAATCATGAGCAAATACTTCTACTTCTACTTCTACGCTGATGCTTGGCAAAGTTCCCTCATCGGGATATCACGCCAAGGTTGCGCGTAAGACCGATTTATATCTAAGGTAGACTGAGGGTGGTTTTTGAATTGGGAAAAGGAAGCAGAGGTGACTGATGCAGGGAGGTTGTTCCAAGTAGGTATTGTTCTTGGAAACAAGGAGTATTTGTAGACGTTGGTGTGAGTAGTTATGTGGCAATACTTAAACTGATGATAAGCACGTGTTCCTGGGGCTGCTGGAGTTACACCTGCCCCTAACCACCCAGGGTACAGGCCTAGTCCCTGGCTTGAAACACATCTATCTATACCTTTCCTCCTTCGTCGTGGAAATCATAGGCAAAGTCCCCAACGTGGATGACAACATCTGCAGTTCTTTTTGTCGCCGCCTCGTTCAGGAGACGCAAGCTTGGCGCCCCACCAACGTGACCCATGTCTCCGAATACAAGCAGCGTTGGGGACCAGTCCTGCAGTTGGGAATACAAGCACACAGGAAACCATACTTGTCAGTATAGGGTGTGAATGTACATTTCAGACCAGTAATATCGCATGCCTGTATAGTTAAGGTGTTTCAGGGTGGGTAAAATTATGCCTGAACCCCATGTTGTTCCATCGCATGAACACATTACTATAATTTTTTACATTACATTACTGAACTTACAACGAGGTGTTGAAATAAACAAATATGTCCTATTAGAAGTCAGAAACAGCATGGTAGTCAATAGAACAATTTGAAATCTAGAGGAAGTTTCCAAATTTTCACACAATTCTGTGGAATGGTTTCATCTGTAGAAAAAAATGTTTTCACTTAAAACTGATTTCATGGGACTTTACTGGAAGATGATACTCACGGCATAAATAACTACATACCGTTGTGTCTGGCAATGTTGCAAATGTGAACATCGAGCTTTCCTGGCTATCACTCTCCACCTTGTATGAGTAGTTAGTTGCTGGCAGGAGATTCTTATAAAAAAACAGAAAGTGAAAAATATGAGCTGTCAAAAGTAAAAAGAGGGTCTTCAACTCTTGCTCTATAACATGTATAACATCCTTCCAAAAAGTATGAAATCTGTTTTAAACAAACATCCCACAATAACGGAAGAACATACTACAGTGGAGACAATAAAAGCAATCTAGTCAGACATGTACTTGTTGTAGCAAGCTATGCTTGTAACAAACTGTGACTCATACATTGATCAAAGCTGGGGCACAGCTTTGATAAATGTCCAACGTTTCTCAAGAAGTAAATTAAAGTCTGTTACGAGACAATATGGCCCATCAGGCCAGCATTTATCTCTGGTTTCAGTGGCATGAAACGACTGAGAATATTTCTATTCCCCCTGGATGGGATGCTAGTCCATCGCAGGTTACTCCCCAGCTAATGCCAGTACCCATTTATACTCCTGGGTGGAGAGAGGCAAGTGGAGGTGAAGTGGCTTGCCCAAGGACATGACATATGGCCAGCGGCTGCATTCGAACCCCTGACCCCCTGATCATGAGTCATGAACCCTAACCACTACGCCAAAACTCCCCATATTTCTCAAAAAGACTCACCCTCAACTTGACCCGATGAATGAACTGCAAACCCTCTGCGTTGCCCTCCAGCCAAGAGAATTCCACGCAGTCACCGCTGGCCACCAGATTCAAGCTGTCCAGCAACGGGCCGTACTTGACCACTGATGATGACCGAGCTTGTGTTGACCACATGACAACCATCTCTGTCACGGCGTCGCCGAGGGCAATGTGGATCTGCTCTGGGATGGCGGTTGCTTTCTTGTTGGATGGTTCGCGAGGTTGCCTGATCTGACCTACACGTAGAAATGCCCGACAATTGTGTTTTTATGTTTTGTAAGAATTAATATTTAGGTACATGTGTATATCATTTCTGAACATGGAGTAAAACGGAAGAATGAAATTATTGCAAGTTTGCCAAGTTTTTAAATGTGTACAGTTTTGTATACCGTCAAAATTATCAGGTTACAATTTTTAACAGGTGTTTATGAATGGGGTTTGACAATGTGATGGGACAGATATAAACATGTTTAAGAGGGTCACCGAGAATAATCTACAATCCTGGCCAAATCTCGCTGGGCCCCCAACCCCCGGGCCCCCGTTCAATGTTGTCTCTCATTGCGCGGTGTGTGCTCCATCAGCTGGAGAGAACAACATTGACCGGGGAGTGGGTGACCGTGGCAGGCTCAGGAAGTGTCCCAACCATTTTGGCCGGGATTGTAGCCAATCTTGAACTGTACGTTGACCACTACTTCTTCAAACTACTATCCCCTTTATTTACACGTACATGTACATAGCCATTAACATACCTTCATTGTGATCCACTGTATCTGCTGCTGGTGCACCGACTATTTTGTACACGACATGCGCATGGAAGACAAGTACAAAGAGTAGACTCAAGATGTGCTTGCGATCCATGGTTGCTGGCAGATATCACCTATAACGGCTGTAAGTCAAATCTGCAAGTAAACTAAATTAAGTACATTTTGAGATATACTATATAATTACATTGAATACTCATGTAAGAAATCCTGTATGCAATATTGTACAGTAAATATAACAGTCTGGAATATGCTGTGATGTGTACATTCAGTCTAAAAAAAACAAACCAACTAACCACGTTTTTAAGGTAGGAAATTTCAGGGAAACATACTGCATCATATCACTCAAAATAGGAGTAGTATGATCTGGAAATAAATTCATCAACACGGAAAATACATACACAGCCAAGAGAGATCAAGTTCTGTGAATGAACTTGCAAAAATGTTCTTTTTCCATCAGTGTTTTAGCATTTTTACCATGTCTCAGCTGATGCGACCTGCAACTGCAGGTGATTTTGTTATAGGAACCAGGCCTGTAGATACATGATCGCCCATATATTAACCCTATGCACTCTTCCCCCACTGACCCAACCACCCATAGGTTTGTGCATAAATCACTGTAATGTATCGCTTGTTATGCTTGTCATTAATCAAGTGTCAATCTCAAAGACAAAGTTTGATGAATAATTTACAGAGATTTTATTTGATTTAAATTTTATAAATATGTCACAAATACAAAACAGATACTTTATCTACACATTTATACAGCTAAAGTCAAGATACAAAGTGAGATAAGTGCTAATTTACCCAATTTAATAAGAGCCTCACCCTCAGCTCAACGTCAACATTGCTCGAGACGTCATTTGGTTTAAATACCGCCCTCAATTGTTACAACTTGAAAAGTTGCTCGCTTCATAATTTGACGCCCGCCCCCTATCGTTCACTGTTATTGCTGGCATGATAAGTCCAAACCTCGGCTTCGTTCCGGGTTCGTCTCTTGCTCAAGAATGTTATTTGTTAACGTCAAAACCATATAAACGAAGTCTGAACGTTTGCCTCACATCTTCCTCACAGTAGTTAATATTTATGAAGCAAAATATGTACCAATATTTGAGCAAGAGTTCCTAAACAAATGGTCTTAACATCTCCAGAAGTCTGGTGGGGGATGGAGCCCAACTCATTTGATGCCAGGGGTATTTTTCTGGCCCTACTTTATTTTTTTTTGGGGGGGGGTATTCAGACCACTCCATTTCGTTTCCCTAGTTTCATTTACTCATATTCTTTTACTTTTACCAACTCATGTATCTCGAACACTTGAACTGCAACCCCCAACAAAACTAAAAACTCCATAACAATCAGCTGGGCAAAATAATACTTAAATGACACATTTTCAGATTTCCACTAAATTTTATTCACATTATTTGACTTTATATGTACATTCATAGTGAGGAATTTGTTTTCAAGAAGTTATATCATAAATGAAACATCAAACAAAACACAACTGAACTATTCCCACAAATGTGGGCTGAAATCCAGTCATTGCACAATACCCTGAAAATATACACACTGCAATGGTATCTGGAAATACACATAATCAAAGCAAACTTATTACATGTATTTTGTTATAACATGACTTGAAAGAAATGTTGCAACCTAACACCACTTCAAAGGTTGTGCAAGTCTATGGAGAGTCAAGGAAATTTTCTTAGTTTTCTAACAAAGTCGGAAATGTTTCTCAGTCCCATGTCTTATCATCATCATTTTTGCAATGACTGACCTTGGCTTCATTGAGATGATATATGAAGAAAAAATGGGGCTCTCGAAAGTGGTTCAAAAGCGCCCTCTCTTGTATAGTGTATTTAACGCCATCAGGTGCAACTACGCGCAGTGTGAAAAATGTTCTACATATGCGCATGTGTTTTTTCCAAATACAGTGCAGCCGATGCGCGTCACGAAAATTTGACATCCAAAATGCCGATGCACTGTGACAATCTGTAGGAAGTGACATCATTTGAGAGAGATCTATAAATATACATTTAAAAATCTAAGCACAATGTGAGGGCATAACAGTAAAATAATGCACTGATGTGCTTTCAGAGGAGTTCCCTAACGTGGCGTATTGTGACATTTTTCCGGCATCCCGGGTGCATTTTGACCCAACTTTCCTCAAGTGGTACTGCAAAATGTCTCTGTTAAAGTGCTCTACATGCAATATTGGTACTATTTAATAATACTTGCTGTGCATATGATGTTAACAAACCAGGTCAAAACTCAAATATGACTTGAACTAACGTTTCACTTAACATGATGCTTAAATGAACCCTCAATTTGCGGACTCGCTCACTGAGATGGTACCGCCACCCTGTCACTCCTCGTGTTGCTGTTTTGTTCCGATGCCGCCGGGTCGTGGGTCGGAGGTGTAGGGGCATTCGCCAGGGCCTCGGTTGATGTATCCGTGTAAGGCGGTGGGGCTGGTAGGGGTGCAGAGGGCGACGTTGATGGCTGGTTGGCCTTGTCTTTCCACACCAGGCTCTCTCCGACTTGCAAAGCCGGGCCGAGTTTGCCGGCTGTGTCCATCAGCTGTGAGACAAAGGTAACATGACTCACTAAACAACTGTTAAGCAATACAAATATTCCAAATTATTTTAAATGTCCCCCAACTCTTCTTTTCTGGCCGTTGAAGGGGTACTTGTGCACCGAGCCGATTAGCTCATATTGCGTCTCAAATCAACCACTGCCAATAGTCCGTGATCACACTTACTGAAACCTTCATCGTTGGTTGTCAACAATTTACAATCAGATCAAACCACCCACAGCAACATTACCTCAGCATCCAGATCGGCAGCTCCTGTGTCCTTCAGTTTCTGCATGCTCTGCTCAAAAGCGATGAAGTGTTTTGTAGCCGTTTTACGATCGCCAAGGTTGTACAAAAATAGGGAGAAGTTCAGAAGGATACTGACATCTTTCCTACGAATGGAGACAACAGAAATGAAAAAAATGTAAACACAATATTTTTTCATTTTACAATTTAAACTACATGTATTTCAGACATGGCTTTCTATAACTGTAGGAACAGCGACATGCCTCAGGACAAAGTTTTACATTATTCGTTATATTATCCTAAAACAATTACTCGGTATCCTGCAAAGATCGAACAACTGGTTTTGAAGTATAGATTCAGAATTATACGGCCAAGCCACTGTACTTGATATAGGTTTTCATGTCCCCCTTTCATTTAAAAACAAAGAATGAGCTATTGTTTTATGGCTAGCAGCCTGTTAGCCATACAAAACTAATACATTTTTGAATATATATACTCATGAATTTTAAGAGGTTAAAGAGCATCTTTTAAACGAAATCTCAAGTTACTTACGAATCAAGTTGCAGAGCCTGTTCATATGCCTGCTTGGCGTTGTCTGTGTCGTCTAGATGTGTCAAGGCAACTAAAGAAACAACACAAATGAGAAATATACAATGAAAACATTACACATCCAAAATTTATTTGTTCTATTTTATGGGTGAAGAGCTGGGGTGGGGGGGGGGGCATCCCCCGGTATCCAACAGTACAAAAATGTATCTGATAACGGCGTAAGTCATGTCCTCAGGACTCAGGAGGGACAATGGAGAAAAACAAATGTTCTAGGTGTTTTCCTTTAAAGACTGCCGTGGATTTAAATTTAAGGACAACGCAACAACTACGAGAAAAAAAAGTTCAAAATAATCATCATTCTGTAAGTTGATGGAAGCTTTATGTACTCTGTTTTAATTCTGAGGCAAATAGCACTTCAACAACTGGATGCAGGTTTTTTTTGTAGCAACGCGCACCAGCATTTTAAAACGGAGAATAAGCACGAAGAACAAAATGGACCAAAATTCGAAATGAACATGAAGCTTGCTAGCCCATTTTGAATTTTGTTAGGGAAATAACTACTTCAGGTCAAAAATATTACTTTTACGGGTATAAAAATATCCCTTTCATACAAACCTACGGAAATAAAGGTGTGCGTAACGCAACTTTTGCCCCACGCGCTGAAAAATGGCGCCGCCAATGGCAGAACGCGCGTCTGTGCGCACTGCCGATCTAGTCTTTTTTATTCTATATCTATGATAAAATAATACTCTTTAAGACTCAATGACTTGAGGTGGACTTGTGAGGACTTAACAGATATACAGTACTGTCATTGGCATGAGAGCCAGGAGAATGACAGCAATGTGTTCCAAAGAGCCTACTGAATCCTCTCTCATCTTGGGGGAGGAGGACTTGTGTACACAGTCCTTTATGGTTACCAGATTGATTTAGGCTTCTTGTCCAAACTGACCTGCAAGAAGCATGAAGAGCTGTCCCATCTTTGGTTTGAGATTGATGGCCGCACTGAGGAAGTGGAACGCAGACGCGTACTGCTGCATGGTGAGATGGACCAGTCCCAAGTTGTACAAGATACGCCAGTCAAAGGACGCAAGGTAGCCGGCCCTCTTCAGGCAGCTTATGGCCTACGACCAAAAAAAAACGATGTCAAGTGTTAAGTTACTTTCCCTACTATGGGAAGTAGCAATGAAAAAGCTTACACAAGCAGAGATGCAACATGTATATTCGCACAATACACTTCATGTCCAATACGGGCGTCTACCATACAATCTGTGCGACTGTTAAAAGATTAAAATTGCCCTCGCAATGCAGATGTCGCGGTGCCATTTTCATCAAATTTGTTGAAATTTAAAATCAGACTTTGCAGGAAAATGAGTGAAAGGTTTGCGAAAACACCATGTGGGAATTATTTCTCAACTAAGAGCATGGTTCTGAAAGAAACAGAGGTATAAACTCGACGTTCCGATCACAGTTCAACCACAAATCATACAATGGTCCTAAATCGAACTTGTCACTAAAATGTAGACCCCCTGCTTCTTTGAGCAAATACTTACAGCGACATATTTCTTCCTGCCAAAGAAGCACATGCCGATATTGTTCCAGGGGGAGCAAATACTTACAGCGACATATTTCTTCCTGCCAAAGAAGCACATGCCGATATTGTTCCAGGGGGAGCAAATACTTACAGCGACATATTTCTTTCTGCCAAAGAAGCACATGCCGATGTTATTCCAGAGGGGGGCGCTCTCTGGGACAGCTGCAGCCGCAATGCGGTACTTAGTGAGAGCCACGTCGTAGTCATTGTGTTGCTGCATCATACTGCCGGCAGCTAGAATAGCCTGATCAAGACATAGCAGAAAATAAAGACGGTAAAGTTTGGCAGATACAAGTTAGATCCTACATGTTAAAAACAGGCGACTATGGCCTAGTGATTAGGTTTGTGACTCATGCTCAGAGGGTGAGGGTTCAAATCCTGCTGCTGACCATATGTTGTGTCCCTGGGCAAGCCACTCCACCCCAACTTGCCTCTCTCCACCCAAAAGTATAAATAGTTACCAGCAGGACAGTAACCTGCTATGGACTGGCTGGCTTTGTCTAAAGTAGTGTGCTGGCAGTTCAGACTCTTGTTTATAAAATAAGAGATATTAAGGGAAAATACAACATTTGCAATATGTGAAGAAAAGGCATTAGAAGCCAACAACTGACCTTGACATTGCTCGGGTCATAGGTCAAAGCGTTACCAAGGTGCTCAAAGGCTCGCTGGTTTTGGTTCATCTGTGAAGGTTAAAGGTAAAGAAAAAAGTCGAAGTTCTCATTAGCAAAAGTAGAAAAGACATCCCATGAAAGATTTCTTACTTTGTAATTTCTGAGGTCTTCATTGTAGAATTGTTCCCCATTTATTCGGAACTTAAAGGTAGAGAATATCATTTTTGCATTTGTTTTTGTTTGAAGCAACAAAACTGCTCAATATCTTAAGAAGGGTGCTAAACATAAACCTGATGAAGTTTTAGCTCAGTGAATGCTGTGTGTTCCAAGAAAACAATATTCTACGATCTCGATTTCAATTCAAAAGTTGCCAAGTCATGTTTTGAACTGCGCCCGAAATCAGCATCCGAGACATGTTCTCATCCAGCCGATTGCAACTACGCAATGTCACGCACTGAACTGACGAATACTAGCAACCGCACGTGCATGTGCGTCATATCAATGCTTGCGCGCACTCATTCATGGCTTTGCCATATTAAAAACAACATACTAATGTTTTTTGTTAATGAAGATTTGTAAAATTTGTAAAATCTGACGATGGAATTGACCAGCTATGATACACGGAACCCATACACAACTTCTGTTCAATATCTTATATCAGATGTGTGTGACTGACTTCTTAAGACTTCACACACACACACACACACACACCGACTTGTTTCACATAAGTAGTGTGGACTTTCCTTTCTTTTCGTGTAGTTAAGGAACACCAGTGGAAAAACTCATTTTTCTCAAACTGTGAAAACTCTTTCAACCCAATTTTTTTTCTATGATTCCCTTTAGTGTTTCTCTTCATTCTGCTACAGATAAACCTAACCCAAAAATGCCTCTAAACCTGTTTTCCAGAAATGGGGAAACACTGTGTGGACGTGGGCAAGTCCACACAACGTCGGTGCTACCTACATTATGTGAACGTGTTTTGTTCGGAAGTCCACACTGCGTATGTAAGACAAGCTCACCCAAGCACGTCTGTTTATGGTGTAAATCAAGGATTTTCTTTTGTTCCTCTTCCCTTTTCCTTTGTTTGTACTTAATAACTTTTTTGCAACAGCTCTCATTGGTTTTGTTCACGTTTTCTAATCGAGGTCGTCCTTGATTTGGTTCCTGTCCTCGATTCACCGATGATGCTACACGTGTGTCCTCGATTTACACCATAAACAAAAGCACATAGCTTTGTAAACAAACAGGATGAATAACAAAGTAGTTACCTGAAGATACAACAAGCCAAGTGTAGTCAACAGCTCAGGATTCTCAGGAGAAAACCTGGAAATAACACGGACACACAATTAAAGAAAGACAATTTTCTGTAGTGTTTGAAATAACCTAGAAGCTTGAAACCTGGTATTAAACAAGAAGGCGTGGCAACCTTGACAATGCCTCCATCAAGGCTAAAACAAATACCGTGTCTCACATCACTGCAATCAACAGTTCTTATCTTATCCGCTCCGTTCACAAGTACCCCCTCACCGGCAAAGGAAGTACAGTTGGGGGTGACCGACCGACGCCATCTTGCCTGACTGCAATTTTGCCGCGACGCGCGGCCGTACCACTGCGTGTACATAGTACAAATCCCCTGGTGTACGTGCGGCACACACAAGGAACAGTGGGTTTCAACCAGCTAAATGTCCCGCCCATGGGACGTCGTTGTTAGGTAAAAGGGCGCCCTCTTTGTTCGCGCACGGAGCCCATAGAAGCAAGTACCACAATCAGTAATTCCAAATGTTGTGTATTTAGATCTCCTGGATGCCAAATTCCATCTTCTAGAATTGCATGTGGTACCCACTGCTATATCAGATTCAAAAGTTGCCAGAAGATCCTGGCAAGCTCGGTGGTGGAGTGGTAAGACATCTGCTCTAGCAAGCAGGAGGTCGTGGGTTCAAGTCCCACCCGAGTAAGTTGGTGAATATTTCCTTGTAGTCTCACGGAAAACACTGTCTACAGCGCTTATAACATATGTCGCTGAGGGAAAAACAAAATATTACAAATCTCCCTACACAATAATTTGATCGTGCAGACTGAGACCCTTTTCTTAACTGTGCATTATTCGTAGCCTTGTTGCCTAGTCTTGTTCCGTTGCCTAGTCTGGTTCTGTTTGATCAGTCAAGATTTTGTCAATGAATTTGTTTAATTTGCATGGTAGAAAGGGCAATAAGAAAAACTGCCCAATAGCCCTAGCCTTGTGGCCATTTGTAGTTCGTGGCTCCAGAGGATTTTTTTTTAAAGGGAAGTAAAGTCCAACATTTCATTAGGTCTGATTCCCCGCCCCCTGAATGCAACATCACAACGATATTCAGCGCGGAACCAGACTAGGCAACAAGGCTACGAATAACGCACAGTTAAGAAAAGGGTCTCAGTCTGCATGATTAGATGGATATTTCCTTACTCTATAGCTCGCTTGTAGACATCAATGGCCATGTGGATATCGCCTTCCATCAGATAGATCTTAGCCAGCATGACATAGGACAAGTCGTGGCGGTTGAACTGAATAGCTTGCTTCAACATCTCTTTGGCCTGTCAAAAATGCACACACAAAAAGGCGAAATCTTATCTCTTCCCAAATACGCATATAACAATGTCCATGTGTATTAAAGGAAATGTCCCAAAAATAACGTGTGTGGGAAAAATGGTACAATCGAAAACATTTTTTTTTTTCAAAATTAAATCTAAACATAAGTGAGTCGTTTTGAGCATCACATTAAAGAAAAAAGACCAGGCTTTCCAATACTTTTTGTTTCATCTCATTTGCTTTTGTCAATCCAGAGATAACTCCAGTTTACTGCGGAACACAAAAATTGAGTTTGTTTCTTTTGCCAAGTTGCAATCTTTTGTGAGCTTCAAGACAGCATGGCACAGTACTCGAAACAACTCTGCCCATGCATAAAAGTGGCACAAAATCGATTTTGGTGTATCGCACTAAATTGATTATATCTCTGAATTGACAAAAGCAAGATCAAACAAACACTATTGGAAAGCCCAGTCTTTGTTCTTAAATATTATGTCAAGTAAGAATGACTTATTTTGAAATTTCATATTTAACCAATTTTTTTTCTGATTGTACCATTTTTTTGAGACAGGCTGTACATAGGGGCAATTCCACGGTTACTCACGTTACATATTTGATGTACTTTTGAGTTTCCTTGGGCTGTATTTACCTTACTGAAAAGGTTTAATAACTGTTATCCCCATGGTAGATAGAGTAGACCTAGACCTACCTAAGCACCAAAGATGACATCCAGAAAAATGTGTTATGTATGATAAACAAGACACACAAAATCGGTTACTCACATTACGAAAATGTAACGGGAGTAACCGTGGAATTGCCTATAGGTTTACCTTCATGTACTCTTTGAGGTACATGTAGCAGACGCCTTGGTTGTGGCTAATCTCCCAATCACGACTGCTCATCCGAGCAGCTTCTGAATATACATCAATGGCCGCCTTGTGTCTTCCAAGGAGAAACCTGGCAAAAAAAATTAACCAAGTAGACTTCAGAGTTTGAAGTCGATACATCAGTAGTAGTCTTACTGGATTTGATTTGATATCTTTCCGGAAATAAAATCAAAGATTCCTCAAAAGCGCCCTAGGCACTGTAGCTCACAAGCCTGAAGAAACCTATAGAGAGAAGACAATGAGAAGAAATTACAGTTGAAGAGGAGGGAGGAAAAGCCCAGAAGAATATCCTGAAAACCCAATCCACATGAGGTCCGGGCAGGAATCGAACCCAGGCCATAGCGGTGATAGGCAAGGAAAGTAACCACTGCACCAACCTGACTGATAATAGGCCAGTTACTAAAAAAAAAAATAAAGGAATAATCATTCTCTTATCCAAAGAGTTTCAATTTATGAAATGGCGATATTATTTTTGCGTACAGATGCAGGCAGTGTTAAGTCAGTCAAATAAATCAATTATTCATTTTCACTGAAGTTTCCGTCGGTTGCTACATGCATTTACATTTAGTAGTTTTTTACAAAAATGTGCCTGGAAATAAGATGAGAACATTTCTAAAGTTCTGGGTATCCAAACCGATCTATGCTAATTCTTTTTAAATCCAAGCAAGACATAACAACAACAACAACTGTCCACGAACAGCTTCTTTACAATTCATCTTTTTGGAACATTTGTCTTAACATTATTTTTACCAAGTATGTTCGTCTTTGTGAACATACCACATCTTTTTGAAAGAGAATTTTCAAGATCTCTCAACCGTGACTAATCACTCTGGTGGAATTAAGGTGAAATCTCATGTTAAGTTCTTCGGTGTTGGTGATTTAATCGGTAGAATTCAAACCAAACTTCAATTCATTCAATAAATTTTAGAATTAGGTTTCCGACTACACTGTAGAATGTTTCAGATCCGTTTGGGCCTAGTCAACTGATTGCACAACGTTACAATGAATACTTACAGTGATCTCGCAACCTGCTTGAGATTGTCTGAGTTCTGGGCATTGATGAGTGCACACGTCTGGAAGCATTCCAGAGATTCCTGTATGCGTCCCATCTGGCGCAGGATCAGCGCCTGGACGTACAGCGGGTACTCACACATGCCGCTGGTCTCAGCCACCTGCTCCTTAATCAACATCTGCAAGTCGAAAATGCGGACGGCGAAATGTCTCAAGTTCAAGGCAGATTACAGGCACAATTAAGGCAATGACTGATCCAATCAGGCCTGCCCCAATCAAAGCCACGATAAATGGCCAACAAAGGCCTGACATGCATGCACTTATTGATGTTTACAATGTACGTCTGAAATGTGCAGTGTGGCATGTGAGAAGTGCACATATATTTCAATAGTTACATCCCAATTAAACACGTTCTGTGGTATTAAGTGTGAATATTTTGGAGCTTTGTTGCTAGGCCAAAGATCATTATCCACATCCAGCTGGTTTTAGACATACCTTTCGGTCAATACCTTTCGGTCAAAAATTCAAAACTTCACAAATTTCCAATGATTTTGTTCATCAATTTATTTCAAGTTTTATGAAACACCACTCTGGCTATGTTGATGGTATGTGCCTTGCACGCAACCACTAAAAATCTCTTTATATGGAAATTGGCGCACGAGCGGCGCATACTGCATGATGTGGCGCAGAATGCAGCAGTGTTTTACTGGCTGTTTAAAACCACCCACGTGATGGGCTCTCGACTGATTTGGTGAACTGTCTCAGGTATTTATAAATGAAGGTTAATAATGTATCATTAATTAAATAAACAAGAAATATGGAAATGTTCATCAAATATAGAATTGTTCATCATGTGTATTAAAGGGAATGTACATCATTGGCTTTTGCTGTAATTTTCAGAAATGAACTATTTGAGGGGTTAGTATAGTAAATCAAATTTTGTTACACTGACATGTTTGAAGTTTTGTGTTCGAAAATGCTGGAAAAACCAAGAAAAACAAAAATGTTCAATTTTTCCGGTTCCCTGACTCCATTGAAGATGAAATGGATCAATTTATAGATGCTGGAAAATTGTAAGGTAAGGAAACCAGTCTAGCTGGCCTGCACCCGTTCATGAACATAACCAATAGCAATCAAAATTTGGACTGAAAAAAAAATGGTAAATTTGGAGCAGTAGTTGAAGAATAGTTAGGTTTTTCCAACGGTGGTCGGCCGACCACCGTTGGAAATTTATAAAAAAATACCATTTTTCTTGGAAATGACTTCACACCAGGTGCCATAATTTTACAGGATGTTTTAGACTGTCAATTTACCAACATCCTAGTAATGTATTTTGTAAAAATTTGATAGTTTTGTTTTTCGATGTTTGCAAATGCTGTATATTCCCTTTAAATGTAGATAACCAACCAAGAAAAAAAAACAATCAACCAACGTACCTTACACGCCTCATATTCCTTTCTCACATAGTGAAGGTGAATAAGCCAGTTACGTCTTTCAAAGATTGGCAGCTCTGGGGCTACAGGATTCCGCCATGAGGGAAAGCAAGGATAAAAGTTACAACAGTGTATAAAGAATAGATCATTTGCACTGTCATTCATACACATCCTTGGGGAATTGTGTTTATAGCTACATTTTGATACCCTGTTTGCCATGCTTGCTACCAAAGACTGTTAATCTTCCAAGATCGACAAATTTAAAGATTATAGAGGAGAAATTGCTGAGCGCAAACACACCCCCCCTAAATGGCCCCTATTGACTGCACAGTCACCGAAACAAAGTGCTTGATTTCATGGCTCTGTTTTTCACTTTGAAACACTTTCCGTGTTATAGTTAAAAATAAAATTATAGTTAAAAATTATAGTTAAAAAGCTTACTTGGATCATACTAGGATCTTTCTTGGATCAATTATAGTTAAAAAGCTTACTTGGATCATACTAGGATCTTACTTGGATCAATTATAGTTAAAAAGCTTACTTGGATCACACTAGGATCTTACTTGGATCAATTATAGTTAAAAAGCTTACTTGGATCACACTAGGATCTTACTTGGATCAATTATAGTTAAAAAGCTTACTTGGATCACACTAGGATCTTACTTGGATCAATTATAGTTAAAAAGCTTACTTGGATCACACTAGGATCTTACTCAATTATAGTTAAAAAGCTTACTTGGATCATACTAGGATCTTACTTGGATCAATTATAGTTAAAAAGCTTACTTGGATCATAGTATGATCCAAGTAAGCTTTTTAACTATAATTTGGAAGGTTACTTTTGGGATAACTGCAAATGATCGTATGTGCCTTTAACTTTATGAAATTTGACTATAATACCTTTCTTGGGTCTGGGTTTAGGCTGAGCTTTTACGGGCTGTTTGATCTCATCAAGACTTGGATTGCTGGCTGCCTGCTGACAAGAATTATCATTCAAAAAACACAATCATGAAAATCCATACAAATTACACAAATAGGTTTGTTATAATTTATCATGTCTTTGATACTGTTATATCATTATTCTACATGTATGAGACAAATACGGCTGCAAACCTCAACATGTAAATAAATAATAAATAAAAAAAATAAAATTTTGTTTGTGTGCACCCCCATGTTAATGTATGTATCTCTGTCATTTCTGTTTTAGCCTCTGAAGAAGAACTTGCTAAGTTCGCAACGTCAGGCCACATTAATTTTAAGAAAAATAAAATTTCTCAAAAAATCCTTCAACGTGTATACTTTCCAATGCTTTGTCTCATCTAAGGAACGATACAGACATCTTTTTCCATTTAGATGAGGGGAAAAATATCAAAAAAAAATGCAAAAAAATCGCTGCACAATTGTTCGTTTTTTGCATACAAGTACACGCGTAACTGGTGACAATGCAAGTTGTTTATCTTTGTTGAACCTTGACCCGTTGACAAGATCCCACCGTGATTTGTGCAAGTAAGACTCCAAAGGGGCTTATTCACGAGATGTAAATCAGACTTAATGCCATTTCGGACTTTATATCCCTTTAAAAAAAATTATCCAGAACAATGAATCAAAAAAAGAAAATGAAGTTGTTAAATGTACATAGTATTCGGTTTGGAACAATAAAAGAAGACAATTCTTACTTTTTTGGACAAATAAAAAAGTTTAAAAACAACGAGATAGTCGTAGATGGGTTTCAAAATAGAGCAGGGCGCTTGTGAGCTACATCAGGCGCTCCGTCCATTACTCATTAGGCCACGCATTGGCATTCGTTTGAATTAAATTGGCAATTTAATATAGTGAAGGCCTAGTCATGCTTGTTACAAACACATTCATGAGGGCGCTATACGATCTCCCAAGAACAGAATAAATGTGAGACTGGTTCACGGTAAAATAAATATTTCGAAATTGAAATCGCTATTTATTTTTAAACTAAAAAAGTAAAAGAATGAAACTCATTGTTTTTGAAAAAGAAGAAGAAATACTAACTTCAATACTTTCACACGTAATCCCAGGGAAAATTATATGCCAGGAGGCGACTTGGTTAGGGGCGAGTTGGTCAGGGGGCGAGTTGACCATGCATAAATCGTTTACAAATGCGTTGTCAATGTAAACAACCCATGAACCGTAACCGCTGGCGCCGTTATCCTCCAAAACATGAGCCTGTTACCTTAATAGCATCGTTCGTAGCATTGTCGTCTTCCATAATCGGTTTTTTTTTCAGCAATCGACTGTAGTCTGCGCCTCCGCGGATACAAAAATTCTAAAACTTCGTCGATTTTGACATGCTCTCCGCCAGGAATTTAATTCGCTGGTACACACATTCCATCCTCTTAATTCTACACTGCTCAACTGGTACTCGTGCATGACAGACAAGTTCCTTGCCTCTTGTAATGAATAACAAAGGGCATGCTCTACGCATGTTGAGGGTTCTGTCTTTTTTGTGTGACTATTTAAGGGTGGGGCTAAATGCTGACGGGGGGGGGGGAGACAGTGTTGGCTTCGATTTTAAAGTTGCTTTCCCCATGCTTTTCAACAAAAGTCATTTTTCCCTCACGGAGATCCCATTTGTTATGTTTTATTTTGATGATCGTTTTTTCTATTATTATTGTCTTCCAACCTCTTTAAAAAAAAATGGTTCAAAGGGTTCATTTTGGTTGCTTTTATGTCCCCCCGCCCCCCGATGTCTCATTCAAAATTACTAACGTTTGTTTTGCTAGAACCAGTGGCGTAGCCACGGGGGGCGTGGGGGTTTTGGGGCGACAGCCCCCCCATGAAACCTTGTTGCCCCCCCCCCCCCCAGTCGCCCCCCACTGAGATTTTGAGTTTCTAAAAAAATTATCATTGATCTACATGATGCCCCCGCCATGAAATGTTCCAGCCCCCCCCCCCAGCCCCCCCCCCCCCCCCCCCCCCCCCCCCCCACTGAAAAATTCCAGGCTACGCCACTGGCTAGAACAATTGCAAATAGAAAACAATATCACAGTGAAACTTGAAAAAAAAAGAGTAAGGCCTAGCCCTACAAACAGGGCTGTAGTTGGCTCTCTTTTGCAATTTGTCTTATCACAGCTCTGTTGCTATTGTGATGGCGACAGAGATAAGACAAATTTCAAAACAGAGCCAATTAAAGCTCTGTTTGTAGGGCTAGGAGAGGCCATTTTAAAACATTATGTTGTCAATGTCTGGGCAAACATCATCTTTAAACAACGACAAAATTAAATTCCAGGAGATTACAATCAAATGACAGCATACAGATACACTCATATCAGATGAATATTTGGAAGGTTTTTAATTTTCACCAAGGAAATATATTCACAAAAATAGCCCTGCTTGGTCCAGAGAATTTATGAAAAAACGAAATCCAACGTGAACCCCCCCCCCCCCCGCACTAAAAATAAATGTTTTTTTGGTAAAGTCCCCCCCCCCCCCCCCCCGATCAACTCAATTTTTCCTACTTCATATTAATGGCAACCATGTTGATCAATAAGACAATTTTCAAGCTTTACTCAAACATCTCTTTCAAATATATTTTTTTGTGAGAGGTTCCAAATTGTACTAATTGAACAAGCCCACTGCTTTTTGGGCAGGCAGCCCAGGAATATTTGACTGAACATTCATGAAGGCACAAATTCACAATACTGAAATAAGTCTTAAAAAAGGCAGATGCAATTGCTACTAAACATGAAAATAACTTTACGTATACTTTATACAAATATTTTACATATGTACAATGTAGTAATAAAACGCATTTCTTAACCCAAATACTTCAAAAATATATGAGAAGTATACATGTATACATATACACCTTGGACGGAATGATGTAAATTATGACGGAATGATGAAAATTTTGCTACAAATTTACAGATATCTTCATATTTCGTTGAGTTGCAAAATATTAGATTTACTGTTTTCTACATCACTTTCAAAATGTGAAGTGAGATGGACGGCACAACAATTTGATGCATATGAACTAGATTTGGCCTTTCCATAAATTCTTTTGAAGACTTCTGCATGTCTACAATTATAAGTAATTTGAACACGAATTTTGTTCTGTCCCAATACCACAATTTATAAATTTATACACAAATGTATACATATATATTACACTTTCAAATTATGTAATCTTGTGAAGAGAAGATGAATACTGTCTAAAGAACTTTTGGAGGGAATCAAAAATACAAAAATGCATTAATAGACATGTCAATGATGCCAATATTTGTTAATGGCAAAGTCCTGTTCCTGTGCAATAAAAGAAAATGCACACATGTACATGTATGGTGCTTTACTATGCAGAATGTTACGTGACATACATTTTCTGTATGTTGTCATACAGGTACATATGCATTGCACAATCATGCTTCTAGCATTACACATGTATAGTCGTGTTTCGTAACGTGGCGCACTTCGAAGCTTACCCGACTTTCCTCGTGTAGTGTTGCCAAACCTCTTTGTTGCCAAACCTCAAATTCATGCAGTAAAATACTGGTACTTTTACCTTATTAATGCTTGCTATTTAACCTCTGTGAACAATTTCGGTTTCATAAAATTTAATCCGGAACTCAAAAACGGTGGCGTCCGGAAATTGGGCACAAATTGGCGGGGTGTTCCCTAACGTGGCGCACTTGAATAAATCTTGGAAAATTCCAAATTAATATTTAAGAATTTCTGTAAACTTGATAAATTCTGATAAATAATTATTATCTCTACTTACATACCCAGCCAGATGTTTGTCAGAAAATTATTTTCTTATTTTTCGGGGTATTTTCAAAGGGTTCACTTTGCACTTGAAAATAAAATCAGAAAATAACGCCAAAATAACTTTTTCTTTTAACTTTGTTACGGGTAAATAAACTCGCGATTTATGAACAGGAGTGTTTAGAACTTGATGAAATTTCACTTTCTGTGAAATTTCAGAAAACATTTGCTCTAAGTAGGCGCTACAGGAGAAACATCGAAGTGCGCCACGTTGGGGGCCGCGCCATGTTAGGGTACATCAACAATATACATTGAGTATTTACAAACAATTCAACATAAACATGTACACGAACTAGATTCCCAATTTGTTTTTTCATTGGCTAAACCCTTCAGTAATACATGTACTTTAGTATCTTCTGTAATGTTGATGCAAGGGAACTACATGTACATATATTTACTGTACCATGCATAGCACTGATAATGATATTGTTGTGACTGCACATGATATACATGAAGATGTATTGATTACATGTAACATGCACTTCAAACTGTAGTAATATACTACATGTACATGTTCTATTAACATGAATCATAGGAGTAAGAATAGACAGTTCTGCAACGAACAATCCTGCACAGGGCCTTGATCTATTGACACAGACTAAGAAGTGATGAAAAGAACCTTACACAACACAGTGTACAGCTTACCAGACTATTATGTGGGTCAAGCATTCACTATTTGTTCTGTATTGCAAAGGGGAATTATAAGTACATGTATGCACAGGCACAATGACTAAACAAACAGCGGATCTGGTGCAAATCCGCACGGCTGTTGCTACAACATTACATAGGCACAACAAATCTTCTCCTAAACATTGTCAAATTGGACCGTAGATAGTTTTTGTACAGATCAATCAATAACAAATAATTTAATCAAAATATGAATTTCAAGCAGACACAGGTGAAAAAGACAAGTAAGAGAAAAGCAGGATCAAAATAAAAAAAAAAAACTTGACAAAAGTAGGACTTTGGACATGTTGGAGGACAAAATCAGGGGGAAAAAATAGGACTTTTGCGGGCTTCTGGGGTAGTTTTTGTTGAAACTCAGCCATGTCCACATCATTTTAAGCCTCATTTGGCTTGTTTTGTACTCACAAGACTTGTGCTCCATCCTTAACTACAATTAAGCTCTTGGAAGTACAGTTGCAGTACTTCTGCGCCCAAGCCCTTCATTGTGTGATTTACATATATATGACAGTGTGTAACAGATGAAAAATATTCAGTGAAATTTCAACTTTCGGAGTCGTGGGACAAAAAGTAGGAGAAAGTGGGAATTCCAAGAAAAAGTAGGAAAAGTAGGAGCAAGGTAAAGAGAAACTAAGAAAAAGTAGGAAAAGTAGGAATGTTTGAAAGCCTGAGACTTTGAGAAACAATACACCAGGATTTCAAACTGTGTCTAAAATTTAAATACATGTATGTACTAATGTAAATTAGTAATAAATGGGGTGTGTCAAAGTTTAAAGCAGTCCCAATGTCAAACAAAACACATGAAACAGTACAATCTTTTCAAGCATTTAAAATTCATTGCAGAAGCTCGATCAACTTTTTGTAAGATCTGTTAATTTGAAACAATTAATGGACTTGAATCAGTAAAGTTAATTTCACATAGACAACTTTACAAGACAACTTGAGATTACAGTAGCAAAGAGGACTGACTAAATTTGTATCCCCGTTCTTTAATTTAACTGAAACATACAACGAGTTATTTCAAATGATTCGATAAGTTTGCTGCATAGGGAAATAGATTTTGTGTCCGTTGACACCAGGCAAGAGCTCGGAGGCAATGGCTCCGGCCACCCCACGATCCACCACACCACGGTGCAACGGGTCACCCAGCCGATTGGTGATGGTAAACCCAGGATCGCCTTTCCCTCCTGGGCGATTAGATCCTTTATCCTGGGGGTGTAGCGTCCCTCTTTTCTTCACCTCCACAGGGTTCTTGCTCAGTATCCTAGAGATACCAGCAAGGTTCTTGACTCGCACTTCAACATCTGTCGGACTAACGGCCTTGCCTGCGATCCCATACGTGAAGAAATTCTTGTTTGCAGGGTCCAGCCTCTCAAATCTGTGATCATGAGTGGCCTCTTTTGATTCTTGGTGGCGCATGCTCTGATGTTCTCTGCTGGGAGTGGGCGATACGCGGTGGACGGAACGAATATCATCAAACTGGTAAGTAGCCTGTTTGTTCATTTTAGCCACAGCGCCGATGAACTCATTGTCGTCGTGGATTTGACGCTGGCCAGGAGTTACTTTGACCAACGGTTTCAAGGTGGGAGATTCAACCTGGGCAGGCGCGGTAAACTTCTCGTAGCTTGACCGCACTTTCTCTTGGGTTTTGTTCCTGGAGTGTCTCGTTTTGACTCTGTTTTTGAAGTTGTCCTGCTGTATGAGGTCATTCAGCTTGGACCCCAATGCAGCGACAAGATCATTTGGCGTTTTGTCCCCTGGTTGCAGCAGTGGGGCATGTGGTAAGGGACTAGACTTTTGCGATTTTTGCACTGGGCTGCCCCGCTTCACAGTGTACGTCAATCCAACATCTGGAACTTTAGTCGGGCTTTGTTGAGCTTGATCCTCACTTGGATTGATGGGTCTGGGCGAGTGCATCACCTCAGATGCTGGTTGAAGTCTATTAGGTTTAGCCTCTCTGATCAACGACGATACATAGTCCCCATAGTTGTGAACAGCGCCCAGTGGCCTCTGATGGTTCTTGGGTGAGGCTTGTTGCACCAGAACCTTTTCCAGATGCTCTTTGACCTTTCGGATGTGCTCCTTGAGATTAGCATCCATCGGCCTCTTCACTGGTCCCTTGTTGAAGGTTTTCTTTTTCTGTACACCAGCATAGGCCGATCGGTGCACATACCGGTAGGTCCCAGGTTCGACGCACTGCTTCCACGACAGATCCTTCTCAAATAAGATCAGCTTTTGGGAGCTCTTAATTTTCCCACTGTCTTTCTCTTTTTCCTTTTCGGCGTCCTTCTTTTCTGCGACATGACTGATGTATGTAGCATTTGGAACAGCTGGTCGCCATCCAGTGGAGACCTCTTCCCAACTGTAGCATTTGACCATAGTGTCCAATTTCTCATCTTTTGGACTGCAGTCCAAGAGAATGTCAACCCATTCCCTTTCCTCATTTTGTGATATGAAGTTCTCGTGTAGGTTCTTGGACAGTCCGCCCTGTCCCAGTTTCTTCCCTCCAGGTACATAATCCTTGTGCATGCGGTGTACTGCAGATGGTTCATTGTCACTGGCCATCTCAGAAGACTGCACAAATATTCTCAGAGTTTAGTGGAGGATGCTTTTCAAGGTCTGGAGAACTCGGGGCAACCATGGCAAAGAGACTAGGCAAGTATTATAGACTGGAGTCTATAATTTAATGATGTCTTGCTGACAAGGATCAAGTTCCCAATCTGTGATAATCTGTGACCAAAAAAAAGAGAGAATCAAACAATAATATATCAATGCCAATGACGGAAATTATATAGATCTACCAAATAATATATGCATGTCCCTAAAATATCTTATTATATACTGTACAGAATCCTTGTCATTTGATTGGTCACATCACGTGACATTCATTATTATTGTTCCCATTCACGCCGGGGCTCAAAAAGTCCTATTCGCCCATGGGGAATGGGATTTACTATTCAACAGTTAGGACTGTCCTTGTTGCATGGCACGGTATTTGTGTGCAAACTTTTGAGTGTCATTTAGTCAGTTGTTTATATAGGAACGGGGTCCTAAGCTATATAGCCGATAGGTAAGGTAGCTTGATTGGAATAAACAAATAAATGGTAATAATCCTATCGGCTATAGTGCCAAGTTTAGCTTCTGTGGTTGGAAAGTAAGTTGTGATAATATATTCGCAATATTAAATCGCATTTGCAATGGTGTTTTTGCAATGCCGTAACGATAACACTAACACTACAGTAACACTACAGTTGGAATTTCGTTACGGCTGCCGTACGCGTACCACTTGCACTTGTCCTAAAAAATCATATCATAACTGGTCAATTAAAAGTTCCACGTAATTTCATCGATCATCGATTTCCTCACCTTCATTCAAATTATGTTGTTACAACTTCCTGGTTCTGCTTAAAAGGGACACGTTTATACTAGAACCGTGTCTTGGTTAAATACACTTCCGGATTTTGTTACTGCCTTGATTAAATAATCATGAAATATCCACATTAAAAATTTAACTCGTCGTTCGCGTACGCCTACTGTAATCGATTGCTTTGGCCACTGGTAACGCGCGGACAATTTACCAAACAAGGGTGACCTGACTGGGTACCAGTTAGGCCGCAGGATCAGTTTCAGATCAGCAGGTGCATGCACGATGCATGGATGGTATCGCGGGCCCGATCCATCAACAGCACACGCGTCATGGCAATGGGCTTTTGTTATGTAAATCACTTCACAGACTAATGACCAATCGGCAATCGGCGCCTTGCGGGGGGGGGGGGACGCACTCACAACTTTAGCTAAATAGTTTTGAATGAGACAGAGACTGAACTTCGTCAGCAGAAAAAAAAAAGCTAAAAGAGCACAGGATCCTGCAGGAAAAGCCAACCTTGACCCAATGGCATTAAGCAATGCCATTATGCAAAACGAAAGCTTACCAAATTAGTTATTTCCAAGAACCATTGCGCAGGTTGGAATGATATTCTCAATGAAAATATCAGCAAAGTATCTTTTTGTTCAATTCAAGATAAACAGGTTCAAGCTCCCACATACATCTAATTACTATTATTGTCTCAAGGTTGGAAGGGGTTAGTATAAACCCTGAGAATCAGGTTTGGGGACGGCAACTTATGTTTCCCCTCAGGGGCGCGCGCTTCAGCATGGGAGGGGGCCCTCAGGTGCTTCAGCCCCCCATGAGGTTGTAATTTTTTTTTCCAGTTTTTTTAGTCCCACGGTTTGACCATGGTGATATGAATGTGGCCTATTTTTCAACAAAAATTTCAAAAAATTATTTTTTGAAAAAATTCAAACTTCTACAAAAAATGTGAAAAAAAGTTGTGAGAAGTGCCCCAGGCCAAAATTGGTGCGCCACTGTGTACTGGTACTCATTCACAAAATGCGAACGGCAAGACACGCTCGGCTGATGAACTCTGGGAATCTGGCAAAACGTATTTAAATCTCTGAACTGAGCAGATTTGGACAAAAATCCAACAAACAAAATACACATGTACCAGAAAACGGACGTTTCAACTATTCTTTCGGCAGATGTTTTATTTCTCCACACAGTCAATCGAGGAAACAGTTTGGCATAGAATTCACAATTAAACAGCACATTATCATTATCTGTCTAAAAGACTGCATAGTAAAAGTATGTGTAAAATGTAAATACATGTACAAGCAAACATTACATGTTCAATTCATACATGTACAATTAATAAAGGAATGATTAGATAATCCCACAACTTTCCAAATAAATACATCTTTGGCCATCACCCCCACCAACAAAAAAAATATGTAAATCCTCTTTTGGGTGGTATTTATTATGGGGGGGGGGGGGGAGATACCGTTACATGCAAAACATTCAAAGCCAGTCAAACACACCAAATTCTAGATACCCTTGTACTTATCCATTTGACCATGCTCGGTGACGTAGATTATATCCCGACCAACAAAAATGTTGGATCCTTCCTGTCATATAATTTAACCCATCCCTCCTCAAGAAAAGGATAAAAAGCAGTCACCTCCATGTTACATTGGTCAAAATTCCTACTTCCCCTCCAACATTCCCAAAGACATGGGCCCAATTGCACGGTTCTGTTAACCACAGAATTCTACATTTGGGATCACCATTCTATGCCAACGGAAACATTCTATGCTAACCCTGTAAGCACAGATTCCTAGTTGCGAGTTGTACGCATGCAGATAAGCCAAAATTCCTCACTCAACCGTGATATCTACTAACCATAAGCATGGAATTTTCTGCTACGGTAAGCATGGATTTTTCGCTAAGCCGTGTAATTCGGCCAAGACATTTAAGAGGCAGATGACAGAGAACAGGGTAATTCTGTCTTTTCACGCTCTGCCATTGGGCATGCAGAGCCTCGATCTGGCAACTTTACACAATAAAAATAGCCGATTCAGTGATCTGAACCCCGATACGGTAATCACTGAACCGGCTGTATTTATTGTTGGAAAAATTCAAAGGGCTGAGAAGATGTGTGCAGCATGTGATCCACCATACATCTTGTTATCAAATGTTTATGCAAGTTCATGTGCTGGTGCTACAAGCAAAACATGGTGACCATAAACACAGAATTCTGTCATAAGCTGAGCCATAACATTTGGTATATCACGACATATATATGAGACTTTCTGACAAAATGAGACAGAACTAGGCAGATATCAAAATGATGGTTTGCAGATATTAGGAATGAGAATAAAATTCTCCTCGCAATACTTTTTTTGCACTTCAATCGGACTTTCCACTGACAAGTTATGGCTGTTTAAAGTTCACGTCTATCAACATGTCAAAAAAGTAAAATACTGAGAAGAAGGCCATTAACTTGTCGACTGTTTAGTAGTCGTGAAAATGAAAGATGCCAATTGTTTTTCATTAAAAACACTTTGATTCAGTGATTTTTATACTGTTTCTTTAAAATATATGTAGAAGATATCAAAGATTAGAAATATCAATAAATCTGAAAATTAAAAAAAAACACAACGTTTTTTTGACATATTTGACAACTATATACGGCCTGCGCCCAGATCCATCTCATTTTGCCCGAATGCCTTACCTATCATATACATGTAAAAGGTTTTTTTTATCCATATCTGGTGTATGACACAAGATACACAAGAGAACTCATATTTTTTGTATTCTGATATCTTCCCTATATCCAGTGCAAATCTGAGAAGAATATATATATTTCAGGAAAAAAAATGCTGTTTAAAAGAAGTTAACAACAAATTCTTTTGTTTTCTTCTCAAGCATCTTGGCAATACTGACACTCTGTGAGACCATCTGTCAAAATAAAGTTGGTGGTATTTCTGCAAAATAAAAAGTATAAATAATGGGTAAATATTGCCACAGAAACAAAAGCTCTTTCCTTCCAGAAAGTACTAGAGATGGTCTATATTGCCATGGAAACCATCCTATTTCTTCACCAAGATAAGGCTCTTGAGATGAGGTTAGTTGCCATGGAAACTACCTCAGGACAATGTCTTCTCGTATTCGGCAAGTTTCCGCTTTAGCATCTTGATCTCTGCATCCTTTTCAGACAGCTTGGCATCCTTCTCAGAAAGCTTGGCACCTAAGTCCTTGATGATCTGATTGACAAAGACCAAAAGTTTGTAAGTGATGTAATATTAATATTGGATAATGCACAATATATTTTACCTGATATATAGGTAAAGGTCTTGTTTTCAGAATTAGTACTTTGGGCTGCACCATGTCTTACTGTATTTCTTATGGTCTGATTATGCTTACTTTAATTCCTCCTCCTTTTGTATTTCACAAAAAATTGCAGATTGTAGGTGGGGCTACCGCTGTCCAGTTTTGATCTATGCATGTGCATTCAATATCCAACATGTTACATATCTGTATCTGTATCTGTATGGCTACGTTGCAGAAACCTATTCAGGCATTAGCGTAACGGAGTACTGAGGTACTCAAGGCACTGGGAAGTATGTCTTATTATTAACTTATTATTAATTTTTTTCTTGGATACTGTAATTTCATTGGTCCAAAGCAGTCACATGTCAAGTTTACGAAAAGGAATGTGACATCATTCCATTCACTACTGCTTTACATATAATGTGCATCACAGTGGTGCAGTGTATGATTCAGCATGTCAGGTTGTGGGGTGTGTTCTCTGAGTCCGCAGAAAAGCTTGAATACACTAAAGGTTTCTCTGGCTGGCAATGTTAACAAGGCCAGCCCAGCAGTCAAATAAATCAAGTTACTGTTTTGAACAGTTGAGTGCTCCCTGCCTTCATAAAGCAGGATTGACTGGCTGTGATTGTTATGAAACCTGATATTGCTTTGCTTTGGCTGTAGGAGTTGATAAGCCAGCTGTGCCTACCAGTCACCTGATTTTGTCTGTTGGCGGAATTTGACTGTCACAGTGCCTACATTATGATCTGACTGTTGGTGACTAGCCTGTGTAAAAGGTATATCGAAGGGGAAGAGGATTGAAGTTTTGACTGTTTTTGACTGATCAAATAAAAGGAGGGTTGTTGCCCACCAAAAAGTCCACCATGTGTGCATTTGCGTACGACTCACGTGTCTGGAACATACAGTATGGTAGGGCCTAATGAATTGGTCTATTGTTAACTGTTGCAGGGAGGATGACATCTGCACAGGCAGCTTACCTCATCCTTGGACGGGAAGAGTGGTCCCTTGAGGACCTCCTCTGCATTTGGCCTTTGGCCGCTATCGCAGTGGGTCAACTGGCCAATGGTCTTATACTGGTCAAAGAAAAACAAAACAAATTCTCAGGTTTGAGTTCAACATTTCAAATTGGTAGGAGTGACTTAGATGTAGTTCCCTGAACTGAGGCCCCGAGCCCAACATCTTTCCCAAATAGACCTTATGCATTAGGGCAGAGTAGAGGGCAATGGTTTTCTCTCGCTGAGGACAGGCATGAGAAAACCTTTTGTGAATGCATTGTAACCTTAACAAAGAACACCCTCTAAGTCACCTGCAATATGCGGTAAATCTGCTTTCTGACAAATAAGGTTTGCCACGATGTTCCCCCTTTAAACCTTTCATTAAAGGTTTACTGACCTGACAACTCCCCATTTTATAACTTGCTTCGTTTCTTCTGTAGTAGGGTCAGGGAACCAGACTACAAAAACATCATTTTTTTCTTGGTTTTTCCCAGCATCCATGAACACAAAACTTTAAACAGGTCAGTGTAACAACATTTGCTATAAAATACTAACCCCAAATCCATCCATATCTGAAAACTGCAGCAAAAGCAAATGTTGTATACTGCTTTAAGTTGCATAAATTTACATAATTCCAAATGGCTATCTATTTGTAAACATTTACTGCCCGGTGATATGCCGCTTTCGGGTTTGACTTTCCGTTACCCTCCTTCTGTAAATAGGTCTAAAGCATGTCAGATGTTTGAAGTTATATCTTGGGTGCTCAACTCACCTGATCCGGCCATCTCTTTTCAATCTCAGACGGTATTTTCCTTGCACGGACCTGGCCAATGACGCCAGCTCGCTCCATTTGGGTTTTATAGGGGTGGAACATCTCAAAGAGGATAATACCAGAGCTGTACATATCAGACTGGCAGTGGAAAAGGGTTAAAAACATGCGACTTCATTAAATTTATACAGGGTGAATAAAAACAAAGATGGGTACCCAATGTCAAAAAAATATTTAAAATAAATTTTTTTCTAAAGACGGGGTTGAAAACAGTTCATCATGGGAAATCCATGTTTGTAAGCTGTCATCTGGTGTAAATGGGGGGGTTGGGGGGGGGGGTTGTTATATATCCCCCCCCCCCCCCCCCCACTTCTTGACTAGGGGGGATGGGCTATTGAATCATCCCCCCACTTTTTCATGATGAGAAAAAAAATGCGGGTTTCAAGGTATTGTTTTAACATCCCAACAATAAAAATGTATTCAATAGCACTGAAAAGTGGATAAACAAAGCGCAAAAGCTTAAAAAATGCGCCGGTTTGATATACATCTATATCCTGAAAAGCGCCCTTAGTGTAATGTGGTGTGCAGCCCCCCCCCCCCTTGAAATTTCCTTATTTCCCTGGGTAATTTTTAGATTTTGATCATCCCCAATCCCCCCACTCGCCAACACAGATTTACGCCAATGGTTTATATACCAATAACCAATTAACTTTAATACAATGGAACACACCTTGCAATCATAGTTGGATCCTTTCATTTGTTCTGGTGAGGCATAGGGCATTGTACCTACTTTTGCTGTATGTGGTTTAGCTTCACATCTCTCTGCTGAAGAAATCCAAGAAAAAATAACATTTTTGCATGCATAAATGTTAATTACCATTTTCCTGAGCTCAATGATGCTGAACTGGAGAATATTGTGGACAATAAATATGCCTCCTGTACTTACAAAAAAATTGTCCACAATGCGGTATAAACTCTTAGGAGTTATTGCATTGCAAACGAAATGAACTTTTTCTGAGGTTGAGCAATAATATTCTTCTGGTGAGCTGGACAAGTTTCTCCGAAGATTTTATGACAGCGATGTGCATACTGCAACGGGAAAATTCGGCAACTGAATATGTATAGGTAGAGCTATCCCGCAACGCCAATGAATGGTCTTAATCTAACACACAGTGTAGTTAAGATGCATAAAAAGACTTCCAGAGACAGAGATGAAACTGGCATACTGAAAAAAAATCAGAAAATAGACGGGACAAAATATGTGTCTGAAATCTGGGCCACGCTGCAGTTACATGTACACACATAATACACTTCATGCCCAATTTCCGGACATCTCCTCCTGTAAAGTTTACAATGAGAAAAATGTTCAGTGTTTTCATAAAAATTAAAAAGCCTGAATTATGGTAAGAGTAACAGACTCATCAACAGAGCAGTTCACTTCTTACTTGAGAAAGTCGAGGAAAAAGTCTGAAAGACAATTCCTGACACCATTCGATCATGTCCATGATTCAACCAAACTCAACTTGTCTTTTTCTTCCAACAACTGCCAGTGAAATGCTCTCTTTGCCATCCTCAAGAAAATCATCTCCATTTTTAAAGCATTGCATTTTGTACAACTAAATGTGAAACCTCCTAAAATCGCACATGTTGGATTTTATCCATCGGATCGTTCATGTGGCTACCGTACCTGTAAGTACCCGGCCATGTGCTAGCGGGCCGCGCGGTGTGTACGTTGCATATTATCGTGTGCTGTGTACGCACGCACCAGGGATTTGTCCATGTCACAGGTCAATGTTTAACCTTTTATCCAGGATTCCGATCAGTGTAGACCTCAGTGTTTCTACCGTAGAAACACCCATTTACGACTGGTGAAAGAGATTAAAACTACACACACGATAATTTGTACTTGCCAATTTCATCGACTTTTTCATCAACTTTTCTTCAAAATTATCATGTAAATAAACATAGTATGGAAAAATCGTCAAAAAATCAAACTTTGTGTGACGAATTGTTACAAAATCGGAAATTTCGTTGGAAAAGTCAGTTTGTTTTCCAATTATAATTAAGAAAGTAACATCTCTGCAGAGAATAGCCATTCTGAGTCAACTGAATAGAATTTTTGGGACCAGCTTTATAAGGCTTGTTTTACTTCAACTTTTGCATCAAAAATGCATCAATTCTTATTTATGCAATATACATTTCCTGGGGAAATGACTGAAATAGATGTGATACAAACCCCGGACTCCATTAGGAATATCAGGATCTGATGTCATGGTCTCTAACACAAAATCCTCCGTGGCCAGACCAAAGTCACCAATCAGGACTTGCAGGTCCACACTGGATTCCTCCAAGAAGATATTCTCTGGCTGAAAGAGGACACACACATAATGATATCAACTGTAACTGATAGCTCAATTGGATAACAATAAAAAAGTTTTAAAAATTGTTGTGCTCCATTCAGAAATCACAATATGACCAAAGCATTGGAAAGTTAACATACTTAGGCCAAAACCCATGTCACAAAAGTGTATTTGAAAGTCTTGGGCTGCTGTTGTACACTAACTCTGCGGCCGATTTCACGAAACAGTGCGTAAATTACGCCATGCGTAGAGCTTGTGCAACAAATATACTGCGCAGCTGCGCAAATAACTTCGTGTAGCTGCGCAAGTTTTTAAATTAATCTAATCATCTTGGACGAGGATAATAACTGCATTTACGACGGCAGTTTGTTTATGATTTTGTTTGTTCACGAAACACTCGCTGAATTGCCTCCATCTGCCATTTTAAAAATATTTTGTCCGACTTTCTTCGGAATCGTGCGGCAACTGTAATAAAAACTCTGTCAAAATTGAAATAGCAATTCTTTTACTTCAAACGTGGCGGCGCGTTATCATGTATCAAGCCATAACCACGTCTAGTCCCGAGACTACGGCGCACCAAGAAAATGGTGCTTACCGTCCAAACAAGTAATGTGTTACTTGATCTAAATACACACTTTGTAATCATTTTTACTAGTGTCATATCACCTGTTACATATAATACACAGCTGAAATGAACAATTTTCAAGCAATTCAAGATTGGCGGTACAGTGGCTGTCTCCTTACCTTGAGGTCCCTGTGTATGAGACCCTGGGAGTGGATGTAATGCATACCATCCAGTATCTGCTTGAAGATGTGCATGTTGTCATCTATGCTCACAACATCTAAGAAGTCTAAGAGACGAGAAATAAAAAATGCATTCAACAGAAAGCAACAAAGGTAAAAAGTTCTTGCGTACTGGTGCATTTAGCAGGCAACTCAAGTCCCCGTGCCTTATTGCATCTTGTTGCATTTAGCAGTTTTTGGGGAAAATCCCATTCAAAGATGATCACCGATAAAAGTAGTCGTGCGGCTCATCGCCAAATTTTTAAAAATTAAACCTACTCTCCATTGGAAAGTAGAGCAATTTTAGGACCCAATTTCATCAAAATTTCACAGAAACAAAAGCTCTCACTACATTTTGTGCACGGTTTCCACCCATCTGTTTTTACAAACTGTGAATTCAAGTTCATGGTCCACAGAATGCTCTAAGAGCATAGAAATTGAGGGCATACAAATTGTGATTTGGCCCGCGTACAGGTCTGCATCCTCAGAGTATGGACTCAAGTACCCCCTCAACGGTGAACAAGAGAGAGTGAAGGACATTTACATGTAAGCACAAGGTTGCACACTCCATACCCAACATGTTTGTTTTACATTCCCTAATGTGGACATTCCTTTGTTTTCGTGTAGTTTAGAAAACCAGTGAAAATAATCATTTTACTCACACTGTGAAAACTCTTTCAACCCAATTTTTTTTCCAAGAATCCCTTTAGATCAACCTAACCCCAAAATACCTCTAAACCTGTTTTCCAGAGAGGGGAAAACCTTCCACACAACGTCACTGCTATCTGGTTTATGTGGACATCTTTTGTCCGGAAGTCCACACAGTGAATGTAATGCTTGTACATTTGTACACAAGTATGTGTGTATGCATGATATGTCCTTCACGCACTCTAAAGGTCCCCAAACAAAGAAAAACACAAAACTTATTACGCATTCTTATTTGCACTTCAGATGCTTAGTGAGAAGAACAAGAACATGAACAGTCTTTAAGGTTCTTACCCTTGACATTGTCTGTCTTGGTATTCCGATCTCGGAGCCAGTGTGACAGGGTGTTGGAGCACAGCTGCATCTGGATGTACAGATTCCATGTGGACACAGGGAAGGCGTTGACGCTGGGTACCAGACTCACAGTCTGGGGCTTGTCCGGTATGCCATCCTGGCTCTTGGATCTGTGTCGTCGCCTCTGCCTGGGAGCTTTTGGTTTGGACGTATTGTCTGGCGTGCCATCTAGACTGACGATTTTACACTTAGATTGGATCTTGTGACCAGCTGGCTGCAGTTTGCTCCGTGGAGAGCCTATGCTGGGCAGCATGGATCCGAATGCACCGTGCATCACATCCCTGGGAAGCAACCAAGAGTTTTTGTTTTGGTCTGCCGCAAACTTACTCCGAGTGGCAGAGGCTACTTTGAGTGAACTGTTCATGGGATTTTTTGAGGCTTCAATGACAGGCACATCTAGTTCCTTATCCTTGACCCTCACAGTATCCTTTTTATTGAAGTCTAGGACATCATTTGGGTTTTCCCCAAGACTGTTTTCAGAGGATATCTGAATATCAGAGTACTCGTCTTCGTCAAGGTTTGCATTCTTCGAATCCTGGTCTTGGAACTGTATGTCAGATTCAGAGAAGCTGTCCTGCTCGAACAAGTTCGTCTCTACTTCAGTCGTCCTTGACTCCGAATGAAAAGAATGCTGCCTTGTTGAGACTGACTGGGAGCAAAAAGTCTCCTGGAACAAGTCCTTGCAAGTCTGATGAGACGGGTCTAGATGAAGGTTAGAGGTCTGAGTCTCTGATGTTGACACTGTGACCATCGAAGACCACGCACTGACGGACAATTCTGATGTAGCTGTGAAATCTGTTGAGTTCTGCGTTGAGGCTCTTTCAGTTTCCGTTCTTAAATTTGAAGGTGACTCACTCTCGAAAGACTGAGAATGATGAGATGCGTCCCCAGAGCAATGCACCCTGGGAGTTGTCGGTGAGGCAACGAGAGTACTGGTTAAATCACTAGGACTACGACTAAGCCGGCTGGGGCTACTAGCCACGGAATCCGTATGGGGATATTGTAAGTACTGGCTTAAATGGGACACTTTGTCATTGTATTTCCAGATGCGAGGTGACAGTTCGCCTTGGTTACCAATGTCCTCAATCTTAACTTTATTGTCAATTGTTGAACTTTCTTGCTCGCTGGAACTTCTTGGGCTAAAAGATGAAGAACAAAATGAAAACAGAAAATCAAACAACTTGATTGAAATGGTAAAACCACATGATAACACTAAATGCAGGTCGACAAGTTTTGCCCTTTTCACTCTGAAATTTTGTCCAGGGCAATAAGATTTTGAGCACTTTCGTTGAACGAAAGTGCTCAAAATCTTATTGCCTGCCTCCCATCAGAATTTGAGTGACGAGTGATGAGCCAGTTAAGTGCTGGAAAGGTACCTACAGCTAAGAAAGCCACATTAGACTGGGCTTGGTCCAGTAATGTGCTTCAAATGAAAAAAATGCACAAATGACAAATGATCTACCTACCTTTAATTTCTACTGTACCAGCTTATTTTTAGTGTATTTGTCAGACACACAAACGGACTAGACTACAACACTGCCTAGCACTATTTACCTTTCACCGGATGAGCTGTGTTTATGATTAGAGCTTGCTTGCTCAGCTTCGATCCAGGACGTGTTATAGCCAACTACGTTGGCATGCTTGAGACTAGCTAGGAGCTGAACTTCCTTCACAAGCTGATAGAATATGTGAAGATAAAGGTGGAAACATCTTTATCATTTAACGAAAAAAACTTCTAAATGTATTTACAAATTTACCAAAACATTTATACGAAACCCAAATTATAAAAAAAGGAACCCATGTTTGAGCATACATAGCACAAATAATCAACATTGTTTTCCAACCTATTTAGTTTACAAAAAACCTTAGAAGCACCGCAATGCTTGATTACATTGAGGGTACACCGTACACGTAGGTAAGTTTTTACTTTTCAATGACTGCCTGCTGTTTATTATGTCAATCATTGTTGATTTATCATGTCAACTACAGCCGGTCAGCAGATGGCTTAATGTTTAAATGTTTAATCCGTCATTCATAAATACCTGAGATAGTTTACCCATTCCTATTGGTCAAGAGCACGTCATGTGGGTGGTTTTAAACCGCCAATAAAAACACGGCTGCGTTCTGCGCTACATTGCGCAGTACGTGCACCAATTTCCAAACAAGGAGATTTTTAGCACTACTAGCGTGAGCACCTAGATATGGCTGGAGAGGTGTTACACAAAACCTGAAGTAAATTTGTTGAACAAAATCATTAGAAATCTGTGAATCTGTGACTTGTTCTGACTTCTTGACCGAAAAGTATATTTATGAATGGGAATAAATTATGTGCTTGGCCGGATTTAAACTAGTACATTTACAAGTACATTACTTTTAATTGTCATTCATAAATACCAGACAGTTTAGCAAGTCCTATTGGTCGAGAGCCCGTCACGTGGCCGGTCTTAAACGGATGATAAAGACATGGCTAGCTGGTCTTAAACACTTTTCCAGTGTCACAATACAATGTGGACTCCTAAGAATCCAGTGCCTCTTATCGTTTCATTGGTTGAACGTTCACAATCCTCACGTAGGTATGCGCAACACTACCAGGGAGTCAGAATTTTATAGTTCTAAATTCAAACGGCAACGCGCCAGGTGCGTTCTGCGCGACATCGCGCAGAACAATCTCCATAAAAGGGTTGTTTACATCTTACTCGCCAGCTGAACACTCCATTATTTTGCAAGAGGGATGTTTCAAAAAGCATAAAGTGAATTTGTTGAACAAAATCGGGAAGTTTTGAACGAATTATATGATTTTTTTTTACCGAAAAGGTATTTATGAATGGGAATAAATATGTGCTCCGTCGATATTTATCACTCTGTTTAAGACCACTTAGAGTCTGGGTGCTGATAATTACCCTCGCCTCCGGCTCGGGTAATTATCAGCACCCAGGCTCTAAGTGGTCTTAAATAGAGTGATAAAAACCTCCAGAGCACACATTTATTCCCTTATTATCCACATCCAGGCCCCTACATAAACGTACTTGTTTAAAACTAGCCAAGCACAATTATTTAAAGTATTTGCTAAACGAATCCAAAATTGAATGCAAAGTCACATCCTTAGTAAATGACTGGAGTCCTTCTCATCATATGAATTCACCTTAATACTTTGTGAGGGATGAAAGCCTTGCTTACCTTGAGTGACTTCTCAATATTTGTCGGTTTCAATTTGATCTTCTTGATTGCATACAAACGCTGGTCCAGCTTGCTGCGAACCTGTGGACAATTCAAAATGTTGGCATGAATGATTCAGAATGAATATGTGACGTGTCATCACAAACTGAGCTTTAAGTCGGACTTTGCAAGAATTGGGATATTTGTTTTTTTGGATTTAGCAGAACAAAAGCTTTCCAATGGTATATGATGTTTAGGGGTACTGAGTTCAGTAATGGAAATATAGACCACCAACTTACTTGAAGTTGTAAAACTGATTCTCAAGAAAATGGCATTTAAAAATCCTGCAGTTGTGTTACAGTGAATGAACAGTTGGAGAAAACAAATCACATAGGGATGTGTGTGAATTGTTTTCGGTTTTGAAAGAATGCACACCTTTTTTTGTGATCAGTGGACAGTACTTTAAAACGTTGGTTGTGTTTAAAATTCCGTAACTTGAAAAGTACATATGTGATTTGAATGATTCTTGTACTAAAAGCAAGCTTATGAATTGGGCTTTCATATCCTAGAGTTTCAAAATGCTACATGCAGAACTTCAATAAAACAATGGTCCCGACATTTAGGTTTCCTTTTTTTTTTACTCACCCTGTAGATCCTACTTTACTGTAAGTTATTCACGCATATGGTCGCATGCAGGATTCACAGCATGATAGAACAAAGTGTATAAAGACTCTTTTTTAGAATACTGGACTAATGAACACATTTTGGGATAGCACAAAAGCTTAAATAACATTTGTAGAAAGAAGAAAGCTCGGCTCACAGACCGGCCTCCCCCCTGGCCATAGTCATAGTGATCTCATCATAGGTATATTGGTATGTTGCAAAAGCGCCCTCGCAGGGTTGTGTACAAACCCAATACAGCAGCACTTCACACAAGACACAGGACCCGTTTCGCACCTTGTACACTTTGCCAAAGCCCCCTTTGCCCAGCAAACAAAGCTCCTTGAATTCCCTCTGATACCGCGTGGTGCGGGAGTAGATGATCTCCTCCTGTGTCATCCTGGGTAAGCGAAGCAAGGGACTCTGCATCTGGAGGAAAACCGTCGTCCTCTCCTGTTCCGTGCTCGGCAGTGAAAGCAGGCGAGGCTGTGTGAGGAGTGAACAAAATTAAGAAGAGGCAAACCTAGAAAAAGTGGGGACTAGAGTGCCCAAAATTCTATTCAAAGTGTTCAGATTGGCTATTCACTTTGAAGTCTTATATTATCCTGCATCTGGTGTGCAAAATTGGCTGGATTTAGCCCATTCATTGGCATAACAGGGTTATCCTATACAAAAGAACTGCCCGGGTCAGAAATGTGTCGGGGAGTTAGTTAGTCAGTCAGAGAATGAGTCAGGCAGTGAGAGAGGTACACAGAGGAAACTACACTGGTTGTCTGGGATGAGCAAAAGCCAAATGTTAAATCTAACACCAAATGCTTTTTAGCTGGGAACTTAAAGGGAATATACATCATTTGCTTTTGCTGTAATTTTCAGAAATGGATGGAATTGGGGGGTTGGAAATATAAAGCAAATATAGTTACACTGACTTTTTGGAGGTTTTGGGTTCGAAAATGCTATAAAAACCAAGAAAAACGATCATTTTCCTGTAGTCTGGTTCCCCGACTCCATATAAGAAGAAACAGAGCAGTTTACATACATTGGGGAATTGTAAGGTCAGGGAACCAGTCTAGCTGGCTCGTACCCGTTCATAGGTTTGTAATCGATTGCAAACAAGTGCAATGGTCAATTGGGGCCAGTATTTGAAAAAAGCCAGTTGTTTCCAACGCTGATCGGCCGATCAGCGTTGGAAATTGATACAAAAATACCACTTTTCTTGAAAATGACAGTATACCAGGTGCCATAATTTTACAGGATGCTTTAGACTGTCATTTACCAACATCCTATTAAGGTATTTCGCAAAAACATGGTAGTTTTATTTTTGGATGTTTGCAAATGTTGTATATTCCCTTTAACACAACTTTACCAATAGAAAATTAATGAGAAGGACAGAAAAGGAAAACAAGTGGAAATGTGTCTTCCTAGTTTTAATTTGTGTGTAGTAAAACGGAACCAATGCTGGACAACTTTAAAAATCAGGTTTGGTTAATTAGAACTGTGAACATTTGAAACAGCCAGGAAAACCTTAAGTTTCGCCCGTTGCACTTACCTCCGTGTCTGCCTCTTGTAGGTGTTGTAATGTAGCATGCATAATCTGTCTGAAGACCCTAGTATAGGCAGCTTGCATTTCACTGAATGTATCTATCACATCCTGGGACGGTAAAAGCTGGAAGAGGGATGGGGAGAAACAAACCTTCAGCTGAATATTTTCCACTTAACATTTTGTTGAACTACTGATAGAACTGTCACAAACTAAACCATTTCCTCTCCCATAGCTTTTGTACAGGCTAGTCACCAACTGGCAGAACCTCTATGGATTGCCTGATGGGCCACATTGGCTTGAGACAAATGATTACTTTACAACTTTACTATAATACCAGATTGGAAGATATATCAGTGAAGGTATATCTTGCACTAAACTGTATATCTCGCATTATATAAATAACATACAGTTCCTTGTCATTTGATTGGTGGAACTCACATCACGTGACATTCGTTATTGCTCCCATTCATGCCGGGGCTCAAAAAGTCCCATTCACCCATGGGGAATGGGAAAAACTATTCAACAGTTAGGATCATCCTTGTTCCATGACGCGGTATTTGTGTGCAAATGCATGCTGGTGTGCGCGATCAGCATTGCTCGTAACGCGTATTGTTCCAAAGAGCCAGCGCTACAGAGTGGGATTCAAACATGTTCGTGAAGGGGTGGTTTGGAAGAGAGAAATACATTTCCACTAATTTTGTAGTGAAATAAAAGTTTAAATATCTCAAATGACAAGAATCTATATGTCAGTTATATGAAACAAATATTGAGTGGCTTTAAATAGTGAAATGGGAGAAATATTATCGCTCGCTAAAATGTGGACTTTTCTAGATCACTCGGCTTCGCCGCGTGAAATGGAAAAGTCCAGATTTTACCTTGCGATAATATTCCTCCCATTCCACTCTGAGCCTCTCAATATTTGTATACTATCTCTGCACTACATTTGGGACAAAATCCCCCTCTGTCGTGCAAACTGTCCTATGCTGCATCTAACTGCAGGGTGGCAATCCTTACCTTCAGTTTGTTCATCTTCTGGCAGAACAAGTGGAACATCTTGTCTCGTTTCTTGGAGTCTTTCTCGTATGCGGAGCAGACTTGATGCAGTAGGGACAGCAGCATCCCAGAATGCACCATGCTCTTGGGGTCCATCAGGGCCCCAACCTTGGCATCCGTGGCCTGTAGCTCATCCTATGTGGAAGAAAAATTTAAAACAGTATTTATTGGTTAAGCAAGCTGGAAATTATATCTGAAGCTGCGGCCCAACTGTAAACCTGCTGTAGCCTATAATAAGTAATGTACATGATGTAAAAGTCTTTTCTTAGGCCTATAAGGCACAACTATACTCACGTGGTCATGTCTGACAATTGAAATAAAGGATTCCTATTTGTTGAACATCAGTTGGTGTATGGAGCTTTTAATAGCTCTATGGCTGGTGCATGTGGAACATCCAATTTGTGCGCAGTGGTACAGCTAGTGCCACCCCAAATGCGAAATGAGTGCCCTCGATACTAGTGTTTTCAGTATAAACATCTGGATTTTGACTCTAGTGACCCAATTTTCCACGCTGTGCAATAAACTGGTAGCAGGTCAGTGAGACCTACTAACGTGTCACAACACAAGGCCATGAAACTCAGGTACATGTTGTCACATCCCAACTTTAATGCAAACCAGACATCGTGCAATTACTCTTTGCAAACAATGAGCCAATTATCAGCTAACAATGATGCCCTCTAGAAACACAAACAAATTTCAATTTTTTTTTTCATGTGTTTGTAAAGTTTTCATAAAAGCTATCAAGGCAATATCATATTTCATAAGAAATAACCAAGAAAAGGCTAATAAAAGGGGAAAGTAAAAACATGACAATCTTACCATCATTGTCATCGAAGTCACTGATTGTAGACAGGTCTGACATCATTTTGCTGGATGTAGAAGCTCTGCAAACTGACCTGCGACTAGACTGTCACGCACATTGTACGTACTTGATGTTGAAGGTTCTGCAAGAATATGATGAAAAAGTGGTCACTGGAAATAGCTGGAACATAACATTACTACTGCATGGAAAAAAGTGTTGCAACTTTTGGATACCGAGGTCAAGTTTCAGTCAATCAGAAACATATCCAATTTTGTAAACTACTGAGTACTGCCTACTGTAGCCCTACTAGTGTCGCTGCGGTGTGCTGCGCTGAACCTCTGGCCACACACCGTGGTACCGCGCACTACTGAGGACGAAGTTTTAAAAAAAATTACGTTCAGTTTCTTACATATGGTTGTTTTCAATGATGTCTCATCTATCACTTCTGGGATGCTTAGGTGTAATGATGTTCAGTTTTCCGAGATATTCTTGAATTTTTCTGGAGCCCATAAAAATATGCACTCGTAAAACGTCTGGTGATGGAAGCCATTTTGAATGTGTCAAGAGATGACCTCAAGCTGTGACGTCGCGTTAATGCAAATTGCTTGTCGAGCGAGGGCGCGAGTTGCAAATGCGATGGCTGTTTCCTTTGCCGTGGATCCTGAATAGAGATCAGTGCACCTGGCCCCCAGACGATAAATGCATGGTACAGGAAACAGCCGTTACATTTGCAACTCGCGCCCTCGCTCGACAAGCAATTTGCATAAACGCGACGTCACAGCTTGGGGTCATCTTGTCCCATTCAAAATGGCTGCCATCACCAGACGACAGTACCAGACGTTTCACGAGTGCGGCTCCAGAAAAATTCAAGAACATCTCTGAAAATTGAACATCATTACACCTACCTAAGCATCCCAGAAGTGATAGATGAGACATCATAGAATACAACCATATGTAAGAAACTGAACGTAATTTTTATGAAAATGCCCTCAGTAGTGCGCGGTCCACGGTGTGTGGCCAGAGGTTCAGCGCAGCATACCGCGGCCACACTAGTGGGGATGTTGTGCCCATTCTTGAAAATCACGCAATCTTAAGAATGCGCGCGCATTCTTAAGAATGAGCGTGCATTCTTAAGAATGAGCACGTGTTCTTAAGAATGAGCGCTCATTCTTAAGATTGTGTGGGAATATCACGTGCACAATTTATGAATTTTGTGCAATCTTAACAAGCATTGCACGACATAATTATGTTAAATGAAATGTATAGCGGTTAAAAGGGAAACAATTCATATAAAGGTAAAAAAACGCCCAATTAAAAAAAAGCGCCCAATTGGGCAGTTTTGCCAGCCCAATTTTTGAGTATCATATGACGTCATCAGAAGTAAAAAATGTGCTTGCGTTAAGAAGTTGTCATATAAACGTGTACAAAACACTGGTAAACACTTAAGATACAAATTGGTTCATCAAACAGCCGTTACATGAAGCTCAATAGTTAACATACAACAGTCGTAAAACAAGACACTCAAAAAGCAAGCACGGGGAATTCCCTTTTGTACGCAATCATAGCACACTGGTTTTCGGGAATTTCCCTTTGTACGCAATCATCCCCAGCAGTACACACAATGTACGTGGCATTAAATGAGCGTTTCAAGACGTAGGTGTGTTCAACTTCAAATTTCAAGGGGGCTGCAGGGCATCTCCAAGTTTACTTATTGAAACGAAACTTTAAGAAGTTTTAGATATTATTAAAGTGCCATTTAAAGCACAAAACTTGATTATATCTCTAACGGTTGATTTTTTAGCAATTTTCAAAGGAAAAGAGGTCTTTTCTTTGTAACTTCCGGTCTGATTACGTAATCATTTTTTTTTGCGCACAGGTCTTGTCTGCATTAAGGTGATCATGTTTATTAATTTTGAAGCAATTACCGCAAATTTTTGACACAGACATCAACTGAAAATGCATTTTGGACGTTTTTTTACCTGCCGCTAGAGGGTGTTCAATCAATTCACGACGTCACCGATCATTTTTTTTTGAAAGGTCAATCCAGGCAGACTCCAACATCGTTAAAAGCAAGTTCATATCTATTTCCACTTTCAAATTATTTGGCACTTCCGGTTTCGACCAGAAGGAAGGGTCACGTATTTTGACGCACACAAGATTAAATGAAGATCATTTATTATCATGTCGATTTCCGCAAAATTCAAGTTCCAGTCTCTCACAGTTGATTTTATATTGAATTTCAAAGATTAAATTTCTAATTTTTTGAAGTGACGTCACGTGACCCATGATGACGTCATGATGACGTAATTGCCAAAAAGCACATCTTCAGTTGGTTGTGCATTCATGTATTGACAATTGAAGTTCATATATGTTTCCATGTTAACAAACAGTTCTGGAGAAGAAATGTGTCTTGAAGAATAAAAAGAACTAGAGGTTGTAGGAACAACCACACGGTGTTGGGCCATGGATTACCGCAAACTTTGCCACACACATCAACTCAAAATATGCATCTTGAAATCCATGTTTGAATTTTTCAACATGCCGCCAGAGGGCGCTCTAACATTTGATGACGTCACCTGTAAAATTTTGTACAGTAATGCCTAGGCAGACACTGACATCGTTGAAAGGAAGTTTGCATCTTCTGACAATTTCAAATAAAAAGGCACTTCCGGTTTCGACCGGAAGGAAGGGTCACGTGATTTTGCACTTAATACCAAAAATTACGACCATGCAATATTGTATCGATTGCCATAAAAAACAAAATCAAATCTGAAGCAGTTGATTTTATATTGATTTTCAAAGAATAAATCTAGAAATCTTTGATTGCTTGTAATATGATACTTGATGACGTCATTGTGACGTTATTACCAGAAAGTTCAAGAGCTATTTTAACTGTGCTATATATAGCCAAATCTTGATTATATTTATCACGGTTGATTTTTTAGCAATTTTTGAAGGTTTAACGGTCTTTGTATTGTAACTTTCGATCGGATGACGTAATCATTTTTTTTTCGCGCATGCCTCTTGTCTGCATTAAAGTCATCATGCACATTAATTTTGAAGCAAATACTGCAAACTTCGCCACAGACATCAAGTAAAAATGCGTTTTTGACGTTTTTTAACCTGCTGCTAGAGGGCGCTCCAACACTGCATGGCGTCACCCATCATTTTTTTTGAAAGGTCAATCGAGGCAGACACCAACAGCGTTAAAAGCAAGTTCATATCTTTTTCCACTTTCAAATTATTAGGCACTTCCGGTTTCGACCAAAAGGAAAGGTCGTGTGATTTTGCACGCACAGGATAAATTGAAGATCATGTATTATCATGTCGATTCCCGCAAAATTCAAGTTCCGGTCTCGCACGGTTGATTTTATATTGAATTTCAATGATTAAATTTATAATTTTTTGAAGTGACGTCACGTGACCCATGATGACGTCATGATGACGTAATTGCAAAAAAGCACATCTGCAGTGGGTTGTGCATTCATGTATTGACAATTGAAGTTAATATATGTTTTCATTTTGACAAACAGTTCCGGAGAAGAATCTGTCTTGAATAAAAAAAAAAATAATAGTAAACCCTTACAAAAACAATAGATGTTGGGCTAAAAGCCCAACACCTAACTAGAGGATTACCAACCTTTCTTAATCATATTACATTTCTGTTTGTCTATTTGCAGACCGTGTTCATTGTTGAAGTGACCAAAACAAAGAGACAGCGTTCTTATTTATGAACACGGAAGCCCTAAGACACAACAATGCCTGTTGTATCATGCCCCATCCCCGGCTGTGACTACGCCACTCAGGATTTCGATGCCGCTATCGTAGCTGCACTCCTCACTGCCCACAGCGCTGTACACACCTCTGGACATGCTGCCAAGGTTGAGAAGGTCAAAAGGCCAACGATTGCCGCTGCTGGCTCCAGTGAAGAGTGGGCTTATTTCAAGTCACGGTGGTCAGATTACGTCGATGCCACCAAGATAGCCGGCAAGGACAAAGTAGTACAACTACTTGAATGCTGTGATGAACCCTTGCGCAAGGACCTCACAAGATCCGCGGGTGGTAGCCTCACCAACAAATCTGAAACTGAGGTACTGGCTGCCATAAAAAAACTTGCTGTGCGTGAAGAGAACACTATGGTTGCCAGAGTGACACTTCACAATATGCGTCAGGATCGTGATGAAACAGTGCGCAGCTTCGGAGCTCGCCTACGTGGTCAAGCAGGAATTTGCAAGTTCCTAATAAAATGCCCTGGCTGTGACATTGACGTTAACTACACAGAAGCAATCCTACGGGATTTACTCACCCGAGGCATCGCAGACCCTGAAA